TGATAGAGTTCTGCTGATGGGCTCACTCATCTGCAATAAATAGCAAAGGAATGAGCAGCTGCCTTGCCCCACTGAGAGGATAGTATCATAAACATGCTTATCATCTCCTAACCAAACTAAGGATTTGGTTGTCTCAGTGTGCAACATGGGACAAAATACCTAAGAACACAACTCCTTGAGAAAAGAGGCTTGTTTGGAAGAGCTGATGTGCCTGACCAGAGGACACCTCCCCACCATGAGATTTTGATCTTGCCCAAAATATATTCATGTGCAGAGGAAGGGTGTTGCCATCTCTGGAAAATGACTTTATTTTTCAACAAATCTTTGTGAGTCCACTAGGTACAAGGCCCTTTATTAAAACACACCCCATTCTTAGTATAGCTATGGAAAAACTGCATTTGGCTTATAACCAGGCAGGGCGTCAGCCAGTGCTGACTTTACAGGTGTTTAAAAATCCTCCCTCCTGGAACAGAAAGAGAAAATGGTCCTATAGCACCTGAGCAGAATGCTAGAAGGTTCTTTGCTGCAGAATTGATGTTCTATATTCTCTAATTGCCCAGCAAGAGAACACAGAGCCCAGTGAGTGCGCACATAGCTGTGATAGCAGCTTTGTAACACCTGCCAATAATCTAGTCTTTGGTTTTCTCTTCTGTGAAGTGGGGATAGCAAACTTGTGAGACTACTTTAACCATTAAATGAAAAAATATATGTGATGCCCTTAACAAACCGTGTCACACAATGTTTAATAAATGCTGTTGCCCGCATCCCCCCACCCTCCCAAAAGCCTATATCCTAACTCCACATTTACGAAGAGGAAGGGTGATGCCATAGAGATGCAATTTCAATGCTATTTAAGTGTTTCAGGAGCCTTGTCGCTGACACGATTAAGGAAGGTAGCTTTCACCAAGTGTGTTAGCTGGGCTTTTAGAGCAAACAATACATGCAGCCAAGTGAGACTTAATAAACAAATCCCATTCTATAAAGAGGAAGCTCCTTTCTGAAAATGGAACATTTTCATTTAAATAGTATAAGACTTAGAATGTTTTCTCTGGTAAAGCATCATATGGGGACTAAACAAAAACTGGTATTTGCAATCTTTTTCTTCTATGGGCTGAGACATAGAGAGGTGTTTGAGATTTTTGGACTACATGTGTGAAGCTGAGAAGCCACACCCCTTCATCTGTCCTGCAATTAGAATACAACAGGAAGTTCACTTTTGCCACCTTGACCTGTGAAGCTTGAGTGACCTTCCTCCCTGCCTGCCAGAAGTAGACTTTGTTCTAGACCCCACCTGGGGCTTTTTAATACCCCTTCTGTAAGGAAATGTGCCTCCATCCCCTGAAATCTTAGACTTCTTAAGTCTAATATAAACAATAAGCAGGCCTTGTTAAGTTCAATTTGGGAACAATCTAGTGACCCACATATATCAAAATAGGTGGCTATAATTAAGTATATAAAGTTATTGACCATGAGTGGAGATGTCTGGTGGCTAAATAATGCAAACAAACTCTTCAGTAAGCAACAAGATCTAACCACACAATTGTCCTCCCATTTCTTCCCTCACTAGGGAAGAACAGTGCTGTATGAGATTTAGTGGCTATCCTGCCAGAAATTACATGCACAGTGCTTTTATTTACAATTCTCTCCTTGGCCTGCCAATTTTAAAATACACAAAATTCAGAAAAGTTATTAGTAAACCCCAAAGCAAAGATAAAATCAACATATTGTTATCCTAGTTGGGGAAAAGGAGGAGAAAAAGCAGTGGCCTCTTCTAGAGAAGTTCCACTGATTTCTACATGGCCTCACCGGCTGAAAACAGAACCAGGATCTATTACCTAGGGAGAACCCTGCCCCACAAAAGTACTGAGATGAAAATAATGACACTCCTGAATGATAGTATTTGAATCACAACTACCCACCCTGTTTTCCCTCCAAGAAGCTTCCTTATCCTTATAGACAGAGGCTCTGAGAGCTGTTGTTCCTCCATGACTCAGGAAAGCTGTCACCAAGGTTATAACGAAGTCACATTCTCTTCCCTTGCTTTAGAGCATCCAGGGATATGCAAAGCAGCCTTGCATCTCATGGGCATTTCAGAGCCAGGTCTGCCTGCCAAAGAAAACAATGAGTTGGGAGGCCTAGCACTAGCCAGGATCTGTTTTATCTTGTCTTGGTTCTGTGGAAAGGCATCCTTCCTGAGGTGAGGACGAGACTGACTGAAAGGAACTGAGTAGTCCTCGCCCTGAGAGGGAGGTTACATAGGGAAAAAGCCACCATCTGGTCATCGCACTGGCCTTCATTTTACCAAAACGTCTTTACAGAGTGCTGAAGGCATACACATCTTAAAATGACTTTAATCATCCTCCAAGTATTCAAATGAAGCCTTTTCTATCCTAAGCCAGAGATGGGAAGTGTCAAAGTAAAAACTGGGATCCTATTTCTGTTTTCCTTGCTAAATTTTTGGGGCCACTTTTATTGCTCTTCATGCTCTGCCTCCCATTTTCTCCCCATTCACTAACCCTTATCCCCTGCAGTCTGGCTTCCACCCCCACAGCTTTCCTGAAACTCCAAAGTAACCAATGCTTGTAAAATCTAACAGGCATTTTCTCAGTCATCAATTTTTACTTTTTGGTAATATTTGTCACTATAGAGTAACTCATTTTCCATTAAGTTCTCTTCCCTTGCACTAAGAATTACTAATTCTGCTTCAATCATTTTTGGTCATTCCTTAATCACTTCTGTAACCTCTTGCTTCTGCTCCCTTCTTTTAGGCCACATTTCTGCCCCATGCTCAGCCTGTGCCAAACATTTAGGAGCCTCCATTCCTTCTAGCCTCTTTATGTTATCTCCACCAGATACTCATCCATTGGTATGGCTATGCAGATGATAACCAAAAATGTTAGCCACAAAATCTGGAGCTATCTTTGGCTTCTCCTGTCTTGACCTCCCAGCCAAACTTCAAATCCACTTTCCCAACTTCTGTTGGTCACTTCCCATTGACCTATGTGCCCTCTTTTTAAACTGAACTTAAAATCAGCCTTGTAAATAAATGTCTTCTATAATCTTTCTTCCCTAAATTGGCTATTGTGTTTTCAAAATCATCCTTATGTCCATGGCAACCTAAGATCATAATTCCTTCCCACATTGACCATAAGAGGATTTGAGGTTGCAAGAAGCAGGTCTACAGAGATTTATTCATTTATTCGAATCCCTCCACTTTTGTGTGATCTTCAGGTGAAAGCCTCTGTTTAACAGTGCTGCCTCTTTGTGTGGTGGGTGGCCTGACTTAGCCTCTGTTCAGATCTAGATAATTGGAAGAGTTGCATCCATGTATTTTTTCTTCCCACGTAATTCCTGAGTAAACAACATATTGGTAATTCTCTCAACTCTATTTACAACAAGACCTTCACAAATAGGAACAAAATTCAGAGGGAACAAAACCGAAAAACCTAAATCCAAGAGAAGAAGGCCCCTATTGCCTCTGAACACCCTATTCTCCCTGCCTCCCAGTTATTCTTATACTCCCTACTCTATCCCTAATTCAAAAATACACCATGGGGAGTAGGGGAGAAATACCTCCCCCCCCCAAGAAGCTTTACTTGGCCTCCTATTTTTTTCTTAGTCCTGAGTTCATTTCACCTCATCATGAAGAAAGTGAATCTTCAAGACAGTGTCCTTGTATCTCAGAGCAAATATTCTCTAATCAGTATTTCATTCCAATGATTAAATATTCATCAGTATTTCATTCCAATGATTAAATATTCACCTTCACCTTGCAACTCAGTGCAGGCCAGCTGCATTGTTTCTTCCTTAAAGAAGCCAGACTCCCCCTCCCTCCAAACACACCATTTAAACACCATTACAATAAGTTGCCTAGTGATTTCTTCCCACCCCACCTTGTTTAATGAACTCCTTTCTCCCCTATTATCCTCCCACCCCGTCCAGTCTCTATTATCTTAATTTCCAGACTTCTCCAATGGCTTTTTCATAGTCTCCCTGTCTCCAGCCTCTGCCCACACCCCAACCACCTGAATAAGATGATCAGACTGATAGCCTGTTTTCCTATTCCCAAACCCTAAGGGCTTCTTATTGTCTACAGCATAAACTCTAAAATACCAGGTCTAATATTCTAGACACTTCAAAAGATACTCCTAGAGGATATTTCCTTCTTCTCCATTCACACATCCTTCAACAGTCTCTCCAACTACCTCTTATCTCCCAAACCTCTTCTCCGCCTAGTCTTCCTATTCTTTAACTTCAAAAATAAATTCTTCACCCTCAGCTCCCAGACCCCATTATTTTTGACCCCCTGGAACCTAGAGGAATAATAGTATCTTGGCAGATACAGTAGTTAGATATTGCTTTATGTTATTGTTAATCAATAGAAGGCTTGATTATAACATAATGAATGAGTTCCACAAACTTCACTCTAAGTTTATTATTAGAGTCAAAACTCATAGCAAGTTCAGAGTAGTTTTATGTGGCCACAGAGGCTTTTTATTGTTTTAGAAAAATTTGAATGTACAGCAGGAGGCAGGGGAGATGGAGTTACACACTACCCTTTCAACCCAGTTCTCATCACTCATTATTATTTCAAGCCCCACTACTTCCCACAGTCACAAATTCTGCCTGTTCCTGAAGGTACATGCGTTTGAAACATCTTTTGCTGGTCACACTTGAAACACCTCATTGCCTAATAAGTCTGAAAATTCAAGGAAGGCACAGGTTGTATTTCATAATCCCAGGCATGATTTGTCCATACCTCACAAGGCCCAGTACAATAATGTACACATAGTAGAAGCTTAAATACAGGTTGAGTAATTCCACACATGGCCATAGAATCAATTTGGTTCATTGTCAGGGCTGAGAGATTGCATGACTCAAGGGAAAAAAAGATGTCATCATGCACCTTGCTGAACTTTCCCTATGGAACAACAACTTACTTTCATGATGATAAATTCTCACTATGAATCCAGCACTTCAGCAATATCACCTATTACAGTTGATTCCTAGAAGTCATTCCACTAAAGCAGGTGTGATATTTATATCAGTTCACGGTACTATTTAAGTGAATGTCAGTTCCTGAAGGAAAAGGAACAGGGATGTTTATTTTTGGTGACGGCATAGGTGGCTTCCTAAAAATGCTGTTTACAAACATAATATTGCAATGACAGGAAATAAGAGCAGGAAGCATCTCTTATTGGCCTAAACAAGAAATGTTTAACCCCATTCCAACTTCTGCCAAAATACCTTAGTTGTCTTGTCACTCTACTGAAATGCCCCGAGTTCATTTTTTTCCAAACACTTAAGGTTGAATTACGCAGCATGCGCCAGCCTCTGGAGCAAACAGTTGACAATCCAGGGGTGTGTTTGTGTGTCCCTGGCATACTTGTTTCTTTATCACACTAGATCATTTTCTAAGAGTTACTGTGTGGCTTGGTGGTCACCACAGCTTTGTCTCTTCTCCAAGACCACATGTGCCAATAGGACAGGCAGATACACCGTGATGTATGGCTGGGTTTGCTTTTTGTGGGGGGGGACAGGGGGGCCACATGAGGGGAAGCTAATCTTTGTCTCCATACTAGGAACTCTGAAATGCAAGCCACAGAGAGCAAAGAAACTCCAACAAGTGATTCTCATTGGTAGATAAGAAGGGTTGATATTATTCCATGGTTACAGGGCACTTTAAAAATAAACCACAAAAGTAACTCTTAGAAAATGATGGTTACCAGAAAAGGAAGAAGAGGGGGAAAGAGTGAATATGATAGGGGAAATGACACCAGAACTTTGATGGTGGCTATGGTGAAGCTTAACACATAGAGACGTGTGAAGCTGTACAAGTGAGCCTCAAGTTTCGCTTCATCCCATCCTGTCCCCTCCAGACTCCCTCAAACTGTGTGTGTGATTCATAAAGGCACCTTCTTACTAATTTAAAATCCCATTGGGACAATTATATTTGCAGAGATTATTTATGTAAAGTGGTTCTTTCAGAAAAAAATATTTGAGGATGGTTTTGTTCCTCATACAAATTTATTAAGAATTGTTGGGGGAACTGGCTTATAGTTGCTTGTTGATTTCGATTTTTTTCTTTCTTATAGTTATTCTTTTTCCTGGTCCCTTATTTAGGTTTTCTAGATTCCTGCTATGAGTGAGACCATCCAGTATTTTTCTTTTTCTTTCTGGCTTATTTCGCTGAGCGTGATCCCTTCCAGCGCCATCCATGTTGCTACGGGGGTGGGAGGGGGGCATGGGGAGAGGAGGGATTGGGGTCAAAATAGGGGGGGTGCAATTGTATGGGGAATATAACCAAGATGAAAATGCATACATTGTGCAAAGATGTAAAATGATGTAAGAAATATATTAAAAAAATAAAGTGGAAAAAAAAAATTGTTGGGGGATAGGAAGGGTAAGTGATGAAAGAATAGTTTAACCACAGTCCAAAGAAATTATCTCTCTACAACTGTAGCACAGAAATTCAACCTTTAAAGCAAGATCTGAATTCGCGAGGTGTAATGCTTCCCTTTCCTAGGTTTTCAATGGACTTCACATAAATCAAATCAAACATATAACAAAATACAGAATATGCAAAAAGAGAAAATCGGGTTGACTATCTCTTTCTGGAGCATTTATCAGGTTTTTCCTCCAAACAGCAGCTTCCCCTAGTGCATGTAAAATGTAGGTTTATTCAGAAACAGGAAGGAAGGAAGAAAGGGAGAGAGGGAGAAAAGGAAGAAACAAGGAAGGTGGAAAGTAAAGGGAGTAGGATTTTTCTGGAACTCATCCACAGTCAAAAAATGAAGAACACCTGAAAAGGCAACATTTGTGTTAGAATTCTAAGAACTATTTTACAAATGAAAAAAGCCTCTGCCACCCAACTACTGTTATTTTCTATTTCAAGCTCAAAACACACAAATAAACTAAAACCAAATTTCCAGCTTTACAAGAAAATTATGAGGCCCAGACAGGAAACATTTTAATCAACAACTCTTACCTGGGTACAAAACACTGAGTACAGGGTTTGATTTAAAGGGGGTTAAACACCGGCGGTTTGATACACATGACAGTAACTTGCTGTTCATTTCTTTAAGGATGCGTCAATTGACTCAGTGACTGAGTTCTCCATGATGCTCCTCCGACTTTCAGCTTCCCCTGTAAAATGTGAAATTTTGCATACCGTATGAAGTACTGAGACAAAGGCAAACTACCCAGTGCTGATTTTGCACTGCCCTGGTCAGCTTGTAGCTCCACCGTGGGTCACTTGGTCTCTGAATACCTTTTCCTTCATCCCCAAAGCAGAATGAGACGACATTAGGTTAGCAGCTATATGACCTTGGGCAGGTTAATAGGCCCTTTTGTGTATAAGAATGATGATAAATCCACCACTAGTGTTTTCAAGGGTAATACAGTCCTTGGCACATACTGAACATGCCAGAAACTGGTATTGAGCTCAACTGTGAAACATGCCCCCACCAAGTCTATTCTGTGAAACAATTTTCTTTTTTAGCATGGAAGGGGTCAGTATAGGATTAGGAGTATTCCAAATCCCCATGCTCAATGCACTGGCAGTCTCCTGCAGAGATCCTCAATCCTAAATGTACACCAGAATCTACTAAAGAACTTTTATAGAGGGCCTCCCTGGTGGCGCAAGGGGTTAAGCATTGCACTATGGAGCAATCCGCAGCCTCTGCAGCACTAGTTCGATCCCTGGGCCGGCCAGGGAGCAACCCACATGGCACAGCAGACCTCTCCTGACTCGCCTGCTGCTCCCCTCAGCAGTGTATTTCAGTCAGTCTGCTTGTTCTGCTCCCCGCTCTGTCTCTGGTGAATCCCCTCACCCCTGCATCTTTGGCCTGTACCCCAGCTCTTGTATGCATAAATAAATAAATGAATCTTAAAAAAAGAAGAACTTTTATAGAAACACCAATGTTGGAAACCACATGCAGAGATTCAAAAAAATTGGTCTGGAGTGGGGCCAAAGCACAAGTATTTTTCAAAAGACCCCAGTAATTCTAAAGCTCACTGAGGACTGCTGACCCAGGAATGCATGCAGTGATTGCCGCAGTGGTCCACTCAATTCTGACAGTACCAGGGGCTCCTGAGATGAAGGGAGATGAGTCATCACTCATTGAGTCAAAGCCCAGAAGAGCCACCAAATGACAAGTCTGTCAGAAACTGGTGACCAAATCAGGGAGGGTGTGTTCCAAAGGCTGGAACTTGGAATCTGTAGATTGGTCTGTCTGTCACTAAGGTGAACAGGGGCCTTTATGGAAGGAAGGACAATGGTTCCTGCCTGCCCAGTGGGGACAGGTGAGATTGGAAACTATATCAACCACTTTCTAAGGCGCTGAAGGTATATAGAGTTATGACACAAACAAACTAGTACTTCAATGACTTTTTTTTTTTCCTTTCCTTGGTTACTTTCTTTATTTACTATTCTTTAACCTTAGAAAAGTTTCTGAGCTACAATTTTTTTTTTTAAGATTCATCCATTTAGGAAATGGGGGCGGAGCAACATGGCGGCGAGGAGACGCTGCGAGTAAGATCTCCCATTAAAAAAAGTTAATAGGGAGGAAAAGCGGCAGGTCCCAGTGAGAACTGGGACACGGAAGATAAACGGGTGACTCCAGCAAACTACCCGAAGAAGAAAGTGGCCATAAAAGAGGACTAGAAGGGAGGGAAGCGCAGAACCCTGCTCCCCTCCCCCGCCCACAGAGTTGGCACTCTCCGACCAGCAGAGAGGAGGAAAACAACAAACTAAAACGACCCACAAGAACAAACGACGCAGCAAGCGGGACTGGGAGTGGAAAGGAACTATTGCAGCCACCACACCCCATGAACGGGAGCTGAGGCGAACCCTGCAGGATCCGCCGCGGCGGTGAGCGAATGGCTCCGGGCGCCATTAGAGAAGAACAAAGACCCCGGGAGACGCGCACACAGCCCGGGCTGCCCGTAAGCTGGCGCGGGAAAGCGGCGCGCTGGGCGCGCTTGAAAAGAAAACGCGGACCGGGATCGCAGCGGCCCAGGTCCCCGCGCCTGCGACCTAGGCTTGCGGGGAGACGCACGGAGGTCCTCACTGAGGTGAAGGTCCCTCCCTGAGTGAGCAGGAACCAGGCGCCCAGGCACGGGAGCGGTGCAAAAGGAGCCATTCCCGCGCCACTGAACTGGGCTACAGCCCGCGTCCTGGACCTGAGGGCTTTGAACTGAGACCCGGGGCACGAAATTAGGGGCGTGGGTTCCCCACGACGGTGGGGCACAAGGCAGACACAGCACCCCAAAGCTGTTGAGGTTTACCCTACCATTCCCGCTCTGTTCCCTGTCCCACGGGGTGGGGGGGGGGCGAAAAACAGCCCCCCAAGGACAATAGGAGAGATCTCTGGCGCCACCTAGCGACCAGGAAAAAAAAGTCACTAACACCCCATAGAACAGGAAATTTCTTAAGACTGCTTGAAAAGGGCAGAAGGCTTCTGGAGGACCCAGTGGCCAGCCGGGAAGTTAGCCCACCCCACGCCAGGCCCCTTCCGACCAGCAGTCTGAGCCCACAGAGGGAGCAGGCACCCATGTCCGGGGCAGACCGGGGGCGCAGAAGAGTGTGCCTGAAACCGGAGGCGCAGGGACTGCATCCCACTTCGCCATTTTAGAACAGGGACATTTCTTCAGTAAAAACTGCCTAAAACCAGCAGAAAGCTCCCCCAGAAGACAGAGATGGCTCCTGGAAGAGCCAGAGGGGAGCGGAGAAGTTCACCCAAGATGCCAGTCAGTCCGAGCAACACAGTGTCCCAACGCATACGACAAATTAGAAAACAAACAGTAGGGAGTAGAAGAACCACACGCAACCTAACAACTCCTCAGGAAAGAAGCACACCACAAAAAGAAAACCACTCCCCAGATTGCAACGACAGCAACTTGGAAGAACTTCTGAGCCTTCCAGAAAGAGAATTTAAAATTGCCATGATTAAAAAAGTGATAGATCAGAAGAAGGAAATAGAGTCCCTAAAGAGGGAAGTAAAAGAAATGCAGGAGATCAAAGAATTAATGGAGGAACTAAAGAACTCTGGGAAAAGCAATGAAAGCAGAATAGATGAAATGGAAGAACGAATAAGTACTCTTGAAGACACAGAAATAAAAAGAACCAAAACAGAAAAGGAAAGAGAAGTACGAAGGAAAAAGAATGAAGAAAGACTTCGGGAACTATCTGACTCCATGAGGAAAGGAAATATAAGAGTTATAGGAATTCCAGAAGGAGAGGAGAGAGATGTAGGAACAGAGAAAATATTCCAGGAGATAATTGAAGAGAACTTCCCAAATGCGAAGAAGGAGCTGAAAATTGATATACAAGAAGCAAGAAGAACACCAAACTTCCACGACGAAAGAAAAAACACAGCAAGACACATAATAGTAAAGCTCCCAAGAATCCAGGACAAGGAAAAAATAATGAAGCTGACAAGAGGGAAGACACAGATAACATTCAAAGGAAAACCAATCAGGCTGACATCAGACTTCTCTGAAGAAACACTACGGGCAAGGAGAGAGTGGAGGGACATAGTCAACAGACTTCAAGAAAACAGATGCCAACCAAGAATACTCTATCCCGCAAAGCTCTCTTTCCTCCATGAAGAAAGAATATGGACCTTCCCAGACAAAGAGAAACTCCGGAATTTCATTACGACTAAACCCCCACTCCAAAAAATACTACAAGGAATCCTAAAGCCAGAACCTCAGAGGGACGAATAACAACGAAAGAAGACCAAAAAAAAAGTTATTAAAAGAATAAATAAATAAAATCAAAAGAAAGACAAACATAATGGCAAATACAGATGCTAACATATCAATATTAACTCTAAATGTAAATGGACTAAACTCTTCAATAAAAAGACACAGAGTTGCAGCCTGGATTAAGAAACAAAACCCAACCTTTTGCTGTCTCCAGGAAACACAGTTAGCTACAAAAGATAAAAATAGGCTCAAAGTCAAAGGATGGAAAACAATCCTACAAGCAAATGGGCCAAAAAAGAAAGCAGGAACAGCTATACTTATATCAGATAAAACAGACTTCAAACTCAAAAAAAAAAAAGAGACCCCAATGGTCACTACATTATGATTAAGGTGACAATACTTCAAGAAGAAATAACACTCATTAACATATACTCACCAAACGAAAGAGCACCAAAATATATCAGACAACTGTTGTCCTCTCTGAAAACAGACATCAGAGAAAACACATACGTCGTGGGAGACTTCAACACATCACTATCAACAATGGATAGATCAACAAGACAAAAAATAAGTAAAGAAACTAAAGCTCTAAATAAGGACCTAGAGCATTTGGGCTTAACAGACATCTATAGAACACTAAACCCAAAAAAAACGGAGTACACATTTTTCTCAAGTGCACACGGATCATTCTCCAGGATCGATCACATATTGGGGCACAAGACAAACATCAACAGATACACCAAGATTGAAATCATACCAACCATCTTTTCTGACCACGAAGGCATCAAACTAGAAATAAATCATAAAAAGAAGGCAAGGAACTATCCTACCTCATGGAGATTAAAAACCACACTACTGGAAGACCACTGGACTAATGAGGAGATCAAAGAAGAAATTAAAAAATTTTTTGAATTGAATGACAAGGAGGACACCAATATCCTAAATGTATGGGATGCAGCAAAAGCAGTAATAAGAGGAAAATATATAGCAATAGAAGCTCACATCAAAAAACAAGAAAGAACTCAAAGAAACAACCTAATCTCGAAGCTCAAAGATCTAGAAAAAGAACAACAAAAAAACCCCAAAACCAGTAGAAGAAAAGAAATAATAAAAACCAAAGCAGAAATAAATGAAATTGAAACTAAAAAAACAATCCAAAAGATCAATGAAACCAAGAGCTGGTTCTTTGAAAAAATAAATAAAATAGACAAACCCCTAGCCAGGCTCACAAAGGAAAAAAGGGAGAAAGCACAAATACACAGGATCATAAATGAAAGAGGAGAAATCACAACGGACACAGCAGAAATCAAAAGAATAATCAGTAACTACTATGAACAGTTATATGGAAACAAGTTCAACAATCTAGAGGAGATGGACAAATTCCTACAACTCTACAATCACCCAAAGCTAGATAAAGAAGAAATAGAACACCTAAACAGACCAATTACAAGCAGCGAAATTGAAATGGTAATCAAAAACCTCCCCAAAAACAAAAGCCCAGGACCTGATGGATTTACAAATGAATTCTACCAAACATTCAGAGACGAATTAGTGCCTATCCTTCACAAACTCTTCCAAAAAATTGAGAAGAAAGGGACAATACCAAACACGTTCTATGAAGCCAATATTATACTAATACCAAAACCGAATAAGGACAACACAAAAAAGGAAAACTATAGGCCAATCTCCCTAATGAACACTGATGCAAAAATCCTCAATAAAATTTTAGCTATCAGAATCCAACAATGTATCCATAAGATAATTCACCACGACCAAGTTGGATTCATTCCAGGGGCACAAGGATGGTTTAACATCCGAAAATCAATCAACGTTATCCAACACATTAACAAAAAGAAATATAAAAACCATATGATAATATCAATAGATGCTGAGAAAGCTTTCGACAAAGTGCAACACCCATTCATGATAAAAGCCCTTGAAATTCTTGGGATACAAGGAACATACCTCAACATCATAAAGGCCATCTATGACAAGCCAACAGCCAGTATCATTCTCAATGGTGAAAAGCTGAAAGCAATTCCATTAAGATCTGGAACAAGACAAGGATGTCCACTCTCACCACTGCTTTTCAATATAATACTGGAAGTCCTAGCCAGAGCAATAAGACAAGAGAAAGACATCCAAGGAATCCAAATAGGAAAAGAAGAAGTCAAACTATCACTATTTGCAGATGATATGATAATATACATAGAGAACCCCAAAATCTCCACAGAAAAACTAATTCAACTCATCAATCAATTCAGTAAAGTGGCAGGATACAAAATCAACACGCAAAAGTCAGTAGCCTTCCTATACACAAACAATAAATCTGAAGAAGAAGAAATCAAAAAAACCATCCCTTTTATTATTGAAACAAAAAAATCAAATATTTGGGAATAAATCTAACAAAAGAGGTAAAGGACCTATACAAAGAAAACTATAAAACACTGTTAAAAGAAATAGAAGAAGACACAAAGAAATGGAAAGACATCCCCTGCTCATGGATTGGAAGAATAAACATTATTAAAATGGCCATCCTACCAAAAGCAATATACAGATTCAATGCTATTCCAATCAAAATCTCAATGGCATTCTTCAAAGAAATAGAACAATTATTGATGAAATTCATATGGAATCACCAAAAACCCCGAATAGCCAAAGCTCTACTGAAAAAAAAAGAAGGAAATGGAGGCATCACACTCCCAGACTTCAAACTATACTACAAAGCCATAATCATCAAAACTGCATGGTATTGGCACAAGAACAGACATACAGACCAATGGAATCGAATAGAAAATCCAGAAATAAACCCACAGATTTATGGTCAGCTAATCTTTGACAAAGGAGCAAAGACTATGCATTGGAGCAAAGAAAGTTTGTTCAATAAATGGTGCTGGGAAAACTGGGTCGCTACATGCAAAAGAATGAAGCTTGACCACTACCTCACACCATACACAAAAATCAACTCAAAATGGATTAAAGAACTAGACATAAGACCTGAAACCATAAAATACATAGAAGGAAATATAGGCGAAACACTACGGGATTTGCACATCAAAGACATCTTTACAGACACATCACCCAAAGCAGTGATAGTGAAGGCAAAGATAAACAGCTGGGACTACATCAAATTAAAGAGCTTCTGCACAGCAAAAGAGACAATAACAAAAACAAAGAGAAACCCCACCAACTGGGAGAACATTTTTGCACACAACACTAATGATAAAGGACTGATCACAAAAATCTGCAAAGAGCTGATGAGACTCAGCAACAACAAAGAAAATAATCCAGTGAAAAAATGGGCAGAAGAGCTAAAAAGAAACTTCTCTGAAGAGGAAATGCAAATGGCCAACAGACATATGAAAAAATGTTCAACATCACTTGTAATCAGGGAAATGCAAATCAAAACTACCATGAGATACCATCTCACACCAGTGAGAATGGCACATATTAACAAAACTAGCAACAACAAATGTTGGCGAGGATGTGGAGAAAAAGGAACTCTTGTGCACTGTTGGTGGGAGTGCAAACTGGTCCAACCACTATGGAGAGCTGTGTGGAGATTTCTGGACCTACTAAACATAGAGCTTCCATAGGATCCAGCAATTCCACTCCTAGCTATTTACCCAAAGGACACAGAAACATCAATTCCAAAGAGCACCTGCACCCCTATGTTTATAGCAGCACTGTTTACAATAGCTAAGCTTTGGAAACAACCCAAATGCCCAAAAATAGATGACTGGATCAAGAAGATGTGGTACATATATACCATGGAATATTACTCAGCATTCAAAAAAGATAAACACATGCAATTTGCAGCAACATGGATGGCGCTGGAAGGGATCATGCTCAGCGAAATAAGCCAAAAAGAAAAAGAAAAATACCGGATGGTCTCACTCATAGCAGGAATCTAGAAAACTTAAATAAGGGACCAGGAAAATGAATATAAGAAAGTGAAAATCAAAATCAACAAAAAACTATGAACCAGAGACACTTTTTGGGGGGTGGGGGGCGGGAGGGGAAGGATTGGGGTCAGAATGGGGCGTTTGCAATTGTATGGGGGAATATAAAAATAAAATTTATTATTTAAATAAATAAATAAAATAAAAAAAAAAAAAAAGATTCATCCATTTAGGGCGCCTCCCCTGGTGGCGCAGCGGTTGAGCGCTGGGTTACGAGGCTGCCCGCAGTCTCTGCAGGGCCAGTTCGATCCCCAGCCACCGGCGAGAGTCCCACAGAAAAAAATAAATAAGATTTATCCATTTATGCATACAACAGCTGGGGTACAGGGCAGAAGGTAGAAGATCTGATTTTGCCTGAGGGTTCTGGGAGGAGGGCCTTGAAGTCCATGCTTAATGTGGAATCTCAGTGAGCAACCGCAAACACAGGCAATCATTTCACACACTTGTTAAAGGCCATGACACAGTCAATGATGCCTCCCACAAGAATGTGTGTCTGTGTATGTGTTTATGGAAGATTTTTGTGGTACCAATTACATAACAAAATTCATCATTTTAACCATTATAAAGTATATAAAGGATAATCTGTCTTCTACTAAAAACACAAAGTCCCAAACCATTCAGAATCATGAGAAAAATTATATATTCCAAACACTTCTACCCATTTCTTCCACTCATTCCCTGGCCAGACAATTAGACTCATTGTTTTTAGCTCAAGAATCCATAACCTTTTTATGGAAAGGACCTACTTTTTATTTCTCTACAATTCTTGAGACCACTAGGAAACCAATGAGGGAAAGCTGATAGACAGTGAATGAACAGAAGTGGAAGGAAGGGACAGGACTGATGTTGCAAGCGAGAATCAAGGGACACAAGGTGGAAACCCCCAGAGTCTCTGCCAAACCCCCTTCACTGGGAACTATTTTCTGACTGAGGAGGTTGGCTCTCACTCTGCCATTTTAGTTTGACCTTGCTAGTTTGGATCTTCCCTGGATTGACAGAGCTACTCAGCATCTTTCTAATAAATGCCTTGTTTTTTACAGCCATGAAAACCTTCACTAACACATCCTTCCATGACCCCTGCCTCATCAGGAATCCATGACAAGGGGGATAAAGCAGAGAGTTGTATGGAGAACTTGCTGAGAAGGCCAACAAGCATTTTCCAAACCATCAGGTGGGAACTTGTGTTAAACAGGAAACCTGTTTTCTAAAACAATTTACTTTTTTTTCCCTTACTTTCTCTCTATCCTTTCACATCAATGTCCACATATTGGCTAGTTTAAGGCTTTGTATAACTTGATGTTACCTTGTTGAAATTCAATGCAATTTGAGATTTGGTAATTATGTGGGCCCTTTTCCCTAAGTGGTAATTATGTGGGCTATGTTCCGTATAACAACCTAATAAATGCCTCTATGACTGTTTTGGCAACCAGAGATTAAGTGGTCCAGAATCTGTCCTTTAATCTACCAAGCAGAACGTTCTAAGGTAGAAGCCTGCAAAATGGACAATTATAAAGCTGTCCTCCATGTTCCTTTGTGCTGAAAGCCAGGGTTCTGGCCAGCCTTGGCACAAGACAAGTTTGCCCTAAAGCATAAAAAACCCTCAAACCAGACTTTCAGGAGCCTGAACATCATGGAAACCAATTTATTTCATTCAACATTCATTTATTGTTTAAAATACACAATTATTTTGATGTTGCTAGAATGAGGAACTACATAATACAATAGCATAGGATCCTTGTGAAATACTTTCAAGTTAATGTCCCCAAACTGTGTTTACAAATAAATTGTGTTTCACTTTATGAAAGAAAAGTGCAGGCAGGGGCAAGTGTCATGGAAAGCCATGGGACCTGCAGGATAAACAGAAGTGACCCACTCAAGGTCAGGAAGTATTCCAGATAGAGAGCAACATGTGCAAAGGCCAATGGCAATAAAGAGATTATGTTCAAGGAGCTGAAAGAGGGGACATTAATGAGAGAGAGAAAGAAAAAAAAATACAAGAGAAGGCAAGATGACTGGCAGATTACATGTATGCTCTCATTATTATATGGTGCAAAGAAAGACCATGGTTCTTAGGTCTCCTCTTCGTCTCACATTCGCTAGTGTCTTAATATTGATGGTAGGAAACTAAAATTATTTTAGCAAATCAAGAAAAGAAGAAGCATGTAAGCAGCTTACTTCCATAAGCAGCAGCTTAAAAATATCTGTCTTCATGCACTGGGTATTTCTTCAGAGGGTATCTTGGTCTTTCAAAGACGTCATTTACTTCATCAATAGAATCTTCCTATAACAAAATTAATCCAGCAATTCCATTACTTAAAACGTAATACAGATCAATGATAACCAGGTATATGGTTCTGCATGGAAAAGATCTATAAACTCCACATGCATATATGTGGGGTTCACTATCTTCCTTCTTTCCTCCCTCTTTCCTTTCTTCCTCTCCTCCTCCCTCTCATGCCTCTTCCCCCCTCCTTTTGCTTTCTCCTTCCTTCCTTCCTCCTGCTCTCCTTTTCGCCTCCTTTTTCTCTCCTTTCATTGTTTTTACATTTTCAAGGGATTCACTTATTTGAGAAGGTTGACAATTAGCAAAGTACCCAGTGACTTGTTGGAGAGAAAATAGCATTCGGGTAACCAATCTAAATCTAGGCTATGCCAGTATTTTAATAAATCATGATGACCTATCCAACAATATGATATGGTTAAACCCAACAACTGGGGCACTAGTAAACTTTCATTTCAATTCTTTTAAAATCGTGACAGGTTACTTAGCTGATGGCTGTATATCTGCAGTACACAAAGTACTAGGAATATCTACCTATGGATTAGAAACACTCTCCATACTCTATAAAAGTCAAACAGCCACAGACACCTTATTGACATTTAGTTAAACTTTCTTCCATGTTGTGGCCTTACACAGACCACAGATACAACTGGGTTCTTCCCTGGATTGAGATTCCATGGGCAAGTGGAAGGGGTCAAGCTAGACCATCTTCTCTTAGGCCTTTGAAAGGACCATGTTCCCTCCCACTTAGCTACTATGTATGTCCCCGATGGAAACTCTACTGTCTCTTCCTTGGGGACTCCTGCCCTGACTCCCAATGAAGTCAATTACCCCCTTTCATACACTCTTAGGACAGCATGTACCCTCCTCAGTGAGGATCACAAATTTACACATACTGTAAATGGATTAATCTTCCCCCACTAGACTATTAAATCCCATTTCTCATATAATTCTGTCAGCAAAAATCTAGTTTTAGAAGAAGCCCTAACCTTGTTTAGGTATTTCTGAGCTCTGTGGGATGTCAGAAGATTAAATACCCTTTCATGGATCTTCTTCCATGTGGACTGAGAACTGGGGTGGAACCTGCTTAATAGATTAAACAGGGTGAGTGTTACGCAGCCACTAAAAAGAACAGTGAGAGTGCTTATCAATAAGGTGCATTATTTATAACTCAATAGTAAGAAAAAAGTAGCAATATGCACAGTAGTATATATAGTGTGGTTTCAATGCCTTTACTAAACCTATGTACAGTCGATCTGCCTGTTCTGTTCCCCACTCTGTCTCTGGTGAATCCTCTCACTCTCCACACCTCTGGCCTGGATCCCAGTTCTTGTATGCATAAATAAATAAATCTTTTTTAAAAAAAGAAAGAAAAGACCAGGTACATCATTTCTATACTCCTTTAAGAATTTTCATGAGGAAGGAATAGAAATATTTTGAAGCTATAAAGTACACATTTGAAAAATAGTCACCAATTGAACACCAAATGCTTTTTCACAGGACTTGAGTAAGCAGTGTCAAGGATATGCTTCAAAATAGCTATCTAAAAATATTATTTTCATGGTGCCACTTTCCTGCAGTAAAAATGACTAATTGTCCTGGTTTGCACAGGACAAAGGGGTTTCCCAAAATGCAAGAATTCCAGGGCTAAAACCAGGACAGCCCTGGACAAACCAGATGAACTTTTCTATGTTGCTATTGATTGTATATGGAGGACTTGTCACCTTACTAGAGAGTGTGGTTTAGAAAAAAAAGGTCCTGCTCTCCATCTTTGTGCTGCCCTACAGATTTATGCAATCTTATTTTGTTTTTGTTTTTTTATGACAATATAAATAACCAAGAAATCATGTCTAGAAAGAGAGAAACTACACCCACATCTTAATGTTAGACTTTGAGTGGCAGGACTATGGGTGATTTTTTTTTTATTCCTTTTTTTTTCTACAATTTCTAAATTTCTAAGGTGAGCACTTACATAGTGGTGAAATGAAAAGCATAAGTTTTTAAATTTATGAGATAAAAATATATAACACTTATGCCAAGTTGTATGTCTATCCCATTTCCAGCAGAATATGCAAGAGAAAGGCTCAACTCTTACCTGGAATTTACAACTTTTCATATCTAGGAGTCACTAGCTGAATAATCTTAAGGAAGAAAACTGATGAAGAAACCTGGCTTTAGTCCCTTGCTGGGCAAAGTCCCTGACTTTGTTCCCTTGCTTCTCAAAGTGCAGTGCATGGCCCAGCGACATCAACATCACCTGGAAGCTTGTTAGAAAAGGATTCCAGGTCCCACCCAATCCTCCTGAATAAGAATCTGTAATTTAACAAGATCCCCAGGTGACTCAATGCAGACAATAACGTGCTCTTCAAGCAAGAGATGGCTGCTTGCTGCTGACCTTTCTCGGAGAAGGGGCTGATCCAGAAGAGGACTGAGAGACCTGGAGTGCTGGGAAGTGGCAAATGAAGTTTCCTGGTGGAAATCAGCATCCCCTTGGTTACTGTAATTGAGCGAGAGTTTTCCAAACTTACTTGAATCTAAAGTTGATGGTGATTCATTCCTTAAAATAATCCGTTCATCTGGCTCTTTGATAACCTGAGTAACAATGTGCATTATTCTTTAGTGGTAGTTTTGTTATTGTTTGCTTAATTTAGAAATGGGGGTGGGGTAGAACACAGAAGAGAACTGGGAGAAAGATGACAGAATACCTGCCCAGAGGATCTCCAGCAATAAAAGAAGACTAGGGCAAGGTCACGGAAAGGTAACGTAATTTCTGCATGTTTGGCACATTTTAGCAAGCCAAAATAAACGGATGCACTGCACTTGATTTGTGAGGATTAGGGATATTTGGGTTTGGGGAAGATACAATTTTATAACAAAATATTTAAATGCTATGACATAAGAAGACTATACCTTTTTTTTTGGCATACATCTATTCATCAATCAAGTTTGAAGAACACATGATTTACCACTTTTATGTATAAAGAAAGGTATTTGATTAGAGAAAAAACAATAAAAATTCCTACTGACAACATAGGTATTGGGTCTGTCATCTCAATACACCCTCATCCTAAAAATGAAAAGAGCTTAAATAAGGGGGAAAACTAACTATGACAAAGTATAGAGTGGGGTTTGGGTGCCTGTTAAATTCTAGTTAAACTATAGCAATTCCATAAGCAACATTAGCTGGAAATATGCTTTCCACCATTCATTGGGAAAAGCACAATATTTGACATAAGATAGCTGGGAATAAATCATTGTACAAATGCTACTTCTAAAATTACCTTTATGTTAGCTGCAAGGCTGTCAAGAGAAGAAGCTAGAAGAAAGAGGAACAGGTGTTTCAATGACTTATTATTACCAGTTACCCCTAAAACTACAATTACATTTATTTCACAGCAGTGCAAAAATATTATACAATGAATGAACAATTAAGAACTTAAATTCTCCCTTTAAAATTACTATCACTTTTAAGTCTCCCTTCAGTCACAGCAATTCTATCTATGAATTTTTCTGTCTTCTTTAAAGTCATCAAATTTATTGTATGACAGCACATGTGGATACAGAAAGGGTAAAGAGAAAGTAAAGTGACCAATAAGTTCAGTAACTCTTAAATAGCCCGAAAAACTTCTATTTACCCAGATGCCAGAGCCTAAAAGAAAGCCATGTAGCTCTAATATAAATTTCAAATCCTGTTCCTCTTCTGATGACATCCCCTTTATACATGGTTTTTGTGGAATTCTATTTATGCAGGAAATCTTGAGTGCACTTTTCCAAGGTACACACAGATGTTAAAATTAGACAACGAATACATAAGAGTTTGTAAAACAGTGTGGCCAAAATGTAAATCATTATGATTACCCTAAATCATAATAAATAAGCAGACCTAGTGCCAGAGGAGGGTAAGAGTAACTAGGAAGTAATAATACACACAGAAAAGAACAAGACTAAATTGGCTCTCTCCAGGTTGGAAAAAAAATAAGCTATTGAATGAGTATTTGCAAGATTATGCTAAGGCCATCATAGCTTCTCCCAGTGTGACTGGGGCTTAGGCAGTGTCAAGGGGCTTTTCCTAGACTGCTGATTCCCCTCTTGCTCGCTTGAAGGAAGAAGGAGGAAGATATTAAAGGGAATTTTGAAAGCCTGGTAATTGTCACACCCTTTGAGCATGCCCATATGTGTGTATCCACCATGTCCCAGAAGACCCCTTTTCCCCACCCCTGGTGAGCAGAGAATTGACAATGCTAAAGCCCTATTCACCTATCATCACAAACCTGCCCTATGGCGTAGTAGCCCTCTTGTTACTGAATTTGGGCACTCCCTTTCACAGGGAGCTTGACTTTGTTCCCTTGCTTCTCAAAGTGCAGTGCAAGGACCAGCAACATCACATCACCTGGAAGCTTGTTAGAAAAAGGAATCCCAGGACATACCCAGTCCTCCTGAATCAGAATCTGCAGATAACCAGATCTCCAGGTGACCTAAGTGCATAGCGAAGTGTGAGAGTCACTGCTTTATTCTACTTTACGCCTGGATGAATGAGCTCGCAGGTGACCTAAGCAAAGGTCTGACTCAGAAGCCACAGGGATTCCAAGAATCTGAGCCCAGAGGTCGGAACATCTTCTCTAAATGTAGGTGTAACAAAAGCTTGGTGTGCACGGACAGTTTGTTCAATATATGGTACTGGCAAAACTGGACCACCACATGCAAAAAAATGAAACTAGACCACTACCTTTCACCATGCACAAAAATCAACTCAAAATGGATAAAAGAACTGGACATAAGACCTGAAACCATAAAATATATAGAAGAAAATATAGGTAAAACACTAAAGACGTACATCGCAATAACATCACCCAAAGCAAAGAAAGTCAAGGAAAAGATAAACAGCTGGGATTACATCAAACTGAAAATCTTCCGCACAGCAAAAGTGACATTAACCAAAACAGAAAGATACCCTACTGATTGGGAAAAAATCTTTGCACTCCAGTCAACTGATAGGGGATTGATCAAAAAGATACACGAAGAACTCACACAACTCAACAAAAACAAACAATCCAGTCAAGATATGGGCAGAAGAACTTACAAGACATTTCTCCAAAGAGGAAATGCAAATGGGCAACAGGCATATGAACAAATGTTCAACATCCCTGATAATCAGGGAAATGCAAATTAAAACCACATTAAGATAACACCTTATACCAGTAAGAATGGCACATATCAAAAAAACAAACAACAACAAATGTTGTCAAGATATGGTGAAAAAGGAACTCTCCTACATTGCTGGTGGGAGTGCAAACTGGTCCAACCACTAAGGAAAGCTGTCAGGAGGTTCCTCAGTCTACTGAAAATGGAGCTACCATAAGATCTGGCAATTCCACTCACAGGGATCTACCCAAAGGACACAAAAACAGTGATTCAAAAGAACACCTGTACCCCTATGTTTATTGCAGCACTATTGACAATAGGTAAAACATGGAAACAACTCAAATGTCCAAAAATAGATGACTGGATCAAGAAGATGTGGCATATATACACAATGGAATATTAGTCAGCAGTCAAAAAAAGATAAACATGCCATTCACAGCAACGTGGATGGAGCTAGAAGGAATTATGCTCAGTGAAATAAGCCAAAAGGAAAAAGAAAAATATTGGATGGTTTCACTTATAGCAGGAATATAGGGAAACCCAATAAGACATCAGTGTAAAAAAATAATAACAGTACAAAACACAACAAGGTAAAAACGGACAATTATAAATCAGAGACATCCTGCAGGGGAGAAGGAGGGAGAGGCATCAGAGTGAGAGAGGGAGGAGCACAGGGGACTGAGGTGATGGTGCACGGGTGCATTGGTGAAGGAAACTCTATACCTGAGGGGGTGTGAGGAAGCAAATATTGTTTAAAAATGAATAATGATGAAAAAAAAAAACTCGATGTGCAACCTAAAAACATTCTTCACCTGTCAGGATAAAGAAAAGACAAAGGCGGAGACCGCTGTGATAAATGAGTCACATTGTAATTGAACCAGCAGTAAATCTAACTTGTCCTCCCAGGGAAAGGACATTTACTGCTAGTTGATATCACAGTAAGGGGGAGGGCAGTGCTACTTTTGTAGGCTACATGGGTGATTTTCAATCCAAATGACTTAAATGTCAGAGGTGATGAAGCACTTTCTACTTGAAACCCTGTACCCTGTCCTTGGTTGACGGCTGTCTGAATAGACACAATGTTCCAAGAACACTGACTTGAGTTACCTTAAGAGACTGTACAGTCCCTTAAAAGTACAAATGTGAAAGCCTAAGATAGGAAACCTTGTAGTCAAGGATGGTGTAGGTCTGGTCCCACCAGGAATTAAGAGAATGACAACCACCATCCTTCTCTAGTTCAGGAATGACTGAACTTCACAGCTCTGGCCTTCATTGCTGACATGGTTCATGTATTTCATTCACAAGGTAACGGCCTCCAGGGGACCCCTTAACCCAGTGACTCTCAACTCAAAACTGTGTAATAATAATAAGATATGAGTTGCCTTTTTAACTTTTAACCTTTCTTAACTCTCATTCTCTCACAACTTATAATGGAGTTTTCCAAAATTACATAATGTGTCACTCTACTGGCTAATGGAATGTGTTTTAAAAATTTCTCACTTTTAATTTCTAATATTCTGAATGTTCCACAGACATCATCCATATAAACAAAAATACTTAATAGTATTTAAGAATGCAAAAGGGTCCTGACACCTAAACATTTGAGATCCCCCCTTCCTTAACCTAACTGCTTCAGATAGAGTTGACTCCCCTCCTCACTGACATGGACTCTTATAAAGCAGATATTACATCTCCTGATCTCCACTAATTCCCTGCTTTTCCCCATCCAAAGAAATGGTAAGTCTTATTTGTCTGCTATCAAAGATGCCTTTACAAGGAGCTCACACCAGTGTGCTCCCTGCTGCCACCAGAACACACTCAGTGATCACGCTACTCAGAGCAATCTCCTTCAACAGTTAGGAGAACTATGAAAGAGACCATACTTAGCTGATTCAGCCTATGGAGGACTCATACCTGGAAACTCCATGGCTGGAGGGGACTAGAGAATTAGGCCCCAAGTTTACAAGGTAATTTTTGACTCCTCAGAATGAAAGATTTATAAGGAGAAAGCATTCATTTTCCCATAGAGAAATATATAAAGGTAACAAGAAACTCAAGTACCTCTTTTCATCAGATATGGAAAGCCTGAAAAATTAGATTTTCTTCTAGACTTCTGGGAATGATAATCTGAAATATTCTCACCAAAGGGCTTTGCACTGTCCACCTAAGAGGAAAGGAAATAAATAGGACTTGAATCTACTTTTGCTACATTACCCTCTCCTCATTAGCTGTAATGCCTCTCTCCGCCTCAGCATGGGTCAAACAGGTGAGAAAAGTTGGAAGCAAATTAAATCACAGTCTCCAAGTACTTAAGAATACTATACCCAACCTGGGCCTCTCTGGTGGTGCAAGGGGGTTGAGATGCAACCTATGAAGCTAATGGCAGCCACTGCAGCACGAGTTCAATCCCCGGCCAGGGAGAAATCCACATGGCGCAACAGACCTCTCCTGACTCGCCCGCTGCTTCCCTCAGCAGTGTATTTCTGTCAATCTGCCTGTTCTGTTCTCTACTCTGTCTCTGGTGAATCCTCTCACCCCGTGCACCTCTGGCCTGTACCCCATTCTTGTATGCATAAAATAAATAAATCTTAAAAAATATACTATACCCAACAATACTTTAAATGTTATACTCACTAGGGTAACCTGACTGTTCCTATAATCAGTGAGGCTAGAACATGAAGATGTTAGCTAAATGTTAGTGTAATGAACTAAAGTTGAACACATATTACATTCTAATCACTGGTAAGGATCCAGCCCAGTGAACAACAAATGAATTTATTTCACAATCTTTTAAAATAGGACCAATTTCCAAGTTCCTAAACAGTATGGCCAGTGTTGGCCCAGGTAGGGTTTTCCTTGAAGAGAAGGGATTATCACAGTGACACTTTAATCTTCCACATTCCCTTCTCAGGGTCTATATTCTTGAGGCAAAAAAGAAATAACAGTAGTGATTATTATGTTACTTAAGGTGACCACATCTTCCTAAAGAAAAATTGGACATGATCTGCAAACAGGTCAAAATAATTCAAATAGGGATACTTCCAGGGCCTCCCCTGGTGGTGCAGGCGGTTGAGTGCTGCACTGTGAAGCTGTCGTCAGCCTCTGCAACGCTGGTTCAATCCCAGCCGGCTGGCGAGGGTCCCACATGGCACGGCTGACCTCTCCTGTCTTGCCCGCTGCTCCCCTCAGCAGTATATTTTGTCAGTCTGCCTGTTCTGTTCCCCGCTCTGTCTCTGGTGAATCCTCCCACCCTTCCGTGCATCTGGCCTGTACCCCAGTTCTTGTATAAATAAATAAATAAATCTTAAAAAAAATAGGGATACTTCCAGAGTATCTATGACATAGAGTTGCTGGTTTTTGTTTTTTATCTTGTTAATTTATTTTTGATTGTTTTTTTTAATTTCAAGAAAACAGGTCATAATGTCACTATTCATTCTACTTTAGAAATAAATTGATTAGAATTTTAATATTCACATCTAAATTTTAATGCTTTTTCTTAAAGAATCCTGAGACACCATCAGGGAATTGGACTAAATAGAGTTACTATGTATTAAGCACTTAGAAAGGGGCTTGGCACATAGTAAAAGTATGAGAACTTGTTAAATAAAATAAATACAAAGCAAATGTCATTCTCTAAAAATTCTACCAAGATTTATTTAGTAATAATGGCATAGACTACTGATTTTAGAGAATTTTATAACAAATGGAATAAATTAGATTGTCCAATAAACACAATTCAATATTTCTATGAAGCTAGGTTTTTGCCACACATTTTTATCCAGGAAAACATGAAGAAAAAAAGCTATTCTCTAGCTTCGAGCCAAACAAGATCTGTGCTCCACTTATAAGTAGACCTTATATATGCTCATCCCAACAGCACCTTGACTTTGGGACTTAACCACACTTCATATTTACATCTACTACACAAGCATTACCCCTTCTTAAAGTCAAGTAGTTAACTTGACAAAAATATCAATAGTTAATACTCTGGAGAACAAGTTATGAATTAGAATGAGGAATAATCTTCATTAAGAATAAAAAATAGGGAGCCTCCCCTGGTTGCACAGCGGTTGAGCGCTGGACTGCGAAGCTGCCCGCAGCCTCTGCAGTGCCAGTTCGATCGCTGGCCACGGGTGAGGGTCCCACATGGCATGACAGACCTCTCCTGCCGCACCCACTGCTCCCCTCAGCAGTGTATTTCGTCAGTCTGCCTGTTCTGTTCCCCGGTCTGGTTCTGGTGAATTCTCTCACCCTCCTGCACTTCTGACTGTACCCAGTGCTTGTATAAATAAATAAATAAATAAATAAATAAATAAATCCTTTTTTTTAAATTTTAAAAAAGAATAAAAAATAGGGCCTCCCTGGTGGCGCAAGGGGTTAAGCACCACACTATGAACCAGTCTGCAGCCTCTGCAGCACAAGTTCGATCCCCAGACAGCCAGAGAGAAACCCACATGGCAAAGTGGACCCCTCCTGTCTCACCCACTGCTCCCCTAAGCAGTGTATTTCAGTCTGCCTGTTCTGTTCCCCACTCTGTCTCTGGTAAATCCTCTCACCCCCTTCATCTCTGGCCTGCACCCCAGTTCTTGTATGCATAAATAAATAAATCTTTTTAAAAAAGAATAAAAAATAATATAGAAAATGTTTTTAATGTAGCATGAACTGTATATATCACAAAATCAACCTGTATATACAGTATACAGTATAATCAACCTGTATATACAAAATCAACCTGTATATACAGTATATACAGTATAATTACATTTTTTTGGTAAAAAGTCTTGTGAGTATAAAGAGTGTAAAAATGCAAAAAAATTAAATAAATTTTTTAATATATTTTTATTATGCTGGCAAGCCTATAGTTAATTCCTTTCTTGAACTTTTCATCATTTTCCACAATCTTTTTAGTGGTAAAAATAAAAATAAATTAAGGAGACTAAGAGAACTGGTATGAATAAATTTGCCCACTATTTCCTAAGGCCTACATCTAAAATAATAACATTTCAGACTCTAAGTATCATACATCACTGCTTCTTCCTGCAGACAGCATTGTTTTTTATCTGCTTTAAAGTATGGTCACTGAAAAACAATCTCAGTAAGAGCTCAAGCAGTTTTCTTTAAAATTGATGAAGCTTTAGTTTTCTATTGATAACAGAGTATATGCCAGCCTTTGTTAAGCATTTTCTACACCTGTCAGTTCATTGATTCTTCTGGATAATGACAGGTTAGCATGTATAGACATCACCCTCTACTAATAACTTTTAAAAAATTAAAAATAGCAATGGCTGACAGTTACTGAGCCAGTTTCTGTAGGAGACATCATTATAGGGTTTCCTGACAATGACTCTAGGATGTGAACCTAATATAATAATTTATTTAATTAGCTTTAATTCCCTCTTTATTTAATATTACCCATTTGTATTTATGGCCCAACCTTCCTTTATTTCACTCCCATTCATACCCTCTCCATTCCAAAGGCTCTGAAAGATAATTTTAGGCTCACATGTCTAACTACAAACGGAGGTTTGCTTTTGAAATTATTTCTAAGGTTCAACTGAGCTGGCTGGTCCTGCAGGAAACGACTGGTGGAATGTGGAGAGGGTGCCCAGGATTGCATGCCTTCGGGCAGGCTGTCCAGATTACTCTCCTTTGGCTTCATCTTTACATTACTTAAGTGGAATTTTGATCCACAGGATGTATAAAAAGGCTTTTGTGACTTATATCTTTCTTCCTGGGGGAAAAAAAAACACAATGTTTTTTAATATGAAATTTTTGAAAGAAAAGAAAATTCAATCAGAATATAACTGTATTTAACTGGCCTTTGTTTAACCAAGAAGATGGAACATACAGGTTTGCAAAATAATAACAAGACAGGTCATTTATCTAAGTTTTTCTTCAGCTCAGCTTAATATCACACTAAGATTATAACTTGCTAATACATTTCAATTAATAACAGTGAGATTATTTTGTATTAGGAGAAAGTTGGAAAATGTCAGATACCAACTCTGCATCTCCCCAAGTCAAAAGTGGGGGGAGAAAAGAAGGGGAGAGAGGCAGGAAGGGGAAGGGAGAGGAGAGGTAAGACTTCATCATATACTCGGTTCCAGCAATTCACTCAAAGGAATTTATTATAAGAAAATAATTATGGCTGTGTATAGCTACAAAACTTCTTATAACAGTCAAAAATTAGAAACCAATATATTGGTGGTAAAAACAATTTCCTCTCAGCTCCACTGTCTTTCTATCCTCAACTTTATGATAATGTGTAGCTCTCTGCAACCTTACTTTCTGCTCTCCCAGTTGTTTCATTCAACTCCAGCACTAAAAAGCATTAAAGGATCATGCTCAGCGAAATAAGCCAGAAAGAAAAAGAAAAATACCGGATGGTCTCACTCATAGCAGGAATCTAGAAAACTTAAATAAGGGACCAGGAAAAAAAATAACTATAAGAAAGAAAATATCAAAATCAACAAACAACCATGAACCAGGGACACTCTATGGGGGGTGGGAGGTGGGGAGGGGAGGGATTGGGGTCAAAATAAGGGGGTCGCAATTGTATAGGGAATATAAAAATAAAATTTATAATAAAAAATAAATAAATAAACACACACAAAAAAAAAGCATTAAAGGGAGATCACAAGATGAGGAGGAAGGAACTCATGGCTTCCAGTTTTTCATTCTATTCCTGTCAATACCACCCCAGAAGCCATTCTTCGCCTGGTAGTAACAAATGGTTCTAATGTATAGCCTCCCCTCCCCATAATGTCAGACTAGCTCACTGTGCTCCTCTCAGATAGTCCAGCACTCATAAATTTTACTCTAGTCCTACAGGATCCTTCCGCCAATCTCCAAGATACCAGTAATGAACGTGTCCTTCCTTAGAGCCCTGAGTTCCAACTCATCAGAGACCTAACTGAATTCCTAAGGAAGCACCCAGGAAAGCAGGCCCCCACACACAGAGGTCTGGGTCCCATTTCTCTGAAGTGTCTTTCTCAAGCTTCTATGTTGTTGACAGAATCTGTTCCCTTTGTTCCCACAGCCCTAGCAAGTGAAAGCTCTTTCTTGCAATTACTATCTCTATTACTCATTATTCTCCTCCTCCTCCCTCTTACCTGTATATCCTTTTTTCTTTTTTCAACATTAAGTCTTTCTTTAAAAAATAAAATGGATTTGTTTTCCTGACTGACCCTGACTGATAAATCTGTTAAGTACCAAACCCCAGAAATGATTGACCAAACAAATTATGGTACTTCCATACAATGGAATACTATGAAGCAATGAAAAACTGCCTAGCATAAGAATACATAAGGACATGAGCACACATGCATGTTATACCAACTGGAAAAAAAAAGGTACCAAATAATATGCAGTATAGTTGATCCCAATCTTTTAAAATTAAAAGTGTATGTGTATTTGTATGTATGTATAGAATACACTCAAAAAATTAATTTGTCCATTTTGTTTATCTGTATTTTCTAATTTTCTAAAATAAAAGGGATACTTTTGTTATAAGAGAAAATAATAAAATTTCTTTTTTCAAGTTTACACTTAAAAGAGAATCTAAATTAAGATTTTGAGACAAGATTAGAATAGTGGAATAAAAGAAAGACTGAAAACTCACCATACACACAAATCAGACAAATTGCAGAAAATGGTGGGTAAGAAAAAAATTAAAAAGCAGCTAATGCCTTCCTAAAAAGCACTTGCTGGTCTCCCATTATATGAGTTATTATGCCCTGAGGCTTGATGGACTTGCACAGATTGATGACCCTTATTCAGTACTGTTAATCCACAGCCCACATTTTCACAGTATCTCCCAAAACCCCGAATTAGATTTGGGATGACAAGTAAATAACTTAAATGAGCTTTACAAATTACTTTCACTCATTTGTCATTTGTTTTAGAAAAGATTTTACATGATTACCAATTTATAGACAATAAGGGAAATCAGGACTGAATGAGAGTAAAATGGAGGTAGTGCTAATGGATGTCTCAAATTCCTGACATTTCTATCACTGGCTTCATGATTACACTTACAAGAAATCTGTTTTCATGCAAAAATGCACATTCTCTGATGGCTGTCCATGTATGAAACTCTAATTTGGGAGCAATACCCTAAAAATAAAACAGCATAAAAGAAGCAAGTAAGATTATTGGAAACAGGTTCTTTACCCATCCCATCCTAATTTGAAATATGCAAGAACCTAATTGCTCTTTTTTTTGGTTGGCATACTCCACCCACATTATCTAAAATATATACAGAATAAATAGAGAATGGAATGTTATTCAGCCTTAAAAAAGAAATAAAATCTGCCCTTTGCAACAACTAAGAACCTGAAGAACATTACGTCAAGTGAAACAAGTCACTTATCTGGGGAATCTACCAATAGTCAAACTCATTGACACAGAAAATAAGAATCATGGTTACCAGGGGCTGCAGGGTGCAGGAAATAGGGTATTATTGGTCAAAGGATACAGTTTCAGTTATATAAAATGAAAAGTTCTGAAGAGCCAATGTAAGAAATTTAACTACAATTTACAATACTACATGCATACATATATAGTATATACAATATTATATTTAATATATATTGCATATTAAATATATATAAAATAATTTACAATACTACAAAATACAATATATAATACTATATATGTAACAAGTTATAAAATTTGTTAAAAGTTTAGATTTTTTTTTTAAGATTTTTTTAATTTATTTAGGTATACAAGAACTGGGGTGTAGGCCAGAGGTATGGGAGGTGAGTGAGACAGAGTAGGAAGCAGAACAGGCACATCTACAGAAATACACTGCTAAGAGGAGCAGCAGGCAAGATAGGAGAGGTCTGCTGCATCGTGTGGGTTAGCTCCCTGGCCCGGGGTTGAACTCATGTCACAGTGACTGGCGATAGCTTGATAGTGCTGAGACTTTAACCCCTGCGCCACCAGGAAGGCCCAAGAGGGTAGATTTTTAAGTGTTCTTGACTCTCCCTTCCAAATGGCCTATGTATTTTGCATATATTAATTCATCTAATCCTAACAAAAAATCCAACAGATAGGTCCTAAAAGTGTCTCTGCTTGTAGAAGTTTAAGTAACCTGTCCAGTTAGTAATGGCAGAGCTGGGAATTGAACCCAGGCATCCTGGCACTGCTGTTAATGTAGTTAACTACTCTAAATTGAATTACAGAATTGAATGAGCTCACATAGGGAGAGGATGACAGAGTTTCTCTTTCTCTACTTACTTGCTTTGAAAAACTTGCTTTATATTTTATACCCCAATTTTTTGTTCATTAGATCAATTTCCAGACCTCATTTTTTTTGCACTTCTGTGTTTAAAAGAAAAGATCTGGGAAAACCATGAACACAGATCTCCGCTAACACAAAGATGAAGTAATTGACCCAAAGTCACACAGTCATTGAGTTACAAAACTGAATGGGTGGTGGGAATTTTAACCAAGATGAAAATGCATACGCTGTGCAAAAATGAAAAACGATGTAAAAAATATATAAAATAATTTAAAATAAATGAATAAAATAAACCCAGACAATCGGAGTCCACACTTAACAATACTACAACCGCCTAGTCGGACTGCAAAGACAGAGGGTGGGGTTCCCTATCAGTAAGAATCCACACCCTGTAACACATACTTGTCAGGTTTATATAATCTCCATTCCTGCCAATGACTGACAGGCAATAAAGAGGATGTATTTGCTTTTTCACAACAGTGCTGATCTAGCATAACAGTTTAGAGTTGCAATTTACAGGTTCTATGTTGTCTGCTCTCCTTAGAGATGAGATGATGGTGACAACATTTAGATCAATAAATTAATTTAAACGTAAGATTTTTCTAGAATCATTGCAAAAAAAATAAAATTCATTGAAGTTAATTTTAAGAGATAACATTCTTTTCTGCTTACCTCATAAATTTAGTCTTCACCTAATAAGAAAATAGATTACATTCCCCAAAATAGAGAAGTCTTGATCTCAGCATGAAAAGGGGGGACTGGAGAGGCAAGGAGAGGGTGGGGACTTTTACAGTATCCAGTGAAATAAAACAAAATGTGAAAATACAAAGAAAAAGTCACATTTTAGTGAAGGCAATATATCTAATTCTTAATGAGTTAATAAAGAAAAATAAATGAAAGAAATGGTTTGCCTGACTTGTACATGTAATTCACTCCTGCTTCCTACAATATTAATGAAAAGAAAGTGTACACAGAGCCTCCCTGGTGGCCTAGGGGTTAGGGCTCAGCACTATCACCATTACAGCCTGAGTGGATCCCCGGCCAGGCAGTTAACCCACATAGGGCACAGCACACCTCTCCTGTGTCACCCGCTGCTCCCCTCAGCAGTGTATTTCAGTTAGTCTGCCTGTTCTGTTCTCCACTTGGTCTCTGATGATCCTCTTATACGAGACCCCCCCGTGAACCCCACCCCCCCACACACCTCTGGCCTATGCCGCAGTTCTTCTACGAAAATAAATAAATAAATAAATAAATAAAATTGGACACAGAGTGTAAATAATTATGAGAGAACTAGCACCATGCAGTGACCAAAAGTATAAACGCTGAAGTCCTACAGGTCAGCACAATAATCTCTGCTCCATTGCTCATCAGCTTTAAGACTCTAAGCACATTTCTTAAGTTACCTTCACCAGCTTCCCCATCCATCAAATGAGGAAAAGAAAAATAGTCACTTCGGGTTAAGGAGGATTGTGTAAAATAATCCATGTAATGAACTCAGCACAGTGCCTGCCTCTCATGAGCACACAATGAATATCAGTTACTATGAAAACTTCAGCAATTGGCTTTATTTTGCTTTGTAGAACATTTTAAAGAAATTGAGCTTTTTAGAAACTGTTTAAAATACAATTTGTGGGAAAAATCCTATGTTGTAGAAAAACAAACAAGGATGTAAAATAATAACACATCACTAATAAAAAAATGAAAGTTTGAGTAACTTCCTTCTAAGAATTGCCACTTTATGGGCCTCCTTGGTGATGCAAGGAGTTAAGAGGCAACCTGTGAAGCTGTCCACAGCCACTGCAGCACGAGTTCAATCCCCGGCCAGGTAACTGCCCACATGGCACAACAGACCTCTCCTGGCTTGCCTGCTGCTCCCCTCAGCAGCGTATTTCAGTTGATCTGCCTGTTCTGTTCCCCACTCTGTCTCTGGTGAATCCTTTCACCCCCCACACCTCTGGCCTGTACCCCAGTTCTTGTATACATAAATAAATAAATCTTTAAAAAAAATTGCCACTTTATGTCTAACGCATGAGGTTCTTTCCTCACACTTTTTTTTTAATTTTTTTTAAAGATTTATTTATTTATGTATACAAGCACTGGGTACAGTCAGAAGTGCAGGAGGGTGAGAGGATTCACCAGAGTAGCAGAGAGGTCTGAGCGCCATGTGGGACCCTCACTGGGGACCAGGGATAGAACCAGCGCTGCAAAGGCTGCGGGCAGCTTCGCAGCCCAGCACTCAACCACTGCGCCACCAGGGGAGGCCCACTTTCCTCACACTTTTGAAGTTCTTTCTCTGATGATTACCTGCACTAATAAATAACTATAAATACAATGTTCTATGCTCATAAAGTTAAACCGTGGTGACATTTGGAAAAATATAAGAAAATGTGTTTCTCTTTGTCTTGATACTTAGCTGAAATCCAGTCCAATGTTTATAGATGGTTTTTATTTAATAGAGAATTTGAGCAAACCAAAGTTAATATAAAAAGTATCTCCCACTCTATTCTCACCAGTTTTCATCCCCTTTCAGCTTCTTAAGAGTAGTATCCTGTTAACTCAAAATAATAAAGGCAAGCATCTTACAGTACCATAGATATAAGTGACATACAAAGAATATCTCTGAGAAAAAAAAAATGGTGTCAGGGATATAAATCAAATCACCATGGATTACAAAGGGCATAAAGTTATAGGAATTCTGATTAGCACAACTTTTGGTTAATTTTGCTGCTTGAAGTAATAGAATTAGTAGCTGTCATCATAAGTATCATGGAAACATGGGTCCTGCATACTCTATTCTGCACAGTATTTTCAACAAAGTAGAGAAAATAACATTTTATTAAATAATAATAGCAATTCATGGGGGCTGTAACAGGAAAGTTGAGTATTAAGTATGCTTTTTATAATTCACAAAGATGTGGCCCTTAAAATAGAGGTCACCCAAGTAAAAAAAAAATTTCAAGAAAATTTTCAAAGTTGTTGCAGTGTTAGAAATCATCACATATAACACCAAATTGAATCTTTTGAGGGCTTCCCCTGGTGGCACAGGCAGTTGAGCAAAGCTCTGTGAGGCTGTCCACAGCCTCTGCAGCGCAGGTTCAATTCTGGCCAGCCGGCGAGAATCCCACATGGTGTGGCAGACCTCTCCTGCCTCGCCTGCTATTCCCCTCAGCAGTGTACTTCAGTCGATCTGCCTGTTCTGTTCCCTGCTCTGTCATGGTGAATCCTCTCACCCTCCTGCACATCTGGACTATACCCTGGTTCTTGTATGCATGAATAAATAAATCTTAAAAAATAATAAAAAAATCTTTTGATTTGGGGTTCTAATAATGTTCCCAAAACAGATCATCAACTGAATAACCACTGTGTCTTTTAAGATCTTTCAATAAGGGCCTCCTTGGTGGCGCAGGTGGTTGAGCGCAGCGCTGTGAAGCTGTCCGCAGCCTGTGCAGTGCCAGTTCAATCCCTGCCGGCCGCACAGCAACCCACATGGCATGGCAGACCTCTCCTGTCTCACCCACTGCTCCTTTCAGCAGTGTATTTCGGTCATTCAGCCTATTCTGTTCCCCACTCTGTCTCTGGTGAATCCTCTCACCCTCCCGCACATCTGGCCTGTACTTCGGTTCTTGTATAAATAAAATAAATATTTTTAAAAAAAGATCGTTCAATAATATCAGTCTGGGAACCTCTATCAGTTTTCCCACCATTAAATGTAGACCATAACCTGCTTTGGCTGATTTGAGAATAGTTATGAAGAAAATAAGAAAACATACATGAAAAATTGAAAGCACAGAATGAACATAAGCTAGCGTTATACTATAACTACTCTATTTCACTGTTGTTTCTACTAAAACAAAAGCTATGATCAAATAAACTGATATCAAATCTTTCAGTTAATCAGTGACCTTTTAATAATTATGGAACGGTATGACTACACCAAAGATTTAGCCTGATGAGGTAGATCAAGCGTGGGAATATACTTGGGTACTTCAGGGGGTACCTAAACAGCACTGCTAAACAGAACATCAGTGGTTGTGAACCAAGATGAAGTTACCTGCCTAAGATCAAGCCGTTTATCAGGAACAAAATGTTCAGGTCCCCAAAATTTCTCTCCCAATGAAAACCCAGCTGGGCAGCATCACTTACTGGGAACCCCGCAACTGTCTTCATGAGCACCTCTCTGTACAGCCCAGTGTGTGGGGTTGTCAGCCTGGGCTCTGGAAAAAGGAAGTCCCTTGTGTTTTCTTCATAATAGGCCAACTCTTCCCACACTAGAAAGAAAGAAGGAAAGACGTAAATGGATAAACACTTTGAAAATGATGTACTACATCCCTGGGTTTAACAAAATAAAAGCTTAGATAGGAGAGTGGGATCAGATAAAAATAGATACTGAAATCATAGCATCTATTAATCAAGAAGCAGATGACTTAGACTAATTTTTATCTCAAAGATAATTTTTAAAAGCCTTCCCAAGTCACAACAAAGGGGAAAAAAGACTGTTTAAAGTGTTGTTCCACAAAATAGAACAAAGAAGAAAATCTATCTTTCCATTCATCCATCTTTTCCTTCAACAAATGCTTTCCAGGGACATAACTTGGGCAAGCTTCCAGGGAAAGAACAGAAATAAGGCAGACAATATCCTGCTCACACAGACTCTACAGTTTGGACAGGTATTCTGTGATGTAGGGATGTTAGTGTTCCAGTGGCCCTAAGAACAGCCAGGGCTATGGTTCTCAGCAGTGCTGGTACCAACCCCAGAGACATTTCTGAACTTTGCGGGAACATTCCATGCACAGGAATCAAAGGAGCTTGGGCATTCTGCAATGCTTAAGATACTCCTGCACCAAGGATAAAGAAAAATATGGGATGATTTCACTCATGTGGACCACAGAGAAGCAAAACAAAGGAGCAGACAAAACTAAACCAAAACAAACCCTAGAAATCTGATTGCAGAATTGAGACTACTAGGGGAAGGGGGAGAGAGGTTGAAGGTGGAATAAAGCGGAGAATGGCCCAGTGGTCTACAGTAGTCTTTAGTGCTTTGGTGGTGGGTGTGGTATGGTGACATACAACTGAGGAGGTGTGACCCTATTCCCCTAAATCAGATACAGTGTTATAAACCAATGTTACCTCAATAAAAAGTAAATTAAAAAAAGATACTCCAACACAACTATCTAATGTCCTACCAGACATTCTTTCAGGTGATAAACTTTTATAATTATCTGAGCCTGGAATCTAACTTTTACATATATACAGTTTTTTTGCAAAATTTTTAAAATACTCTTAATTTTCAGGGCCTCCCCGGTGGCGCAGAGGTTGAGCCCTGGGTTGCGGGGCTGCCCGCAGCCTCTGCAGTGCCGGTTTGGTCCCCGGCCACCGGCAAGGGTCCCACATGGCATGCAGACCTCTCCTGATGCCCGCTGCTCCCCTCAGCAGTGTATTTCACTGTTCCCGGCTCTGTCTCTGGTGAATTCTCTCACCCTTCCCTGCTTCTGACTGTACCCCAGTGCTTAAATAAATAAATGAATAAATCTTTAAAAAAAAATACTCTTAATTTTCAGGAGTGCTGGTATTGTGTAAATAAAGGAACAACTGAACTCTGTTTTGTTTGTATCTTTAGCAAGACCCTTTTGGCATTTTGAAAATCATACAATTTCCCCCGTATATGAAAATAGAATGTGTCTCTGAAATGGCATAAAGAAGCATTACCATTACTTTACTTGGAAAATTTTTTAACATTGCCAGACCCCCCAAGAAATGACCAAAGTATACCAAATAACATATAAAGCCTAAAATAACACTAACATTGCAAAAGCAAGAGTGATATGATAAATACACAGCCTGGATAAAGTAGTTCCCAGGGAGGAGGCTCAATTCCAACTCACTGGCCTCTCTCACTGCTCAGGGAGTGTGCTGCCTCTAGAACAGCTGCTGCAAAACAAACACTCAGTTATTTTTGCTTTTCATCATAAAAGCAAAAATTCATTTGGGGATTCTTTCAGTTAGCAAAACAGGTATGAACATAGGTCTTTCATGAACGTGAAAGTAGGGAGTACCTGTAATACAGTATGCTCAGGGATCTTAGACATGCAACCTGAAAATGGGAAATGGTGTGACAATTTCCTCACTTATCACTAGCAATAAAATACAGCTACCTGTACCTATACTGAAACCTATAGTACAGTTTTTAAGAACTCACATTTTAGGTTCAGACAGATCTGGGTTCTATTCCTTGCTCTCCCAGTTACTATCTGTGTGGCCTTGAGCAAATTATGTAAGGACTATATTACATGTGCAAGTGCACAGTGCCTGGCATTACCTGCCATTATCGTGACACAAGCCAGCAAGGGGCCCTCTACTCTGGGACCACTATGAACAGCACATGTTTTCAGTCCTATGTTCCCATTGAAAACAAATAATATGCTTAATATGATGCTCTACACATATGCTTTTCCTTTTTTCTTTGTTTTGGCCAGTTCTCATTTACTCTTAACATATTTAATAAATTACTCTTTATCTACTCAGCGAGAATTAAAAATAAGAGGTCAGAGAATTAGAGGTGAGTTCATTTACTCTCTTTGGAGTCACAGGGATAAAAAGAGACTGAAATAGTATTCAGAAAAACAGAACGCTGTGAAGCTTCTCAATACTGTCTCTCTGGTTTGGTCATTTTCTAGAAATCCAACTGTCACCCAGCATGAAAATGTCAGCAAACCAAGGGGATGTTACAGCAAGAGCGTGGGTAATAAATAATAAACATACAAGAAGAGCAAGCTCACAGGCCAAATGAAATGTATGAAATAACTCCATGTCTTTAATAGGTTAATAGTGCCACCAATGACAACTTTTCAAAAAATGAAACAAATGAGACTTCAAGAAAAAGAATAATACTAATAACAATATTCATTCAAGAAATAGCTAAATTAATAGAGCATATCAGAATTGACAGCTGTTTCCTGATAAGGGGACCCATTTGATTCCCTCTTTACAGATAAGAAACTTGAAGCTTTGAGAGATAAAGACACTTGTCATGATGCCACCTGGCAAATAAGGATTCCACGCCAGATCATCTGAGGCAGTTCTTTCCTTGCAGCCACCTAGTATCACTATCAAAGTATAAAATCAAGCTCTAATCCAGGGAATGGGTGCCTACCAAAATAGGATTTCAGCTGTACTGAATATGCATGACTTATTCCAAAGTAAGGGTTTTGCTTAAGAGGTTAATAAAAAAGAAAGCACCACAATATCAAGCAGGATTAGGCTGCCCCCCTGTGTCCATTAGCTTTTTCTCACCTTTCTAAACTGAAGAACAGGGGGAGTCTTGTTGCTTCTAAAACAAGTAACTGGATTTCTGCATTCGACAGCAATAAAGTACAGGGCATGTTCTAAGTTCCAAGTACACCCTCAAACATAACTTGGATAAAGATCAATTTGTAATGCATCTGAAGCTGAGTAAAATTTTTGCTTTGAGCAATTCAAGTTAAATTCCACTGAAACTGAAGGATTATAGACAAAAGGAAATCAAATATAATAAAGCCTAAATTTTGCAACTGATTAACTTCCAACTTATAAGAGGGCACACAAACCCAGTTTCAGTATTTTCCAGTCATCATGGTTTTGAACAATTCTTTCAATCTTCTCACAGATAGGTTTCTGGTCAAATGAAAAACATATGGTAGTCTAGGATATCCTAAATTTTATTTTGTTGTTGTTGTTGTTTTAAGATTTATTTATTTATGCATACAATAACTGGGGTATAGGCCAGAGGTGCGGGCAGTGAGAGGATTCACCAGAGACAGAGTGGGGAGCAGAACAGGTAGATCCACTGAGATACACTGCTGAGGAGAGCAGTGGACAAGACAGGAGAGGTCTGCTCACCATGTGGGTCACCTCCATGACTGGAGATCAAACTCGTGCTGCAGTGGCTGCAGATAGCTTCATAGGTTGTGTCTTAACCCCTTGCGCCACCAGGGAGTCCCCCGTTGTTGTTGTTTTTTAAGATTTATTTTATTTATACAAGAACCGTAGTACAGGCCAGATGTGCGGGAGGGTGAGGATTCACCAGAGACAGAGTGGGGAACAGAATAGGCTGAATGACCGAAATACACTGCTGAGGGGAGCAGTGGGTGAGACAGGAGAGATCTGCCATGCCATGTGGGTTGCTCTGCAGCCGGCAGGGATCGAACTGGCACTGCACAGCCTGCGGACAGCTTCACAGCACTGCGCTCAACCACCTGCGCCACCAGGAAGGCCCGGATATACTAGATTTTACAAAGCAAGTTCTATAACATGTATAGTCAACCAATGTATATAATAAACATATGTAACCTAAACACTAGAGATATTGTGTGTGTGTGTATATATATGTGTGTGTGTGTGTGTGTATCTATTTTATGGTTGATTGAGTGTACCAAATACATAATATATATGAAATACATTTTAAAAGATATAAAAAGATACACAACAAATTGTTAATAGTAATTATTTGTTGGGAGTTACTGATGAATGTGGCTTTTGATTCTTATTTTATACAATTTTGTGTCATTTCACATTTTTACAGTGAGAATTTTTAGGTAATGGGTAACTTTAAAAATTCATGTAAAATTAAATAATAACAAAATGGGCCTATTTCTATTTTAATGCACACTAAAATATAACTTGTCTGTTAACAGTGGTATATGTTTGAACATAAAACTGGGTCAAGTAAGAAAAAAACGTATTGAATAAAAACTCAATGTCCTGATTTCATCCTGTCACTTTTATGCTGAAAAACACTCAGTGAGAATTTCTGAGAGCAGCCAGAAGACATCTGTAATCTTTCTTATTCTGCCTACCTAAGAAAATAATGACATATAAAAGTTATCTACACCTAGATCCACAAGGAATGGGGTTCTTGTCTATTTCCAGGACCTGCTTCGGTCAATGAACCAAGAGGCAAAAAAAAGAGCTACAGACTCCTGGGTTCACTCCACCCCACTGGTGGCCCTTAACCAGCAGGCATAAGAGCCTCTACAGCCACTCGGCTTTAACGGAGGTATCTTCAGGCTCACCTTCCTTCTCCCATGCCTTCTTAGGAAAACGAGAAGTTTGCAACAAAATATCAAAATTATGCAATGATTTTGCAGGAAAAAATACATATACATTGAACATGACTAATTAAAAAATTGGTTAAAATATCAGGAATTTATACCAGAATGCAATGCTAATACCAAAGCATTACTCCACAAGTAATCAAAGGACACTGACAGTCATATTATACAGAAGGAGAGAAAACAAAAAACCTAATATGGGAAAATGGAAATTTTGAAGAAGTTAATTTTAAATTTAAGGTTGTCACAATCATATGTAAGAAGAAGAGGACACACCACTAAGCAAACGCACACAGAAGAGTTTCCTCCTAAATATCATGTCTAGCACAGGGTTCAAACAGTAAATATCTTAGGATTTGAAGGTCATATGGTCAAAACTATTCAACTGTGTCACTGCAGTGTGAAAGAAATTATAGAAAGTATGTGAATGAATGAACATGGTTTTGTTCCACTAAAACTTCATGGACAATAAAATTGAAATGTCATATGATTTTCATGTTGCTCAATATTCATCTTTTAAATTTTTTCCCTAATCATTTAAAAATGTAAAAACTGAACATAGTTTGGCAGTTTCTTTAAAAGTTAAACAGAATTATAACATGATTCATCAATTTCACTGCCATATATAAATCCAAAAGAACTAACAACTTGTACACTAATGTTCATTGTAATATTTCCTAATATCCAAAGATTAGAAACAATCAAAATACCCATCAACTGATGAGTGGAAAAAGAAAATGTGATTTCTCCATATTAAAGAATATTATTCTGGGCCTCCCTGGTGGCACAAGGGGTTAGAACACAATCTATGAAGCTATCCGCAACCTCTGCAGCACGAGTTCAATCCCCAGCCCACCAGGGAGCAACCCACATGGCGCAGCAGACCTCTCCTGACTTACCCGCTGCTCCCTTCAGTAGTGTACTTCAGTCAATCCGCCTATTCTATGCCTCACTCTGTCTCTTATCCCCCACACCCCTGGCCTGTACCCTAGCTCTTGTGTGCATAAATAAATAAATCTTTTAAAAAATAATAATAATAATAATAAAGAATATTATTCTGACATAAAAAGGAATGAAATTAGGCTACAACATGGATAAACCTTGAAAACATGCTGGATGAAAGAAGCTAGACTCAAAAGGCCACATCTTGTCTGATTTCATTTATAAGCAATGTCCAGAATAGGTAAATTCATAGAGCTAGGCCAGGGACTGGGAGGAGGAGGAAATGAGAAATGCATTCATATTGAAGAATATGGGATTTCCTTTTGAGGTAATAAAAATGTCCTGGAGTTAGATAGTAGTGATGATTGCACAAACTTATCAACATACTTAAACAATGGCATATACTTGAAAAAATTTTAAGAAAATGATTTTATATATAATTGCTTCAAAAAGATTCAAATGCCTCAGAATCAACCGAACTAAGAAAATGAAGGACCTATACAGTGAGACCAAGAAGACATTCTTATAGGAATCAGATAGTGACATAAGGAGATGGTGGGACATCCCATGCTCAAGGATGGGGAAAATCAGTATAATCAAAATGACTACCCTGCCTAGGGCCTCCCCGGTGGCACAGCAGGTTGAGTGCAGCACCGTGAAGCTGTCTGGAGTCTTTGCAGAGCCGTTTCGATTCCTGGCCAGCCAGGGAGATTCCCACATGGCATGGCAGACCTCTCCTGTCGCGCCCGTTGCTCCCCTCAACAGTGTATTTTGGTCGTCTGCCTGTTCTGCTCCCTGCTCTGTCTCTGGTGAATCTTCTCACCCTCCTGTGCCTCTGGCCTGTACCCCAGCTCTTATATAAAAATAATAAAATCTTTAAAAAAAAAAAAGACCACCCTGCCTAAAGCGATATATAAATTTAATGCAATCCCCATCAAAATACTAACAATATTTTTCAAATAAATTGAGCACAAAATATTAAAATTTACATGGAATCACAAGAAGCATCAAATTACAAAGGCAATTTGAGAAAATTGCCTGAGAAAAAAGGAGAGAAAACTGGAACTTAGAGATGCATTTACTGGGAAATTACCTGGAGGTACCAGCTGTATTAACTCAAACCTGGTTAGGAAGCCTAAAAAGGAAAAAATTAGATGTTAATACTCTAGAAAATTGCAGAGTTTTTCATTAACTGTAAACTTAAAATTGCCACAAACATTCCATTTACATTAATACTAAAATAGGTGCCATACCAAAAGTGGCTCTGGTATTTCCAAACTCAATATATAGAGGACTTGCAGTAAGTTATAAGTAGCATTTTGTCCCCTGAAAAGCACTGACAAAATGGATATAGTATTTCCTCTCTTAAAAATGTACTCATAAATCACTGAACTAATAAATGTCTTTGATATTAAATCAAAATACAATTGTTATCCATTAATACATAGAAGTTTATCTTGCTTAAAATCATATGCTATATGATTATACAAATTAGACATAAAATAAAACACAACTTTTTTTATATTTCCCAAGTTCAAATATATTTAGAAATAATAAGCCCTTGTGTAAAACCTATAAAGACAAGAAATAAGTGGAAATCATAAAGGCAATTTCAAATACAAATGTTGTAACAATAAAAAATCTCAAAAGATAATTCCCCCAAAATATTAAAAATGAAAATATTTAAATAAGCAATAGTGATTATAGTTAGTAAGGCTATATTATATACTTAAAAGTTTATAAGAGAGTAGATCTTAAGTGTTCTCAGCACAAAAATGAAATGGCAAAAAAGTGATGTGGTGAAGGTATTAGGTAATGATACAGTGGTCATCATTGTGCAAGATATAAGTATATCTAATCAACATATTAGACACCTTAAACTTGCACAATGCCATATAACAATCATAACAGTAAAACTGGGGAAAAAACAGATAATAAAAGTAAATTTCTCCTTTTGTGGACTCATAAAAAACATATGAATGGATGAGGACAGAATTTTAATTTTTTTTAATTTTATTTTTATATTCTTCATACAATTGCAATCCCCTTATTTTGACCCCAACCCTCCTTTCCCCGCCCCACCCCATAGTGTGTCTCTGGTTCATAGTTGTTTGTTGATTTTGATTTTTTCTTGCTTATAGTTATTCTTTTTCCTGGTCCCTTATTTAGGTTTTCTAGATTCCTGCTATGAGTGAGACCATCCGGTATTTTTCTTTTTCTTTCGGGCTTATTTCGCTGAGCATGATCCCTTCCAGCCCCATCCATGTTGCTGCAAATTGCATGTGTTTATCTTTTTTGAAAGCTGAGTAATATTCCATTGTGTATATGTACCACATCTTCTTGATCCAATCATCTATTTTTGGGCATTTGGGTTGTTTCCAAAGCTTAGCTATTGTAAATAGTGCTGCTATAAACATAGGGGTGCAGGTGCTGTTTGGAATTAATGTTTCTGTGTCCTGCACAGCAAAAGAGACAATAACCAAAACAAAGAGAAACCCCACTGACTGGGAGAAAATTTTGCACACAACACTAATGATAAAGGACTGATCACAAAAATCTACAAAGAGCTGACGAGACTCAACAAAAACAAAGAAAATAATGCAGTCAGAAAATGGGCAGAAGAGCTAAAAAGAAACTTCTCCAAAGAGGATATACAAATGGCTAACAGGCATATGAAAAATGTTCAACATCACTTGCAATCAGGAAAATGCAAATCAAAACTACAATGAGATACCATCTTACACCAGTGAGAATGGCACATATTAAAAAAACTAGCAACAACAAATGTTGGCGAGGATGTGGAGAAAAAGTAACTCTCCTGCACTGCTGGTGGGAGTGCAAACTGGTCCAACCACTGTGGAGAGCTGTGTGGAGATTCCTCAACCTACTAAAGACAGAGCTTCCACATGATCCAGCAATTCCAATTCCTAGGTATTTACCCAGAGGACAGAATTTTAAATGCCAAGAAATTTGAAAGTCAAGACAGCCCACAGGCCTCCCTGATGGCGCAGGCTGTTGAGCGCCCCACTGAGAAGCTGTCCGCAGCCTCTGCAATACAAATTCGAATCCAACATGGCTCGGCAGAACTCTCCTATCTCGCCCTCTGCTCCTCTCAGCAGTGTATTTCGTCAGTCTGCCTGTTCTTTTCCCCACTCTGTCTCTTGTGATTCCTCTCACCCTCCTGCTCATCTGGCCTGTACCCCAGTTCTTGTATAAATAAATAAATCTTTTTTTAAAAAGACAGCCCATAAGTTTAGGTTTTTCAAATGACGGAGGGAATATATCCTTGCCAATCATACCCCCAAGGCAATATTAAGCAGTTGTTTCAGACTCGAAATTCCTAATATTTATTCATTTTAACCACAACCCTGGGAGTCAAGCATAAAGATTACCCCCATTTTTATGAATGAGAAAATTAAGCCTCAAGGAGGAAAAGTGCAGTAACTAGGGCAAAACAGTAACAGGGTTTCATCTAAACCCAAGCAGTTTGCCCCTAAAGCCTGTGCTCTTATGCATAAGACACTTCACTGAAAAACTCCATTCTTCCACAGAACAAGTTAATTAAGATGTTTTATAAAATACATTTAATTGCTTGGAATAATATGCACACTTTACACTTGCTTAAACTATCAAGGACAGTAAATCACAAAGAGAGCTGTACTCATGGTCTTTTAACACATTAGTTGACCACCTGGGTTTAATATTTGGGAGTTGAAATGAAAAGATCTTGAATCTTGTATTATTAACTGACATACTGAATTTTTTCTTTAGGATTTAAAGAGACATGAGGGAAATTATTCTTACTGAGGTGAGCCATCTCAGAGAGACACTTTACCATACTGTTTCTTAAGATGAAGTCACAAAGTACCACATATTGTATAATTCCAGAATAAGAAAATCTATGGAAACAGAAAGATTAGTTAGGAGTTACCAAAGGCTGAGGGGATAAGGAAGAATACATATAGGGTTTCTTCTTATGATGACAAAAATGTACTACCACCGATTATGTAAGGGTTACATGACCATGAGACTATATACAAATCATTTTTATTCTAATAAATAAACAAGCAGAATTGTATGATCCAGAAAACTCCATCCATATCTAGGAAAGGGTCTATCATCAAATACACGACTCAAATTTTACATATGGATCAAACACAAAAGTACCACAATTTAGAAAACAGTAGAATTTTATAATAATAAATGACATACACACAGTAGGTTTTTTTTTTTTTTTGAGAGTACATACCTTCTAAAATATCTGCTACGGTTCCAGGATCAATTGCATTTTCAAATACCTGCAGGGAAAAAATGGGGGAAATACATTTTCAATGTTTTTGTGGGCATATATTAATAAAATTGTAGGTTATAATTGCCCCATTAATTAACACATGCAAAATCCAGCCATATAATATTTTAGGATTCAATAAGAGTATCTTTAGCAATCACATAGTTGAAAGTTCAACAAATGACTATAGAATAAAAATTGACATAATTCCAAGAGCAAGGGAAATCTGAGTTAGTTGAATCTGCCATATGCTCAAAATGTCATCAAATTGACCTAGCCCTACAATTTGTTGGTAAAAGCACATCTGGCAACAACCTCAAAGAGTCTTTAGCTTGAGTACCTAGAAAGAAAAACATTCCTCATACTAAGATATTCATTCATGTTGCTCACTGAAGTAAAAGGGTGTGCTAAAAGGACTATAAATTAAAATCCTATCTATGTATAACACAAAAGAAAAACTAAGTACTAATACAGCTTTCCATTTTTTTTGGAAAGTAGAGCATTCCTGCGAACCTTTTATAATTCAAAATAGTGTAAAGGATAATTATCATTAATTTATATGGGAAAATATTTGAACATTCCGATATACCCAAAAACCTACCAAATAATATGTAAAGCCTAAAATAACACTATGATGTGGAAAAATCAAGAATGATATTATAAATACACAGCCTGTATAAAGTAGTGCTTGGGCAGGGTCTTGCTGCTTAGGGTATATGATGCCTGTATAGTGACTGTTGCAAAATATATACTATTCGCTATTTTCACTTTCCCACTTTTGTCATAAAAGAAAATCCTCTTTCCATTAAACTCTCAAAAAGGGGGATCCCTGTGGCTACACTCCAACAGAATCCAAAAATAACTAGAGAGGGACAGAGTCTCATTAAGTTTTAAGTGAAGCACAAGAAAAACACTGTGATACCTCTCTACCCATTGCCAAAGCTCCATATTTTGTCCTTGAGATAAAAGTACATGGAATAATACTGAACTAAAAGGCATACCATGCCCCTTACCCTGAATTCTGGAATCCTGTATGAAACAAACATTTTAGTGGAGTTTTTTAGACATTAAAGTTCTGATTTAAATGAATTGTTGTTAAGGGGCATCCCCGGTGGCGCAGCGGTTGAGCGCTGGGTTGCGAGGCTGCCCGCAGCCTCTTCAGCGCCGGTTCGTTACCTGGCTGCTCCCGGGCCACCGGAGGAGGGTCCCACATGGCGTGCAGACCTCTCCTGCCGCCCGCTGCTCCCCTCAGCAGTGTACTTCGGTCCTTCTGCCTGCTCTGCTCCCCGCTCTGGCTCTGGTGAATTCTCTCACCCTCCCGCGCTTCTGACTGTGCCCAGTGCATGTATAAATAAATAAATAAATCTTTTTAAAAAATAAATAAATAAAAATAAAAAAATAAATGAATTGTTGTTTAGTCTTCAGCATGGCTAAATTCTGCTCTTGATCTGAAGTCAGATCTGCTTTAACTACAAAATATAACCCATTTTTGTCTTACTGATTTGGATTTATCTAGCAAATACAAGATTTTTTTTTTTTTTTCAGTTATTTCAGTAACTGTAACCCTTCACCCATGTCTAAAGATTTCCTAAAGTGTGATCTTGGAGAGTAAATGATTGATGTAAGTTGCTCAAATATAATAGTTCACACATTCTTTATGAGTAATTTCTTATTTACCTAAGTTCTTTAGAACATTTGATTCTAAATTACACAGAAGGTTTAAGAAGACATATTTTCGTTTGCTGCAAGTTTTTGCAGCTAGAGAATGGAACAGACATCAGAAAGCTCAAGTCAACTGAGAAAAAAGCAGGAATGTGAACCTAAATAACTTACACAAGAGGGAAGTTTTTCTAAACTTAAAATAGTTATTTAGTTGCATTTTACAAAATGAAAAAATGATTCATGATAAGATTGACCAGTAATTTCAAATGCACAGTCTGCAATATAGCAGTTATGGCATTTAAATTTTAACCCTGAGCTTCACGCTTTGCTTCTACAAATCGAGGAGGCTAAACTCCTAAGGTCATTTAAAGTCTTCTACATAAGCAAACTAAAAGTTGTTAAAACTAATTAGGAAATTCTTGGGGAAAAATAAACTGGATTTTATCATCCACCTTTTACCACTACTAAAATATAAATGGAAGTAATTTCTATTGGATCCTGACTGCATGTTCCAAGGAAATACCCATTTATTCCTCTCAAATCCAGCCACGTTGGTAGATCCTATTCTAATTATTATTAATAATATAATATGATGATTTTATTTAAGTATTACATAGAGCCCTAGCCCTTTATAAATTCAATTCTCACCTCCTCTCCCATTCTCATGTCTAAAAGAGAGGTAATTTTCTGGGCAACCATCCAGATCTTTAAAAGGTGATAAGCCTTACCCTTCAGGCTTCCCATAATCATCTCCTCCCCAAAAAAACCACCCCAGTGATATTTTGGGGGACAAAATCATTAAATTTATCAAGGTTAAAACTGATTCTATCTCCAAATTCCAAAACTAAACCTTCAAGGTATTGTCATTGATGTTGTATTGATGAAATAAATATTCTAAAGTGAGGAAAAGATTGGTAATATTTTTGGCTGTTTATATCATGGTCTTATTCACTGGGATGGACTTTAGACACTATCACTGTAGCTAATAAACCAGGAATGACCTAAGGAATCTCAGCAAATCTGAAGAACCTTCTAGTTTTCAGATACAGGATTTAACTAATTTGGTTTAGCTTTTCATTATTTCTTTGAGTCAAAAAAGTTTGTTTCCAAAGTCTTCTAGATTGGGCCTCCCTGGTGCCACAAGGGGTTAAGACACAACCTATGAAGCTATCCGCAGCCACTGCAGGCTGAGTTGGATCCCTGGCACAGCAGACCTCTCCTGACTCACCCACTGCTCCTCTCAGCAGTGTATTTCAGTCAATCGGCCGTTCTGTTACCCACTCTGTCTCCAGTGACTTCTCTCATCCCTCACACCTCTGGCCTGTACCCCAGCTCTTGTCTGCATAAATAAATAAATCTTTAAAAAAAAAAAAAAACCCACAAAGTCTTCTAGATTATTGATAATCTGTCATGAATGTAATGCAACCGCCTCTAACACATCCAAGAACATTCAGAAAATTCTCTCTCTGCTCCAGTTAGAAAATGCCATGGGAATTCCGAGAATAGAAAACATCCACCAGAGTATTCAGCACTAGATTGACAGAGCTTGGCTCACACCTGAGATGCAAAAGCAAAGCCTCCAACTAGGATTTTGCACTATGTTGAGGCGCCAGAAACTAATTTTTTAAAGTAAATTTATATAATAAGTTTATAAGGACTGTGTCCTTTGCAAGAACCATTAAATGATCTTTAGACAGCTAAATTTAAATTTCTCTTATTTAGCAATGAGAAAGTCAAGATTACCTTTTCAAATTTCATGCTCTGCTGAATCATAAGAGGGAATACAGGGGGGAAGCTGTCTGTCTCCAGGTACTGATTCAGAAAGTAGATCCCAAGGTACACATCTTGCTTGCCAGGAAGGAACACCCCTGGGCAAGAAATCTTAAAAACAAAGAGAAAAAATTGAAGAGTGTGTTGTGTTTTGTTTTCTAAAGGCGCCTCTACTTCTTCTAACCTCCAACAATGCGAAATACCCTCCACACCGAACCCCTTACCTGTACCTCCCACAACAGTATCCTCTCCGCCCCCCTTCTTAAATTTGGAAATTCCAGATCTTCCCCGGTCTCCGCCAGGTGTCACAATTGTCCTCTGGCCGCCGCCTGTCCCCGCCTCTCCAGGATGGTCGTGCGGAAGCGGAAGACGCTGCAGGCCCGGGAAGCCTTTCTTTAGCCCGGCCGGGTCCTGGGGTCCTGGCGGCCCGCCGCGATGCCGAGCCCCCGGAGGAACGCAGAGGGACGCCCGCTGGGCGCCCCTGCCTCGAGCACCAGCAGCAGCAGCAGCCCCAGCAGCCCGGCCCATGGCGGCGGCGGCAGGTTCGAGTTCCAGTCCCTGCTCAGCAGTCGCGCGCCGGCCGTGGACCCCACCTGCGCCCGGCTCCGCGCATCCGAGAGCCCGGTGCACCGCCGCGGCTCCTTCCCCCTGACCGGGGCCGGCCCCTCGCAGGCACCCTTGGCCCCGCCGCCCGACGAGGACCGCATGGACCTGAACCCGTCGTTCCTGGGCATTGCCTTGCGCTCCCTGCTGGCCATCGACCTGTGGCTGTCCAAGAAGCTGGGGGTGTGCGCGGGAGAGAGTTCGTCCTGGGGCAGCGTCAGGCCCCTTATGAAGCTGCTGGAGATCTCGGGACATGGCATCCCCTGGCTGCTGGGCACCCTCTACTGCCTGACCAGGAGCGACAGCTGGGCCGGGCGCGAGGTATTGATGAACCTGCTCTTCGCCCTGCTGTTGGACCTGCTGCTGGTGGGCCTGATCAAAGGGCTAGTCCGCAGGCGCCGCCCGGCACACAATCAGATGGACATGTTTTTCACTCTCTCTGTGGACAAGTATTCCTTTCCCTCGGGCCATTCCACGAGGGCCGCCCTGGTGTCACGGTTCATGCTGAACCACCTGGTGCTGGCCATTCCACTGAGGGTGCTGGTGGTACTGTGGGCTTTCATCTTGGGCCTCTCCAGGGTCATGCTGGGGAGGCACAATGTCACAGACGTGGCTTTTGGCTTTTTCCTGGGCTACATGCAGTATAGCATCGTGGACTATTGCTGGCTCTCACCGCACAATGCTCCATTCCTCTTTGTACTATGGAACCAACACTGACACCATCTTACTCATCATGGCACCAGGAGATCTGAAGATTTCCATTAGCAATGATGCCATCATAAACCAGCACTCATCTTGCTTGCCCCTTAGGACATTTCAGGCTTCCTTTGGGATTTACTGCCATCTTAATGGGATGTCCTATCATCTTGATGGGTTGAGCACATGCTGGCTGGCCATTACTGATCACAACCATATTATGGAAAGCAAAAAAATCCCTCTATTGTATATTTATTCAATAATTATATGTCCAGGACAACAGCAGAGGTGTTGTCTGGGGTGATTATAATGTTGCTCTTTTCTAAAAATTTACATAATTTGTGTTTTGTAGTAATCCCATATATCAACATATCATTTGTAAATTGAAATTTGAAAGAGAAACATGCTTATCATTCTGTAAATATACATGCAGATGAGCCACAAACGAATTCTAGTCCTTTTTCTAAAGTAGATTTTAAGCAGTATTTTAAGAGTATAAGACATAGGTTTTTCTAGTGTGCTTCTTGAAGATCTGTTGCCACATTTGGGGAGATTTCTTAATGCTGATGTTCTTGGTAAGCTATTTGACTATTGACTCTTCCGTCTTTGCAGAGTGGGTAGTGAGAAGCAAGATTATAATACATGTCTTTCTCTCTTCTCCTTATTTACCCCTACTTCCTAAAAAAATCTTTAAAGATATTTATTTCCCACTACTTAAGAGTCTTTTAGCATTTAGAAAACAAGTCAAGAACTTACTTGAAGAAACTCTTAAAAGTTGGGCATATCTGCAGTGCCCATAAAAAGGAAAGACTGGGAATATGGCCTCATGCTTGATTTTGTTGACAAGCAATAAATAGTGTGGTATGACAATGGATAGAAAAGCTAAGTTTCTGGGGAAGTCAAAATGGAGAGTTATAGAGTACAGTATGAGCCAGTATATGAGGAGATAGGGCCCTACGGCCTATCGTCTCTTTGGAAAAAATAATGCTCCTCTATTTGGGTAATAAAATGGGAAAATAATAGAATTATTTGCAATGCCAGAGCATGAACTTTTTCATATATGCCACAAGGATGATCCCACATATTGTAGTTTTTCATGTGGAATTCCATTTCCTTGTACACGGCACATTTTAGGTAACAGTATTTAACTTGAATTCATCAAGGGAAGCCTGCTGCTATACCAAGCTCAAGATATCTCTAACTCCTAAATTTTCATTAACATTGATCTTTGCATTTAAAGATTTAATCCATAGTGCCTCCTCAAATTACAAAACCAAAACCATCAAAAGCAGGGTGAATGCCTCTTTGACTAAGAAAGACTGAAGTGGTTATGTACTTTAAATGTTGCTCTATCTGAAAATAAGAATCTTTAAATTACCCATGGAAATTGGTGTCTTCGGGTACTCTTTATAATAAATGAGTTTGACATTTATAAAAAGGATTATGACCCTTGATCTGTCATACAGAGGTACTGCTAAGAGTATGGAGAATGGTTGTGATAAGTAGGTTCTCACTGGGTGGAAGCATTGAACTTTATGGATGTGAGAGGCACACTGAAATTGAAAAAGCTGCTCCTCATAATAAAGTTATTTACATCCCCACAACATCCTGAACACATACTACCTCTTCACTTGCTAAATCAACCAAACTGAAGCTCTAAGTGGTTTGCTTTGTTTAACCTTGGAAGGAGATCCTTTATTTTAATCCATTTTCAGTCCAGATCATTTGGACACAATGATATTACCTTTTGCAGTGTGTAAGTCTGAATATTGGAGTCTCGAAATTAGGTTTACCTTCTTGTTCATGGTTATACTTCTGGAATTTCCTGTTTTCATTGCTGGGGTTTTGAAGCACAGATCAATTAGCTGATGCTTTTGGAGCATTGTTAAGTACTGTAGAGTCGAAAACTGATTTCATTGTTAATAAATTGTATACTGGGGAATGCCTTTGAAAATCAAAATAAAATTGGGCCTCGCCGGTGGCGCAGCGGTTGAGCGCTGGGTTGCGAAGCTGCACGCAGCCTCTGCAGCACCAGTTCCATCCCCAGCTGCTCCGTAGCAGTTCCCCAGCCACAGGAGGAGGGTCCCACATGGCGCTCAGACCTCTCCTGCCGCCCGCTGCTCCCCTCAGCAGTGTACCTCGGTCCTTCAGCCTGCTCTGCTCCCCGCTCTGGCTCTGGTGAATTCTCTCACCCTCCCGCGCTTCTGACTGTACCCAGTGCTTGTATAAATAAATAAATAAATAAATAAATAAATAAATAAATAAATAAATAAATAAATCTTTTTTTAAAAAAAAAGTGACTTTAAAAAAAAATCAAAATAAAATTAACCAGTATTGTTGAATGAAGTGAGATGAGTTTAATTTTTGCCATAATGAGGAGGAAAACTCAGCTTCTTAAAAATTCCTTCATTCTACTGCACAATTTTGATATAGTCTGGCCCTATTTGTTGTCAGCTAAGTAGGGAGAGTGCTGGAAATTTTTATAATATTTGTTTCAGAACTACATGTATGATGAAACCATGGCATTGGTTATCTGTATGGAAGCTAACCAGATTTTCCATGGCAGTTAAGCAGTATTTGTTAGTATTGTGCTTGTAATCACTGCCAGTAGAGAAGCCCCTAGAGCTTGGAAGCGAAGCCACACAACAGTCTTTCAGTGACTACAGATGGAAGCCTTGGAAAACAGACTTTAAGTAAAAGGAATGGCTGACCCCAAACTGGAACAATGAAGTCACTCTGCCACAGGGCCACACTTAAACAGGATTTAGTGGCTAATTGCATAACTGTTGTTGATTGATTTCCCTTTTGGGATTAGCAAACCAGAGCCATCTCTAGGGGAAATAGCTTAGAAAACATTAGTTTGGTTCAGAGGTGGCATGTTATCAGAAGTAATGGGCTTTTTGAAATTAAATTCTTCCCTGGTTATTTAAAGGAGAGGGTTTTCTTGTTTTGTGGTTTTTTTTGTTTGTTTGTTTGTTTTTGGGTTTGTTTTTTTTTTGTAATCCTTTATCACATCTTTACCCTGAAAAAGAAAGAAAATTCTTCCTGGACTTAATGCAGGATTATTTTATAAACACAGAAAATTTCAGGATAAAGCTAAGAAACAAGTTTTGCTTTGGGGAGAAAAGATGGATGAAAGGTTAGGTAGTCAGGGAAGACCAATGTATAGTATCTCAGGGACATCAGTACGATTTGTCCCAAAAGATGAGGGTGTGTGTGTGTGTGTGTGTGTGTGTGTGTGTGTGTTTTGTGGGAAGGGGGTGGCGAAAACGAGCAGGGGCCCTCTAAGAAGCCTAGGGAAGGAGTCTGATTTGGGACAAGGAATAGAAGTTCGTGAATCTCTTACCGCCCGGACCTGCAGCTCCACCACCACCTCCAGAGGCATCGTTTCCTGCGTTGACGACAGTATTGAAATGAAATGATCCTTTTGTGCCTAGCCTCAGGCCGATTTTTCTTAGTGTACTTCACTCTCTAGCGCAAATGTTCCCAGCAGTTTTCCCTGCCCCCACCCCCTTTTCATCCCCCACCCCCACCCCTAGTCCAAGACCCTCCCACCGGGATGGGTCTCACACAACCGGAGCTGGAGCGCAGGTTTCCAGAAGGCAAAAGCGTCCCGTTGCCATGGACACTCAAACGCGCCACCTTCCATCCTGGAACTCAAGCTAGGCCCCGGCGCAGGCGCGCGCCCAAAGCCTGGCCTGCGTGGTCACAAGGTCGGCTTTGCAGATTGTGCGTTTGGCGAGAGAGGTTAGTCTTGTACTGGCGTGGTGGCGGGTTTGGGAGAAGCTGACAACCCTACTTTACTTTGCATTCCATCACCTCTCTTTATAGCCCCGGTCATCATGTTAAAATGTTTACAGCGTGCTTTCTGAAACTGGGATGTGATCTTAGCTCCGTCATCATTTAAGGGCTTTGCGAACTATTTTTAGTAGCTTTGCAAACCCAAACACTGGAATTTCTGTAAAATTCCAATTAAAATACTCTCTTGTCCCTAAAGGTACTTTAGGTTACGTCTGAAATGTTGTGTTCTCGTGTTTGATTCAGAAACCATTGACACCATCTATTAAGAAATTACGTGTGCTAATTAGAAATATTGGAATGATTCTTAAAGAGGTTTAAGTTTGCTATCTGTTGTTAACCACCATAGAAATATTTATCGGTCTCTCTTTTCTGGGGTGAATTAACCTAAGGCAAGGACTGAATTGCATTATCTGCCAAAGTGTAATTACCTGTTCTTTCCAAAGCCAGTTTCTCTGTAAAAAGGTGAAAAGTGGCAGGGAGAGCAAGAGTTCTTTACACATCGTAGAAATTGCTTTGTTTTCCACCATTCACTGTACATGATAGACAAAAATTAAGGGAGGAGGGAGTGACTGCCACTGGCCAATCAGAAAAATGTGCAAGGGCCAATGTTGTCTCTTGAAACAAAAATCTTAAATTGTGATGAGTCATTTATTACTAATATCTTGCACTGAAAAGTCATACAATTGCAGAAATGAAAATGAAGAAAGATATCTTGAGACAAGGATTAGGTATTCATTTTGGTAATTGGAGTTTCTTTCCCTGAAGGAAAAAAATTCAGTATCCATATAATGAAGTTATATTGCGTCCTTGTCCAATCCCTGTTGTTCCGCCTACATATCAAGAGGTAGTAGGGCACTTGTTTCCTTACAATATATGGAGCACAGATTTGTCAGCTCACAACAGCTTGCTGGCACCCAGACTAATACAGGGATATACAGGCAGAGAGTAAGTCACCAATACAAATGCTAAGACATCAGGAGGAGTGACAACAAGAGCAGATGAATAAATAAGTGGCCAGATATGTAATAGAAGGGAAAAAATCTTTGTTGAGCACCTGCAAAGTGCTAGGCACATTGCATGGCTAATTCATTTCATCCCAAAATAACCCTTCAAGGGAGATATTATTATTCCTATTTTACAGATGCAGAATCTGAGGCTAGAATGCCTTTTGCCCAAGGTCATACAACTAAAGGGTAGCAACCACATTTGCATCAAGGTGTGCCCTACCCCATTACTGCCCTTTCAGCATAGACATTGAATTGATCCCCAAAGACACCATGTCCCATCCTGTGTTCTTTTGGCCTTAACTGGACTGTCTCTGCTGAACTGAATTCTCATTGATTAAAATGGATTCTCAGGCCTCCCCGGTGGCGCAGAGGGTTGAGTGCCATGCTGTGAAGCTGTCTACAGCCTCTGCAGTATAGGTTCGATTCCCGGCCGGCCAGAGAGACCCACATGGCGCAGCAGACCTCTCCTACCTCGCCCGCTGCTCCTCTCAGCAGTGTCTTTGGTCCATCTGCCTGTTCTGCTCCCCGCTCTGTCTCTGGTGAATTCTCTCACCCTCCCGTGCCTCTGACCTGTACCCCAGTTTTTGTATAAATAAATAAATCTCTAAAAAATATATCAAAAAAAGAAAAAGAAAATGGATTCTCCTTGCTTGGTTCCTAGGGTACCCTGGAACAAACCTTTTCCTGTTTCCCTCCTACTCTCTGGTCATTCTTTCTCTGTAGATGTTTATCCTTTACCAGGCTAAGTATAATGTTTCTACGCCCTTTCCTTTCCTTACTCTATACCCTTTATCTAGGGTGCCATCCAATGTAAGTGTGGATTAACACATGTACACAGATTTACATATTCCACCATGGTGTCTTTTCTGCTCTAACATAGTGGAATATATTACAAATATATTTCTCTCTTCTTTGTAGCAACTGCCACAGTAACAGTTTTACTTTCCTTCCTGTGACTGTTGATTACTATGTTTCTCCAAAGTTGTAAACTCTGCATAGCTAAGAGTTTATCCTAAATACCTAGCATAGCAGATGCTCAATAAATATCTTTGAATAGATGTTAAATGCAGACATGGTCAAGCCACTTCTAGAGGATTTACTGTGCATAGGTAAGGGGAGTCCTACACATAATGACAGACTAAATAAGCAGAGTGAGAAAGGACCAGGCACAGCTATTTCTGCTAGTCTGCCATGGAGGTATTAAATGAGTTGACAGGAAATATTTACACTCTGTTAATTTCCCCCACCAGGGTTACCTGAGGTTCTCTGATGCCTTGAAGATGTGAAAGTTGCTACACAAAACCTCTGCCCCACTTTGCAAAGTAGTTCATCACCGAGGTGGCTGTCTCCTTGGTAGGCCAGTCAAAGTCATTCAAGGATTTGATGGATTGTCATTACTTCCGAAAATTGGCTCTATTGGCTGTGTAGGTGGCAGAAAAAAACATTCCGCTGAGCTACTTCTGATTCCAAAGTGTTCCTGCAGTGCAGCAGGCTCAGTAGTGATATTAGCATTGCAGAAATAACACATCAGCACATCCTGTTCAAATCTTGGCCACTGTTAAGAAAATGGCACATGCCCCAAATGGGAATTTTCCAAAAAGTTAATGAGCAAAGAACCAAAGTATGACAGATAATTATGACTGAGATTTTTCCCTTTAACTAAAAAAATTAATTATAGGACCTTAAGTTGCAAACTTTTCAAATGATGTAGGGAGAAATATTCATGTGAGGGAAGGAAACTATAAGAAAAAGGAGGAAGGGTTGTGGGAAAGCACAATCACACATTGTTGGTAGGAGTGTAAATATACCTAATGTATTGATTTTCTGTGGCTACTTAGCAAATTGCTACAAACTTAATGACTTAAGACAAATTTATTATGTTAGAGTTTTATGGATCAGGACGCCAACATAGGTCTCACTGGGCTAAAAGCAAAGTATCAGCAGAGTTGCATTACTTGCCTTTTCCTTTTCTTTGTTTTTCCAGTTTCTGGGCACCGCCTGCATTGCTTGGTACATAGCTCCCTTCCTCCATCTTCAAAACCAGCAACAGTGAAGTAAGCCTTATGCAGCCATCTCTCTGATTCTCATTTCAATTTTCAAGGACGTTTGTGATTACATTGAACCCACACAGATAATCCAGGATAATTGTCCCTACTCTAATGTCAGCTGGCTAATAACTTTAATTCCATCTGCAATGTTACCTCCCCTTTGCCACAGAAGATAACATCTTCATAGGTTCCAGAGATTATGATGTAGGTAACCTGGAGGCCATTATTCTGCCCAACACATGTAACTTCTCTGAGGAGCAATTTGTTAATATCTTAAAAATTTTCATTTGACTCAGCAATTCCACTGCTAGAAATAGATGTATATATGGGTATACTTTAAGATGTACATCAAAACACACATTGCAGCACGACTTGTACTCAAAATAAATACTGGAAACCACCCCCCTAATTAATTAATTAGAGTCAGACTAAGTCAATTATAGTTAAACCTCAAGGTGGAATACTATGTGGCATGGAAAAGGAAAAAACTGGAGCTTTAAGTACTACCAGTAAATACTCTGTAAAATATAAGACTAAAGGGTGGGGAGAGGATGAAAGGGAGGAAGTAAGTATGGAACAAAAACAATGTAAAATATGCTGCCATTCACAAGAGATAGGAATAAAAGTACATATGTGCTTAAAATACTCCTGAAAGGATACACTGAGAACTGTGTAGTTGATGTCCCTGGGAAGGAAACCTGGGATAAAGAGATAGAAAAGAAACTTACTTTTCATTGATTATCCTTAGGTACTTTTGAATATTTTTGCCAAGTATTTGCAATATCTAGTCCAAAAGGAAAACAAGACAAGTAGAAATCATAAAACAATAGAAAGGAATCATCTGGAAAGATAGGAAGGATCAGGAGCTGGCTTTTTGATCTTTTGTGACTGCATCCTAGATACTGCATGCCAGGAAAATATCCATGCCAGTATGTTTGCTACTTATGTCTCCAGTGCAGGGTTTCTCTTCTTATGGTCTCCAGTTGTCCCAGAAGTCCTGAAGTCCCTGAAATGACAAGCAACCTTTCCTGTACATGCACATATGCACTTTTCTGAAAAGAGTGAGCCTCTAGCTTTCATTAGTCTGGAAGGAGTAGAGTTAGTCAAACCGGGTTTTCATGTATTTAAAATATAAAAATAATTTAAAAATATTTAACATATAGTTAAATAAGAAAAGTAATCATATCAGATGGAACTCCTTCTGTACTAAAATAGCCCATGAAGAAGATTCTTAGTGGCATCACTATGAAATTTCCTTCAGTAGAAGTCATACATACACTGAAAGAGAAAATATGATGGGTGTGTTCGCCTCGAATATAGATAGGAAAATTATTGTGTAATGTGATATGTAATATTTTACAAGTAATTCAGTGGGAAACCCACTTAAGGAAAAAAGAAAACCATATTTTGCAAATAGTGGCCTCTGCATAAATGTACATAACAGGAGCTGACAATTTGAGTATTTCTTTAAGAATACATACTTCTGGAGTGATTTCTCCAAATATCAGAATGCTTTCAGGGAAAGAATTAAATTGCAACTGAACAGTTTTTAACAATCTTGAAGTTATCCATGATCTGTAGACACATATGGAATCTATTTCACAGACTTTATTAGAATTCATGAGTCAGGGGGCCTCCCTGGTGGCGCAAGGGGTTAACACGCAGCCTATGAAGCTATCCGCAGCCACTGCAGCAGGAGTTCGATATCTAGCCAGGGAGCTACCTACATAGTGCAGCAGATCTCTCCTGACTCGCTTGCTGCTCCCCTCAGCAGTGTATTTCAGTCAGTCTGCCTGTTCTGTTCCCCACTCTGTCTCTGGTGAATCCTCTCACCCTCCATATCTCTGGCCTGTACCCCAGTTCTTGTATACATAAATAAATAAATTTTAAAAAATTCATGAGTCAGGCTCACATAATACTTTTTGGCTTCGCTTCATTGACACTTGTAGACTCAACACTTACTTTATGATACCACACAAACCCTTCCATAAGGAGTGGCCTTGGGCATTCTGGACTATACAGTCCATATCCTTCCACTTTAAAGTAATTTCTACTCAGGAAAAACTAATTTGCTCCTTTCTTTGCGTTTCAGCTGGCCAATTCTATGAACATGACAGTAGTAAATTATGACCATAGCATAATTATTACCAAAGCAATTTCTAAGAAATTATATTTATTACCCAATATAAGTAGAAAAGAGTATGATTTAGTTCCAAGACTTACTAAAAAAAAAAGTACCCACTGTACCTGGGCAGCAGTATTTAGGCTCCAGAGTCAGCAATAGCTAAAATGAGGCTACTTCAGATATCATTATGTCCACCCTTCTACCAAAATAAAGTGCCTTCCATTTCCTTTCACCCTCTCTCCTATCTTTATTTAATCCAACACTATTCTTTTTCTCTCTACTAAACCATTCAATACATATTTACTGAGTACTTAACTATGTGCCATTCTGTACCCATGAGGTATAAAAGATGTACTTTATGAACCTTACATTCTAGTGAAGGAAGAAATACTATAAGTACGTGAATAAATTAGATAACTATGAAAAGTGCTAGGAAGGAAATGCCCAGGAAATTGAGATTGAAGATTATAGGTTGGACAGGGAATAAGAACCAAATTTAGACCTAGTAAACAACAGATCAGCCTGTCTAATGGTATGTACATTTGAGCTAAGATCTAAAAGGAAAAGCATGACTGCTATCAAGACATTTAAAGATTGCCTACCTATTGGCCATAAACTCTTTTTCCTTACTATTGAAAACCCAGTTTTACTGGGGTGACAATGCATATAGCTCCCGTGAATGAATCATAATTTATTTAAGCCAGTTCTCATTCATGAAATATAAGGGAAGTCACTAAGGATCATGTTTATGTCTGATATGAGACCTAAAAGTGAACAAAGGTGTCTTTAATTCCTCTCCCTTTTGCTTCAGTTATTGTCATGTTTTGATATGCTACCCAGATCTAAGGTAGTCACCATGCAAATATGAAAAGCCTGAAAAGCAAAGTCAGCAGACTTAGGATGATGGAAAGGATAGAAATAACTTGATGACATTGCCAAACTGCTAAACCAACCTTGGGACCATCTAGCTTCATCTTTTTGTTAAATAGTAAATAACTCTCCTTATGAGAGTCTTTGTTAGCTGGAGTTTTGGTTATTTGTCTTGAAAGCATATGATTGACTTAACAGGGATGTTACATGATCATATATGGGTGTACATACATATGTATATATATGTGTGTATATGTATATATATTTGGCAACTGTGTGAAAAGATTCTAAGGAGCAAAAATGGAACAGAGATGTGAAGACTACTGCAGTAGTCCCAGAGAAGGATTATGGTGTTTGGGGAGAGAGGAAGCAGTAAAGCGGGAAAGAAACAGACATATTTAAGACATATTTGCAGGTAAAAAATAAGACTTATTGGTTCAGATACAGGAGGTGAAAGACAGAGATGAGTTAAGGCTGACCTTTTTTGGACTTGATAATGGTGCCATTTATTGACATGGAAAGATATGAGTAAGTTTAATGGAGGGATGAAATCAAGAGTTCCTTTGTGTGCATTTAAAATTTATAATATGTGTGAGTCACTCAAAGAGAGATGTCAAGTCAACAGGTAGACATATGAGTCTGACATTCTGGAGTTAGGTCAGAGCTTGGATTTCATTTTGGGAGTTATCAATACACAGATGTTATTTAGAGTCAGGGGAACAGACAAGATAAGGTCCTCCCCACTGGCCAAAATTTGTGGAACTCTAAAATTATAGAGTCTATTAGAAGGGGAGGAGACTGCGAAAGAGACTAAGGGGAAGAGTGAGAGAGGTAGGAAAACCATTAACAGCAACAATACTTAACATTTATGTAGAGCTTACTTTATGCCAAGCACTGTTCAAAGCCCTTTGTACCATTTTCTCCTGTGGTTTTCATCCCTAAACTCAAAATGTTTAGGCACAGTGCTTCTCTAGTTCTATTAGTTATTGAGGCATTATATACACGTGTGTGCACATGCACACAAATTTGTTTTCACACAAATTGGATCATTCTTTCTCCAGATACAGATGATAGACAAACAGATATATCCAATTCTGGAACTGGCTTTTTTTTTTTTTTTTACTCCACACATTTTGGAGATATTTCTATGTCTGCACATTTATATCTACTTTTTTGGTAAGATTTAAATAATATTCCATTGTATTAAAATGTAATTTAAGTACCTCTATGTATGTGCAATTAGATTTTTTTTGTTATCACACACAAGTCTGGAATAAACATCGTTATAGGTAAATCATTTGCAATTGGTGCAAAAAAAAACCCTGTGGGATAATTTCCTAAAAGTGAAATTGCTGAATCAAAACCCCTAAACCTTTGGAATTGTCAAATCCCCCCCCCATCCCCCAAAGGTTGTTCAAATGACATTCTATCAGCATTTAACAGCATCTTGTCAGCATACGGCATTGGCAAATTCAAAAGTTTGCCAATCTACTAAACTGAACAAATAGCGTCTGCTTATATGAATGTCTTTAATGATAAATAGGGCAGTGAGACATGATGTTAAATATGCACATTTTGAAGTCAGGCTCCGTGAGCTGATCTCATATCTTCCCCTCTAAATGTATGACAGGGGTTATTACGGGTATATTTTTTCTTCTAAGAGGGGGATAAATGAGAGCACAAATCTTCAGGATTAAAGAAACGTAAGAAATACAGAAAAACCTCCCTGTATGTTAGCTACTAGCGTTACTCATCTCAATTTTTTTTTTTTTAAGTCCTACTCGTTCCAGTACTTCATCTGGGGCGTACTCTTCCCGGTTAAGTTTCGCAGAACTCTCGCTGCTTGTAACTCTAAACGAGAGGAAAATCAGCTCTCCTCTTCGAAATTCTCCCTGTTCTCCCCTCACCCCCGCTTCAGAACTACTGGCTCACATATCCAGGTGCGAGAATGAGTTGCAGTTTTTGAGCAATGTACAAAGTGGACGACACTTAGTCGGCGCAACTTGGGTGTCTAGAGACTTCAGAAAACAAGTATTTAACGCTGCATAATCAGCGGCGCCGCTACGGGTAAGCACCGAGCGCTGAAGGGATCAGATGACAGAGCTTTTAGAACCAGCAAGTACCCTAGGGCCACCCACTACCCGCCAGCCCCGGCGCGCACGTCCCACGTCCCCGCCCCAAGGCGGAAGTGACGTCATAAGCAGGGTCCGTCTCCCTCCGCCGTCTGTGGGTGGCGCGGCCCAGGCTAGCGGGGCGTACGTCGACGTCGCGGCCAGTGGAGGGATTCTGGGTAACGGCCCCGGCCGGCTGGGACGGCTGGCTTCGCGCTGCAGGTTCCACTCACGCCTGGTCGGTTGGCGGTGGCGGTTGTGGGGCGGGGGGCAGCTGGACATGGAGCAGCCGTGGCCGCCGCCTGGACCTTGGAGCCTCCCTCGGGCCGAGGGTGAGGCTGAGGAAGAGAATGACTTGGATGTGTCCCCCGGTTCTCCCCGCTGCCCGCAGCTGCCGGATGGCGGCACCCAGGTGAGAGGGGACGGGGTTCTGCTGGGGGAATGGGAAGGAGCCGTCGCCGGGCCCGTTGAGTCCCCAGTCTCTGTGAATCTCCGCTGTGTTCTATTATGAGCTCCCTCCTCCCTCTTGGGGACGGGTGCCTGATGCCATCGTACGGCTTTTGTAGCATCTTCTGAGGGCTCGAAGAGGAAATGATCATTTATTCCCACCCCCTACCTCCACGCACACTTTTTTTTTTTTTTTCACCTTGTCTGCATACCTCCTCACCCTTGGAAGACGGTCCTACCCGTCTCCTGACAACACCCAGGTTTTGGGGCGACTCATGCTCTAACATTGACCCTTTGTCCTCCTTGTGCATGCTTTCCTCCGAGCACTTTATTCTGTTGAAGGTTCTAATACTTGTGCACTGTTCGTAGGAACAGTGAATGGCTGTGTTTCAATAATTCACTGAGCTCCTGACAGAGAATTTTCAGATCCAATTTCACTGGCTTCACATCTGAGTAAATTCAGTAAACCTCGCTTTTGATGCTGGCCTAAATCTCCCTTTCGCGTGACCATTCCCCCTTATGATTTTTGATAAGAACATATAGACACACCTTCCCTTTTCCTTCTGACTTTCCCTCAGATTCTTGATGCTGCTTGTGGTTTTCAACCCAGTATACCTCCCTCTGAAACTTATCCAAATGTGATGTATCACTTATTTTCTGGGTCCTTTTCTTAGGGAGCAGTTACATACTCATATTGGGCCCTCGTTGTTTTTCTCCCAACCTGAGTGTGTTTTGGAAGTGTATTTCAGGATCATAGACCAAAACCTGAAATGTTCAATGAAATGGATTATAGGTGTCTGCGTTTTAGGCTTCTTGAAAAACGGGGTCCCTAAGAGCTTAACTAAATAATATAGTTTTTTTTTTAGACTCTTCTACCAGCTGTTAATGAAGATGAGTGATTTAAATCATTTGGCGATAAGTGTAGGATCATCCATACTATTCCAAACTCCTGGATTAGTTGACTTCACACAGAGAAAAGTGCTGTTTCATAACCACAGACTGTACTTCGGCCAGCCAGTCACTGGGAAATTTTTAGGAGGACAGAATGAGAGTTGATAGGTCAGTAGTCACTCACTAATTATGGATCACTAGTGTCATCTTTATATAAAAAATGCTATATAAGCACATAATGAATGTGTTACAGAGCTGAAGACAAAAGAATGAACACCACCTGCCATTGTCAATTTTGAAGGCATATAGGGGGAATAGAAAGGTTTCATGAATTTCAGTGCATTCTTGTTGACTCACAAAGGAAACATAAGGGGAAATGCTGGATTTAAAATATATCTGTAGATTAACTTTTCACTTGTGCATTTGGAATTATTAGCTTTTTTAACTGAAAGGGATTTTAGAAGTGAATAGACTTTTCTCCTTCGTGAAAAGTGAGTTCCTAGACCACATAGCTTAGTATCAGAATTAAAGATAAAACCCTTTTCTACTATGGTGTTTTTCCCCCACCAACTGCACTGCCCATCCTATGATATAATAAAAATTTTATTGGGCTGAAATTATCCTTGAATGGTATTAAAATTTGCAAATGGTTACTAATCTTAAATTAGTTCATGTGTTGTTTATTACAAATCTGCTTATTTGTCTTGCTGACTTTAAGACTTGGGAGTTTTGGGATTGAAATATTTTTGGAAAGAATAAAATTTAATTCAATTTATAAGTTCTTTATAATCTTAAAAATAATCTTTAGTTTAATATACCTGATATGGTAAATCTAAACATCTTAATGGCATATGTGAGGTATAGGTCCAAGATCCATTTAAAGAAAAGGCAGGCTTGGAATTTAGAGAGCATGTTTAAGAATTTTTTAATGTAAAGTTATATTAGTCAATCTTAATGCTAAAAGTTCCATTTTCAAATTTATGTTCATTGAAATACAATTATGTTTAATATCTCACTAAAACTTAAATTTTGTTCACAGATAAAATGACTTTTTATCGAATCATCTCTGTGTTAGTTTGCTCAAATGTTATCTCTGTCATCTGTGAAGAATTTCAGCATAAATCATTTTATGTTTGACTTGAGAAATGAGTATTTCCTCATTATAATATGAAAATGGAAGGCATTTCTGCCTTCTTGAGTATATCTTTTTTTCTTGCAAAATAAATTTTACAGCTTTTTTTTTTAAGTTTAGTTAGTCTACAGTAATTCATGATCCTAAGATAGCAAAAAATAAGGATAAATATTTTACTTGTTTGATTCAACTGCATGGCTCATGTGCTCCAAACTTGCTGAATGAGTAGATAAAACATCTGAATAGCAACACTGTCTACATTTGCCTCAATAGAAATCCAGGTTTTCCTGAAAACTCAACTAGGAGGTAGGAGCCTTGCCTGGTACTTCTTTCAGAGTTCTTTGTCACCACTAGTTTATTCTAAGAAGTAGTCATTTATTCATCTAAGATTTACTTAATTGTAGCCCCCAAAGAAACTGATAGTTGAGTAAATAATTAACCACAATATTGTATGAAAACACCACTATTGAAATATGGGTAACATGGAAGGAGGGGTAGGTATAAGAGAAAGGTTGGGGACATGGTGTCAGAATCTGAAATGGAAAGAGAAGGGTGGGTGTTTTGTTGTTTTTTTTTCCTGGGTGGGGGATTGCTACATTGAAGGGAGCATAGGCAGTGGGAAAATCACAACTGAGCCTAAAGAGGTAATAGAAAGATTATGAAGGATTATTCCATGCGCAGAGTTTGTTTTTTATCCCAAGATTTTAAGGAGAGTAAAGTTATCAGATTTGTTTTTTGGAAAGATCAGTTTAATAAGTTGAAGAATAACTTTATATAATTAAGGTGTGAAATTATAAGGCCCTGAATAGTGATGCAGATAAGGGAACAGTTTCTAATAGTTATTCTGGACACATAGTTTGAAATTGTTCTTTATTTTGATTAAGAAATCATAAAGACTGCCTTCAGCTTTTGTTTTATAGAGCTGAGGAATATAAGGAATTAAGCATCTACCACAGTGCCTTACATATAGTGGTTCAGTAAATATTAAAACTAATTTTTATTGCTTCTGAATGAAACAGAGTTTCAAGGTGGACCAGGTGACTTTTTTCTAAGTAACTTTGTTTATTTGATTAGGACTGAGTTACAGAATGTCAGATAATAGTTGATTGGAAATTTTCAAGAAAAACTCAGATCCTGAAAGATTGTGATAATACAGAAGACAAAAATGAAAAATGATTAGTTCTAATCAAATGTTCTTTGCGGTGAAGAATTTACAAAACAAAATTTAAAGGTCTAGTTTCCAACATCTTGAGTGGTAAAATGAACTAAATTTACACTGTCATACTCATTATTCTGCTGTTTCAGGTTTATGAAAACAATTAAGTGTTAGTTGGAACAACAGCAACATACAAAACACTATGCTAGTTGCCAGGCTTTTTGTTGCTGTTGTTGGGGAGGAGCACCGACTAACAAAGCAGCTTAGGAACTAGTTGATGAAACAAGGCCGATAATAAAAAACTGTAGCTAATACTTAGAAAGCAGGATGCCTGTGTAGCAGAAACATTGTACGGAAATCCTTGACTAAAAATTGAACTGTATTGTGCAAACATAACCATTGCCTTCTTCATTTCTTACAAATACTGTTTTTCATCTAGATATATAGCCATGGAATTGAACTGGCTTGCCAAAAGCAAAAAGAGTTTGTGAAGAGTTCTGTGGCGTGCAAATGGAATCTCGCTGAAGCTCAGCAGAAACTTGGTAGCTTAGCACTGCATAACTCTGAGTCCTTGGATCAGGAACATGCCAAAGCACAAATAGCAGTATCAGAACTGAGGCAACGGGAAGAAGAATGGCGGCAGAAAGAAGAAGCTCTAGTACAGAGAGAGAGAATGTGTCTGTGGAACATGGATGCCATTAGCAAGGATGTTTTTAATAAGGTATTACCTTTTATTGGACCATACTGAGAGAAGAAATAACAGAAGTGTTTGTACAAAACAGTTGTGCATATTTAGTAACAAAGCAATAGAATCCTGTAAATAGTATTCAGTTTTGACAGTTCATTAAACTCTGCTCTATCCTCAGTAGTGTCTAATGCAGATAGTCTTTAATACAACTGTATGGTGGCAGCATAGCACAGTGGATGTATGTGTGGGCTCTGGAATCAGACTGCCTCATATCTTGGCTTTATTGCATGCTGACTTTGTGAACTTGAGCAAATCACTTCACATCTCTTAAGTCTCAGCTTCCTCAACAATATAGAGTAGGTCTGAGGACTTTAAATAAGATAATGTCTTAAAAAGTATGTAGCGCTTTGGGCTATGTTAGGCTGATGTTAGGCTGATATTATGCTGTTAGCTGGCTATTAGTTTTGTAACACTGATGTATAGTTACTGCATTTGTCTTTAAGTCTTTTACTATTATTTACCAGTATATATTTATTACACTTCAGGTAGTAATCTGAAAGGTCTGATGTCTAGCATAGTACTTAATCCTTATTAGTAGTTTATTAAGAGCAGTGGTGTGTTTCTCACTGGATAATAGAAACCTTGTTCTCTGACTTTTGTATCTTAAGAAGAAATGGGCAGTGAAATAGTCATATTCTACTAATACATAAAGTTGTACCTTTTGCTGTTTGTACTATGCTTAATTTTCAAGCTTCAGAAATAGACTGCTTGCTCTATTCTAAGTCCACATTTACTTTAGCTTTAACCATCATTATTTTCTAGACCTCTTAGTCTATAACACTACTTGTTTCTGTTCTTTAGCCACTTTTAATTCACCCTCTTGAGCGCTCTTAATTTCCTTCCCCTAGACCAACTCTTGTTTTACTACAGCCATAAGTAATATACATAGGTAAATGTACACCACCACTAGATTTATCAGAGTTTTATTCTTCAATCATGAAAAACAATGAATATAATATGCTTATTGTGAAAAAATGCTTAAATATATAAAATAGAATTGAAAGACTTGCTTCACTTCCTGTTCCTTTTCCCAGAGATAATCACTGTTATCAGTCCTCTTTCTAGGCTTTTTCTATGCTTGTACCTATTTGTTTTTCCTCCCCTAAAACAGTAGCATTCTTTATCTGAATGATTTGTTATTATCTGTACATATTCTAAAGTGTGTATCTTAAGTCTTATTTATTTCACTCCAGAGTTATTTAAAATAATTTCTTATGTCAGAGAGAATGGTTGGAGCAGTGTTTCTTAATTTTATAAAGTTAATGTCTCAGTTGGTCACAAAAATTTTTTTCATTATTTCTGCTTTTAATTGTTTGTTTTTTTAAAATTAGGTTCTAACATAGCCTACATTTATACCACAAATTAATTAGGACTATCTTTATGTTCCAGTCATTTGCTCAAAATCGTACATTGATTTTGTCTGGGAGCTTGAGACTTGAGAGGACTGTTCTAGATCTGCGCTGTCCAACTCGATAGCCACTAGCCACATGTGCTATTGAGCGCTTGAAATGTGGCTAGTCCGAATTGAGATGTGCTGTAAGTGTAAAATACACACCAGATTCCAATAATTTAGTACCAAGAAAGTAAAATATTTCATTAATAATCCTTTATATTGCTTATATGTTGAAATGATAATAATATGTTGGATATGTTGGGTTACTATGTTCTTAATTTCATCTCTCTTTTTGTTTTATAATGTGGCTAATAGAAAACTTTAAATTACATTTGTGACTTGGATTATATTTCTATTGGACAGTGCTGGTCTAGATAACAGAACATACAAAGTAAAACATGCTTCTATTTTGAAATATATAAACTTTTGTGTACTTCTGGATTGTAAACTGGCAGAGAGCTAGTTTGTGATTTTCATTTTTGGCAGTGATGACCTCAAATGTGATCACAGAATATTTTGAAAAACTGCCAATTTTTCTGGCTAGATGAAAACTTAATCTTGATCTGTTTTATGACTTATTTAACTGAAAATAAGCACTTCCTTAATAGAAATTTGCACTTGATTTCAGAATCAAATTCTTTGGGCTCTCAAAGAAAAGTTTGGGTTTATGTCTTATCAAAGAATTTATAGTAAATATACTTCATTCTTTCTATGCTTTGAATTTCTGAGTTTATTTTCAGCAAGACCTTCAAAGATTAGGCTAAATAAAGTTCAAATGTTTCATGGAAATGAATAATGAAAAATATGCATTTAAGGATATTTCTGTATCTACCTTTGAAAGGGAAGGGTTAACAGAAAAGATTAATTCATTTGTTTCTCTGTGTAATTTCTAAAGTAATTCTGTGATTTTTCACACCTGTATTACTTTAAACAAAACCAGTCAAAACTCCAGTATAAGAAAACTTAATTTTTTAAATAGTTTGACATATAAATTTAATAAAATCATATCAATACTACTATACCACTTTTTTATTGTGTCTATTGGAAGGATTGCTAGACATTCAGTATCTGAAGAAGATTTCATTAGAATATGAAATCTGATCTTAACTTTAATTTTTTTCTTAGAGTTTTATTAATCAAGATAAAAGAAAAGATACAGAAGATGAAGATAAATCAAAATCATTCATGCAGAAATATGAGCAAAAAATCAGACATTTTGGTAAGTCTAATACTTGAGTTTCCTTTCTTTGTAATATTTGGTATCATACACATGTGTACAAAAAGTTGGTTTATAAAATGGGGACCAAAAAGAAGGTAAGTGGCAAGTTCTGGTTGTGTATAGTAAGTTCTGGCACAGTTGTATGGTTCTTTTTTTAGATGTTTTTGGTTTTGCTTTTTTTTTGGTCATAGAGTGACAATAGTAAATCAAGAATGAAAAGAAGCAAAATCTAATCTGTTATACTACTACTCTTTAAGACTCAGTTTTTATTTATTCTGTAGCCTCTTTCTATTTGTTTTTCTTTTTCCCTCTTTGCTGATTATCTAATTATCTTATGGGAGTAAGATTAACAATCATTTTTTTTCAGGTTTCAGATATATTGCCATACAAGTCCATAACAGATCATTGATCTATTTTACAGAAAAGTCTGGTAATAGAAATATGTCTATAAAAGAACTAAAAAATAGTTTTCTCATTGGCGAAAAAGCAGTGGAATGGGAGTTAATGTGGTGAAAGGTTCCCAAAATTGGTAACATTTGAACTAGATTGTGAGGAACACTTAAAAGAGTTTTCCATGTTGACAAGGGAAGCAAGGCAACAGAAGGTAGAGTTGGGCAACAGCATGTTATGTTCTAAGGATTTTTAAAAGCATTGTAATACTGCTGGGGTGCAAATGCTACTGAGACTTATTGGGAGTTAAGGTTCAAGGCATATGTATTTTTTAATCCCAAGTAGTATATTAATTTAGTAAACTTTGTGTTACATTAATAGGCTTTTTAAATGGAATTTTTAAAATCTTTTTCCAATAGTTTTTCCTCTCCAGAGTATTTGTAATTTCATTCATTTTCAGTTATTTCAAGATAGTGGATACTAACTTTAGATTTTTTCACCTTTTATGCAACTGATTCATAAAATACTCATTTTTCCTCATACTTGTTATTTTAAAATAAGAAAATAAGCTGTCTTCTATTTTATTCAAAAATGGCTGAAGAAAAAATAAGCAGTTATTTTTCACTTATTCAGTATTGCTTATAATAGGAAAAAAATGGATAAGCTGTCTTCCCTTGGATAGACTTAAAAATCTTTAAACAAACACACTCCTGAGTCATAAGGATAAAAAACGAAAATTTTGTAAATGAGTCTTTGGGATGATAATGTGAGTTGTTACTTCCACCTCGGCCTGTATTCTGCTGCTATAGGGAAAAGAGTCCCATAATACTGGTTGCTCTTTTAAAACCTGATTCTGTCTGATATAGTAGTATTCTTAAGGTGTTGTCACCCAGCTGGCATTTCTGTGTGCTGGTCGCTTTGGAGCCATGGAGAAAATACTGGGTTTAAAACAGTTCCCTCACTTTTGCTGTGAGCTGAATGCCCTGGTCAGAAGTGATTTTGTGTGGGAAAGTATCCCAGCTTCACAAGGTTTTACAACCTACCTGAGTCTATGTATATGAGTCTTCAACAAAACATTTCACTGTTTTATAAAACCTACTTTTTGGTTAGTGATACTCATAAGACTCACAAACCCATTGTGTTCATTTTTGCTGTAAAATGAGTTTCTGGGTTAAGAAATAAGGGGTCTAGCTTAATAAGACCACAGATGTGTACTACTGGTGGAATCTTTCAAGGAAGGAGGTCAATACCAGACCTAAAATGGGCTAGTATGAGTAAGGAACTGCTGAATTGGGACCAAGATAATCAACTTGTTTCTTGATTGATAGCTGGTCTTCAATATATGGTACCAAATTGAAGTTTGGGCTGTAGTTTCTGCCAATGATAAATTACATATTCAATGTCTATACTGGAAAATCCTTGATGGGGAGATCTCATTTATTGAATCTCTGCATAAAGCCATGCTGTTGAATCTCTGCATAATCTCAAGTTTCTACCATTACCCCTTGTTTTATAAGTTAAGGATTGTGCAAGCAATGAGAGAGCTGAGGAAAAAAGACTGGCTTTACTTCCACAAATGATAATAAGTGATTGTTTTGCCATTGTATGTTGAGGACTTCCAGTGTCTCATCCTATAATACTAACCAGAGCCTTACTGTCTTCAAAGCCAACCAGACCTGATAGCCACTCCCAGATTCACATTGTACCTGTTTCTTAGTGGAAATGCACAATGACTTTTCACTTTGGAGGAGATATCCTACTTGCTGCAACCCATTGGATCCCCAGAAATGTTACTAAGGTAGTAGGTTCCCAAATTTTTCGTATTTTATTCCCACTTTCTGACATACGTGTATCTTATCAGGACATCTGAGATAACTGCTATTTCCTGCTCACAAAGTTCCATTAGTGTGAAATCAGTCAACTTGCAGTAATGTGGGATGATGAGATCAAGTCCGTGTGGACTAAAATATGGTCCAGTGAGTTGATAGAGATCTTAGGCAAGACAGTGAAAGTTTAGCACTGTCCCTGCTAAGTGGAGCAGACATTTCTGGTGTTATATGCTTATTATAGTAAAGGGGGAAAAGCATGTGCCAGAATAATGACTACATCGATACACTTCTTTGAAGTTAACACATTTGGTATATCACCTGTAATTAAATCATCCATCAAGAGGCATTCCAAAATTGGATTGCTTTCCACACTCTTGGGAAACATGGGCTTGGTATAGGGGAGTAATTTGGAGGGCTTCATATTAGTACTTCTCTGTGATCTCCTGTACTTAATATTCTTCATAGTTCTTTGTAACTTTCCCTTATGGTATTTGTTAACTTTCTTATATTGCTCTAACTTTATAATTAAGTGGAATTTACCATCTAATGATAAATGGTACATATGGATTATTATGAAGCATTGAAATCTCAGTTTTTTCCCTAATTTGTATGTATTAATTTAGCTAATTTGTGTTTTATAAATATAAAATACTAATTTAGGAAAAAGTTTTAAATGTCACAAAAGTTTTATTCAATCATATGCATAATTTTTTTATTAAATTTTTTATTTTTTACATCATTGTTCATTTTTTTTTAAAGATTTATTTATTTATTTATACACACACTGGGTACAGTCAGAAGCATGGAAGGGTGAGAGAATTCACCAGAGCCAGAGCGGGGAGCAGAACAGGCAGACCGATGAAGTACACTGCTGAGGGGAGCAGCGGGTGTGGCAGGAGAGGTCTGCACGCCATGTGGAACCCTCGCCGGTGGCCACAGCCGAGCGCTCAACTGTTGCACCACCGGGGAGGTGGTTGTTCATTTTTAAACAATATTTGCTTCCCCACACCCCCTCTGGTGTAGTCCCAATAGTTTCCTTCACCAATACACCCTACACCCGTGCACCATTACCTCAGTCCCCTGTGCTCCTCTCCCTTCTCCTCCCCTGCAGTATGTCTCTGATTTATAATTGTCCGTTTTTGCTTTGTTGTGTTTTGCACTATTATTATGTTTTTACACTGATATCTTATTTGGTTCCCCTATAGTCCTGTTATAAGTGAAACCATCTGATATTTTTCTTTTTCCTTCTGCCTTATTTCACTGAGCATAATTCCTTCTAGTTCCATCCACATTGCTGCGAATGGCATGAGTTTATCTTTTTTGATTACTGACTAATATTCCATTATGTATATATACCACATCTTCTTGATCCAGTCATCTATTTTTGGGCATTTAGGTTGTTTCCAGTTTTTACCTATTGTAAATAGTGCTGCAGTAAACATGGGCATACAGGTATTCTTTGGAATCAATGTTTTTGTGTCTTTTGGATAGATCCCTAGTAGTGGAATTGCCAGGTCATATCAATCATATGCATCTTTGACATAACTGTCTCTTAAACATCAGAACTACCTTTTTGATGGTCTTACATTATACATCATCTGTTCTGTTCCAGCCAAAGTTAGCCATGATTTAGCATTTTTTTGAATCTATATAGGATGTTGTCATTAGATTTTATGAAAAAATGTGAAGATCTGCATAAATGCTAAGATAGAATCTTTTTCGATTGTAGTGAATGAATATGGATTTTCATTTGCCTCAGTATAATCTCTTATTTATTGCTTTTCAAATACTTCAGTATCCTATTTTTGAAAAGCATTTAATATAAATACTTTAGAATATGAAGTGAAATGGATAGAAATTAATATGTGATATAACTCGTTTTGTACTTTAAAAATTGTTTAAAAATAAGCCCAGAAAGAGTCAAAATGCTAACTTTAATTATCTCTTATAGAATTGCAGCTGATTTTTATTTTCTGGATTTTTTGAGTTTTTCACAGTGAATATATTTTTATAATCTATAAAAGAAATGTTTTAAAGGGTTTATCCTTAGAACTGAAGGATGCCTTTTAGAAAAGTCATTGATGTGATTCGCCGTATTAGCAGTTGGTTGTAGCATAGCCACAGGACTTTATTATCAGTTTTATGTGGGAGGAATGAAAATGTCAGGAATTTTTGGAATGCTTGATTCGGTTACATGTCGTCTAGAAAGCACCATAATCCATAGGGAGAAAAGAATGGATTTGGTTTCAAATAAGATGAGTTTATGTGCAGGGAGGAATAGTTTTTTGGTGGTAGGTGATTGGGAATGCAGGGGGGGAGGGAGTTTAGGAAATACAGAAAAAAGAGGTTTCATGTCTTTCGTTAAGAAATTTGCAGCCTAGTTGGGAGACTTTTAGCACATAGAGAAACTAAAATCACTATATATATTTAAAGGATTAAATTATTATTTGGAAAAGGAAATAATAAGGATGTGTATATTTGGGAACATTTTAGGAACCAGGTGGAATATTGAAGGCTGATAGATACATAATCAAAATATTTTAATTTTCTGAAGTATGGTTTTCAAGCATTCAGAGAAATTGGTTGCATAGTTTAAATGACTAGATTATTCTTAACCAAATAATTGACTTAATATTTGATGAATGAATAACTTGTTTACTAGTATGTTAGTAATACCTAACATTTAGCAGGTGTTTACTTTCTGTCAGACACTATTCTAAGTGCTTTATTTGCATTAACTCATTTAATCCTCAAGAAATCTTGTGAGTTAGCTGATGTTTTAGCTGTATTTTATAGATGAGTAAATGGAAGCATAAAGGTATAAAGGAACTTGTCCAAGGTTTAGTAAGTGGTAAGAACAATATTGAACCTAGACAGTTTCTCTCTGGTCTCTTTCCTTAGCCATCATGCTAGATTATGCTGCTACTCTTTTTTTTTTTTTTTTTTAAGATTATATTTATTTATTTATACAAGCGCTGGGTATAGTCAGAAGTGCTGGAGGGTGAGAGAATTCACCAGAGCCAGAGTAGGGAACAGAACAGGCAGACTGATGAAATAAACTGCTGAGGGGAGCAGCGGGCGGCAGGAGAGGTCTGTGCACCATGTGGGACCCTCACTGGGTGGTCAGGGATCGAACCGGCACTGCAGAGGTCGCGGGCAACTTCGCAGCCCAGCGCCAACTGTTGCACCACCAGGGGAGGCCTTGCTACTCTTTTATTTAGAAATTCCAGAATAACAATCATTTCAGGTATGTTCTATACCACTAAACTATTGTCTTTAAGTATTTTGTTCAGAAAATTCCACTCAGTAAAAAGTTTGTGTGAACTATTTGTAACCTTATTTCTCAATTTCATAAAAATTCAACGTAGTTTTTAAAATCAAGTAATGACAGCTATTTCTCAGATCAGGAAATGTTTAACCTTAAGTGTTAATTTTGTCTCAGGTATTAGATAGTTTAAAAAGTATAACATTTTGGGGCCTCTCTGGTGGCGCAAGGAGTTAAGCGTCAGCGCTATGAAGCATTCTGCAGCCACTGCAGCATGAGTTCAATCCCCAGCCAGGGAGCTGACCCACAAGGCGCAGCAGACCTCTTCTGACTCACCCGCTGTATTTGAGTAGATCTGCCTGTTCCGCTCCCCACTCTGTCTCTGGTGAATCCCCACACACACACTTCTGGCCCGTGCCCCAGTTCTTGTATGCATAAATAAATAAATCTTTAAAAAAATATATAACATTTCATGAAGGTCAGTGAGTTGGTGCAGAGTGTACCTCTGTGGGTGTGGTCGTACTGGGGATGGATTCCTTCTCAGCTTCCTCCGCCACAGGTTTGGACTAACTGGACCCGCAGCTGCAGCCTTTCATCGAGATGGATACACAGAAGCAGCGCTTCCAGCAGCAGGTGCACCAGATAACTGAACTTTGTTGGGAGGAGTGCATGGACAAGCCTGGCCCAAAATTGGACAGTCAGGCTGAGGCCTGTTGGTGAATTGTATTGAGCACTTCAGTGATACCAGCTAATTCATCCTGAATTGACTGGAACAGACCCAAAAATCCAAACCAGTCTTCTCAGACAGCCTTTCTGACTGATCTCAGCATTACTTCTTTGGAAAAGGAAGGTAGTTCAAAAAAAGAAGAGCTGTGGATGGGGCAGCTGAAGAAAAGGATATGGGAGGATTGGCTCCCACCTTTGTTACTCTTGGGACATATTCGTTCATCTAAGAATGAACAAGGACCAGTTTTGGGGGGTTGGGGACAAATGTGTACTTGGTTATATTTTTTATTGTTAATCTTTTGAAAAAATTGACAGATAAATGGAACATTTTTGGATACGTATTATTGTATGTAGGACTCTGCTTTTCTCAAAGTCGCACTACTTTCTGTAATTGTGATAGTGGAACTGCTTTCTATAATTTAATAGTGGGACCACATAGGTAAAAATTTGTCATTTATGTGTATTCATTTCATATTTCTGGGGCGATTGATCAACATCTTTGTTTCTCTCAGAAATGATGGCAGTGAGGAAAAAGTAATTTACTACTTAACTGTAGACCTTCATCTACTAATAGTTTTTGACTGTCTCTGCTGGGGGGAAAAATCTGAAATGTTCGTATAGTACACATCAACTTTCTGTTTATCTCCCTTATTCTGTGAATTATTTCAAATTCTATAGAAAGTATACTCTTAAAGCAGTACAGACAGCCTGAGAATCTAGAAACCTTTAGTTATAAAGGACTCTAGCCAGTGAACATGATTCTCATTACTAAATTGCCATAGGAAGACGCCAGCTTACAACCTTGTATATCAGGGTCCAAAAAATTCAAAAGTGCCTATAGCAGTTGTAAAGATTTACACCAGTCAAAAACTGGCAGCAATTTCAGGAAGAAATGTATGCCTGATGTTAATCAGCCTAATGTTAAGCAGTAACTGCTTACTGCATTCTTTTGATCACTGAAATAAAGGCTTCTACAAAATTAAAAAAAAAAACTTCAACATTTAATGACACCTATCTCATTGCCCCTACAAGTGTCAGTAACCCTTTCATATTATCTTTCCTGCAAAAGAAACCAAAATACATAGGATTTTGGTGCCTCAGAGAGAAACAGTGCTGCCATGAAAAAGTAAACAGATGCAGCAATGATCTCTATAATTGGTAGATAGAATTAAAAATGTTACACTTCTGAAGTGTAACAAAGCTAATGCAGAACTGTTTCATAGGATATGTCTTTAAATATCAGAAATAAGATTTATCCTTTTTTAAATCTGACCCCCAGAATGTACTCGATTCTTTAGCTATAGTTTGAGAAGTAGTTTTAAGTAACTTCCGTAATGTTTCTGTTCTCAGAATTTAAAATGACTTAATTACTGTATCCAAAGTATTGAGGAAATAACTATAAAATTAGTGTAACTCTTCATGAGACAATGTTAAAATGCTTCCTCCTACCCTCTCTTTTTTAAAAGGAAAAAGTAATTTATTAATGTGGAACTTTAATAATAAAGGAAAGATTTGCTGCCAAAGTATTGAGACAGCCTCATAAGATTTTTATGATGACCCAGACTTCCCTGAATGAGTCTTTTTTTTTTTTTTTTCCCTGAATGAGTCTTAAACTTCTAAAGTTAAAAGCTGAACTCTACTGGTTTCATGATTTTTTGGGTGGTAGTCACTTTTTTGATCAAATTTTTTACTAATTTGGATAAAAATGAAGATAAACTAAGTAGTCTTTGCATTAGTTTGATATTTCAGAGCAAAAATGGCAGCCATTTTCAAATACGCTTAACTGATTTTTAAGGTTTTTGTTTACTATATTGTATAAACATGAGAAAATGGTTAACATGATTAAAATTGTTAAAGCATATTTACTATTACAACACTGAATTGATTTCTCATGCCGTCGACATTTTACCATATATTAAGACATATATTAAGACATATATTAAGACATTTTACCATATATTAAGTTTTTAATAAATTAGAGATAATAAACTTTATGAATATTGTCTTTGCTTAGTATAGTTTCTCAAGGTTTTGCTTTCTTTTCTAATAGAAAAATTTGTATTCTGTGAATAAATTATACTGAGTTTCTTGAAATCATCTCTACTCATTTTAACCTAGGATGTCCAACCATCTCAATTTACCTAGAGCTTTGAGCATTCCCCAAATGAAGGGGTTTTGGCTTTTAACTAGTCACCCTACTTCAGTCTGACGGATTATCTGAAATAAAAGTTCCCATGACTTTTGGAAGCTATTCCCAATATACTGGGTATTACTTTAAAAGAGAAAGCCTCTTCATTTGCTTTTATCTTAGCATGTTGCTGTGATAATATGAATTCTCTAAAACATTTTAAAATGCCATTTCTTTTACAAGAAGAAAGTACTTGACATTAACTGTTTATTTTTTTTACAGGTATGTTGAGTCGATGGGATGATAGTCAGAGATTTCTGTCTGACCACCCCTACCTTGTATGTGAAGAAACTGCTAAATATCTTATTTTATGGTGTTTTCATCTAGAAGCGGAACAGGTATCATGTGAACCTTGAATTTCTGGGAACCTGAGTGAGATTTTGATGTACTCTTTTGTTCTGTTTTTCACATTACTTTAAATGAAAGCAATAAGAAATGTAAATGGAATTTCAATTTTTTTCTTTTCAGATTTTTTCAGTTTATTGTGGGAATTTTTTTAGTGGTTTCAAGTAGCATTTTTTCCATATGCTTTCCCTTCACCTCCCTTCTTTTGTCCCCATATACTATAAGTCATTTTTTTTTTTTTACCTATTAGGAATCATGTTTTAAAAATCTAAATAGTGACTATAATTTTAAATACATTTCCAGATGTGTTTCTTATAATTTTAATGTTTCTTTTCAGAAAGGGGCTCTAATGGAACAAATAGCACATCAAGCTGTTGTAATGCAGTTTATTATGGAAATGGCCAAAAACTGTAATGTGGATCCAAGAGGGTGTTTTCGTTTATTTTTCCAGAAAGCCAAAGTAAGTAACATTTTGGTATTGTTAATGGTAATCTTAGGGGCCTCCCTGTTGCGCAGCGGTTGAGCGCTGGGTTGCGAAGCTGCCCGCGACCTCTGCGGCGCCGGTTCGATCCCCGGCTGCTCCCAGGCCACCGGAGGAGGGTCCCACATGGCCCACAGACCTCTCCTGCCGCCCGCTGCTCCCCTCAGCAGTGTACTTCGGAACTTTTGCCTGCTCTGCTCCCCGCTGTGGCTCTGGTGAATTCTCTCACCCTCCCGCACTTCTGACTGTACCCAGTGCATGTATAAACAAAACAAATGAACAAGTAAAAAAATAAAATAAAAACATGCCTCTAAAAAAAAAAAAATTAAAAAAAAAAATGGTAATCTTAGCTGATATCTCTTTGGTCCATACACATTGAAATAAGCCATGCAGCCAAATTCTAAATTCTATAGCTTTTATAATGGAAAGAAAAATTATGTGTCTGATTTCACGCTAATTTAAACTTAAGGGAGCTATATAAGATGCTGTACCATAGTATGTATGTGAAATTGAGACCCTTTCAAGTGAATGAATGTATGTATTCAGGAAAATTGGGGGATTCAGTCCTTCAATAAATATTAAGTTTGAATGCAAACGCACAGCTATTTAAGATACTGAGAATACAATGTTGAACAATATAGTCCTCTATTTATAGAACTCATAGTTTAATGAGAAATCGAACTTTTGTAATTAAAAAAATTTTAAATTCTGTGTTATATTAGTATTGGACATGCACTGTGTCATTATTAATCTGCAAAGGAAACATTTATAAATGGATCTCCTGCCAATAAGTCTTTTGTATCATTGGAGGGAGTTCAGAACTTTTTTCTTTCCATATTAAAGGGAGTACTTGCTTAAACTAAGATATTTCCATAATCAGGCTGAATGTTGTTTCATTCAGTTTTCATGTTTTTACAAATAGAAAGTATAGACTCAGAGTCCTGGAAACAAGTAACAGTTTCACCTCATTACGAATATCCCTTGGTTGTTGCTTTGTAATGAAAGAGGATTGCGTGAATGTGAGTGGTTAAATAAGGAATATTTTGAATCTTGTCAAGAATCCAGATAAATCAAGAAATAAAGAAAAAGGTGTGTAAATGTATGAAAGGTTGTTTCTTGTGTTTTATTTTGCTGAAGCAGAGGAAATGGAACAAACTAACCATTAATATTTATAGAAAATGGGCAATTTTTGTAAATTTAACAGGCATCTTGGTGGTATCTACATTTAAACTGTTCACCTTGTCATTACTTCTTCCTCTTCAAACATAATGTATTTTTTATAATTTATTGTGTGGTGTGGAAGTCTGGAAAAAGAGTCTTTGTTTTTTTATGTTTTCTAGGCAGAGGAAGAAGGTTATTTTGAAGCATTCAAAAATGAACTCGAAGCTTTCAAGTCAAGAGTCAGACTTTATTCTCAGTCACCTAGTTTTCACCCTTTGGCAGTTCAGAATCATGTTCCCCATTCAGCTGTTGGATCTATAGGTTTATTAGAATCCTTGCCACAGGTAAGTTATAAAAGTAAATACTTATCTTATAAATGAATAGTTAATATAATTTTGGTCCTTTTTACTATGATATGTAATTATGTGAGGCCCTTTTAAATATTCTTGCCTTAGAAGATTACTCTTGAGTTTTATTTCACACTGTGTTTTGGCACTGAATCCCTCCCATCTTTTAGGTAGAGACACAACAAATTTTGCTCCTTTAAAGACAAAAGAGATGAATTACACTTTAGCATTCTTAATGACAAGTGTTATTATTGGTCATCGTTCATAAACTTCTCGAGATGGCTCCTGAGAAACATCTCTCTTTCTGAGTAGAACTATACTCTTAGGAAGTTACTCGGATGATTAGCTCCAGAGCATGCATCTAAGTGGCAATCAAGATGATCTGCTGAATGAGTTTATTTGATAGTATTTTGTTAAATGTTGGTGTTGTCAACTAGATTTTAAAACATTAATGTTGAATACTAAGCTGTTCTTTTGGTAATATGGACCAATTGTTTGAACTTTCTTTGGAGTCTATTAGATCAAGAAAAAACATATCGCTAGCATTAAAGAGTTTATGTCAAACAGAGGACCAGGTTAGACTACTCCACTAGTCTACCTGATACTACTTAGGATTACAATTTTAAGTTTTTATTAGAAAGTTGCTGCCCGTTTTGATTTTAGAAGCATTTTAATAGAACCCAGTAATTTCTCCTTTTCAAACCCCACAATTTTAAAATTAGCCTGTTCAGTCTGTTGCCTACACAGTGAAACGGGAAGTCATATTCAGAAGACAATATGAGAAACATCAGAATATTTACTTTTAAATCGTATTAAGTGGTAGGAATTGACATTTTTAACATCTTTACCTTATGTCTATAATATTGCCATTCTAGTTACACCTGTGATAAGCTAAAGGGACAGTTTAAGGGAAGTAATTGATCATATTCAACACAACCAAAAATATTATTCTGAAAGGCAGAAATAATCAAGACTGATTTATTAAAATAATTAGTATTGATATCCATTAGACATGTAAGCAATATTTCCCTTAATTGTGTCCTACAGATTATCTCTTAATGTTGTGTAAATACTGATCATTTTTTTTTTCTTCAGTTCCTTGAGAAACAGCCCATAGTGAGATATTCTTTCCAATATGTAAACTTCCTAAAATTAAGCTGTCACATAGTAAATACAAAGAAAAAAGAGACATTTGAAGGATGCTATTGACACTACACACAAGAGGGAAAAGGTATTAAAGTAGCATAAGAGGCATGTATTATTAAAAAATTCCTAGTTAGGGGGCCTCCCCGGTGGCGCAGCGGTTGAGCGCTGGGTTGCGAAGCTGCCCGCAGCCTCCGCAGCGCCGGTTCAATCCCCGGCTGCTCCCCGGCCACCTGAGGAGGGTCCCACATGGCGCGTAGACCTCTCCTGCCGCCCGCTGCTCCCCTCAGCAGTGTATTTCGGTCCTTCTGCCTGCTCTGCTCCCCGCTGTGGCTCTGGTGAATTCTCTCACCCTCCCGCGCCTCTGACTGTACCCAGTGCATGTATAAACAAAACAAACAAACAAATAAATAAAACATGCCTCTAAAAAAAAAAAAAATTCCTAGTTTGGGCCTCCCTGGTGGCGCAGCGGTTGAGGGCTGGGTTGTGAAGCTGCCTGCAGCCTCTGCTGCGCTGGTTCCATCCCCGGCCACCTGCGAGGGTCCCACATGGTGCTCAGACCTCTCCTGCCACACCCACTGCTCCCCTCAGCAGTGTATGTCGTCAGTCTGCCTGTTCTATTCCCTGCTCTGGCTCTGGTGAATTCTCTCACCCTCTCGCGCTTCTGACTGTACCCAGTGCTTGTATAAATAAATAAATCTTAAAAAAAAAAAAATTCCTGGTTTAAGAAAAGTAAATTCTTGTTACTACGTAATAGATATCAACTAAGATCTGCTGCTAAGACACCCCTGTGCCTGGGAATTATACAACTTTGATACTTTTGAACTGCTGGTATTACCAGGCTTTTGTTCAAACTTAATTCATCTAGTCTTGATAGATCAGTTTATTGTGGTAGGAGAAGGTGAAGATCCTTGTCTAGCCACCTGGGATGTGGGAGAGATTTTCTAGTTGAGGGAAACTGAAGGGATTCATTTGTCAATTGAGAGGAGATTTGGGGGAAAGAAGCTTACCGTACTATCTTATTTTTATTAGTTTATGGATTGCAAAACATTTTCACATGTTGATAATCTTCTCAAAACCCCTTTGGTTCATTTTCATTCATTTTATGGATGAAAAACTAAAAATCATGGAGGTTAAATAATTTGACTAACATCAGTATGTAATGGAGCTATTTTACCCTGGATTTCTATCCTACTTCACTGTTCATCAAGCTATACTAGACTATTAATGAATCATACATTAGAAATAGAACAAGACATTAGTCATGTGCTCTGGAAAAGAACTGGTCATAGACAAGAAATGTGTTTAGAATTTAACTAAATTTGAATATGGGGTAATAAGTGGAATTTATAAGTTAGGTTGGTATATTGATTACTTTTTGTTTAAGTCTCTTCATGATATCTTACAATTCCTAGGATAAATAAGTTCTGAAGAATCTCCTTACCCAACTTTAATACTGAGAACTTTCGAGGAAAACTGGAGCTCAGTCTTAGTAAAGTAATTGTAAATTTTGTCCTGAAGGTCTTTGGAATTGGGCCTGAATTGTCAGAAAAGTTCTTCAAGTTGTATTTTTGGGGAATGGGGTAACAGAACACAAGCATTATTAATAATGTTTTAAAACTAAATTTGGATTAATGCTTTAGCTTTAACTTTTTTTTAATTAACAGCAATCTTGTGAAGTACCATTATCCCTAATTTTGAAAGAACTAACCCAAGTCCTCTTGGATGGAGATCTAAGTAACAGTTACCCACATTTATCCTATTGGCTAACTTTAAATTTTATTAAATTATGAATTATCATCTTTTTGAAGACTGCACTATACTTTGTGGTAGAGGCAGGATTAAAGTATCAGAAATAGGGACTTAAGACCCAGGGCTTTAGGAAATCCTTCCCCAAGAATTCAGTTTTGGTAGAGGCAGGATTAAAGTATCAGAAATAGGGACTTAAGACTCAGGGCTTTAGGAAATCCTTCCCCAAGAATTCAGTTTTGTCTGTTTATCTGTTCTGCGTATCTTTAGTTATTAGAAATTACTGCTGCAGTACCACCTACTTTTATTTCCTTATTTTATTTAATAAAACATCAATGAGGAAAATAGTGGTAGGGGATAGATGTCTTAAACCTCCCCATCCCCTAAGGAAAAGGGTTTTCGAAAGATGCTCTTCATAAAGCACAATACTTTGTGATTCCTTTATTGTAAAAATCAGAGCTAGATAGAAATCAAATTATTTACATTCAGTTCTTTATGAAGGAAATGGCACAAATAATGGGCTGAGGTTTGGAAAAGTAAAATGACACTTAAATGTAGTTGCCTATACTGGCATAAACTGGTTATTGTACATGGTTTCTTCTCAATACTTTTTTTTTTTTTTTTTTCATTTCCAGAATCCAGATTATCTTCAGTATTCTATTAATACAGCTCTCTGCAGTTTAAACTCAGTGGTACATAAAGAAGATGATGAACCCAAAATGATGGACACTGTATAATTTGGTTAAGACTGCTGAAGCCAAGTGCTATTTTGTTACAAGAAAGGAAGAACTTGGCTATTTTCTCGACACTTTTATGGGTGCTGCACTTTATTTTTTGTTTGGTTTTTGATGGGAGGGGAAAAAAAGAGTACTGAAACGTTTTATAAACTTTTTTTTATGTGCTGCTAGGTTTTTTTTGTTGTTTTTTTTTTTTTCCCTGAAGAAAAGAGTGGTACCATATGTTGTGGGGAAGTGAAACTGGACTCTTTTTTTTTTTTTTTTTTTTTTTGGCTACTAAATTTGCCTTTAATCTTAACTGTTCTCAATTTTGGAATCAAAGTATGAAAATCTGCACAAATGCAATGTTTACAAGAACTGGTTGATTCTAGGAGGCATCTGCTACAGTCTCTTTTTATATGGATATGTACATGTCCTACTCTACGAAAATGATTAAAGATAAAAATGTACTTGTATCCTACTGCTAATTTAGCTGTCACATCTGGTGTTTCATCATATTAAAAGCAATAAATCGGTAGTTGATAATCTACTAAATAAGCTGGGTGTTACAAATTAAAAGTCTTTTCCCTTAAATAATATTACATTCGTATTTTCGACACCATCAGTTAAATCATTGACTCTAATATCAAATTGTATAGATGCCAAGTTTACCCCCTAATATTCTCAAAACTCTATTCCTTAGGAAGTGATTTTACCCTGTTGACGTTAATATTAAGGGTTATAGTGATAGAAAAAGTGATAAGGCTAATATAGATTTAAAAAAAAAAAATGAAAACACAAGATCAACTTCAAGCTCACGCTTAATTTCTTTGCTTGACATAGTCTGGGATTTCTCAGGGAGTAAGTTTTAAAAGAATACTAGTGATTTACAAGAATAAACAGGAATAATCTGATTTTTAAAATTATGTTTATTTGTTTTAATATAGCCCAAGGACTTCTTTTAAAAGGTGAAGAATCTGTAGAGCTAATTGCCTCAAACTGCCAGCTACCTATTTCTAAGAATTTCATGATCCTTATTGGTAATGATGACTTTTACTACATTTCTCATTTTTCTCTAGCTCAGTTATCTTATGAATACTCTGAGCTTTTATTACTTCCTATATAATTCACTTCAGATATACCAGGATTTTTGATGACTCTTTATTTGGAATTAGATGACATTGCTAACTGTTATCCTTATTATTTGAGGATTAATCTAACTTACAGGAACACAAACTTTGCTTTGTATTGGGTGTAGTCTGTGACTCAGTCCCATTAACACTAGTAGCAAACATTTGGAAAATGGCTAACTAGGACTGGGAATACCTGTCTCAACTTGAGAAACCATATAATGTTAAGGTACCTATATGGTGATCAGATCTGTGGCCTTGGCCTTATTTGCACCTTTTTAAAACTGAGGTGATAAAGCACTTAGTACCCAAATCTCAATTGACATCTGGAATTACTGAATCAAACTTCTGTAACACCACAGTCCTCCTGATTGCCAGAATAAAGTTTTTTTGTGCTTTTGATATAAATAAATACTCTATAATAAAATGTTTGATGAATTTATATGGTAGTATTCATCAGCCTGTAATTTTTTTTAATCCAGTGACCGAATTATAGAAGTGTTTTTTTGGTGGTCTTTTTTTTTTTTTTTCTATTCTGAAGCAATCTCTTGCTTTTCCTTTTCTATGAATTAGAGAATGGACACAGAAGAAAAATCCTCAGTTTCACAGAAATTGAACCATCACAGTAACTTGAACCATTGCTCAACTTTTCCCCAGGACTTACCTGTAAGCACCCAAATTGTTTTTATTTCATTTTGCCTACTTTAGAGGTATTAATGACTAAAGATAGGGAGGAAAGAAGTTACCAGCAAACTGAGTGAATAATTCTGAAGGGTTTCTTTTGGTTTTGTGTCTTAAAATAGGAATTATTGAAGAACAGTTTAAAATTTGGCTATATATATGTCTTCACTTAACAAAGGGAAGTGTTCCATATATTGAACGTGAAAGTATGGCTAGATTTATTTTGGGATCCTCTGACGCCATAATTTGCACTATATTTTTAGCAGTACTTCAGTATTGAACAGTAAATTGACATTCTTATTTTTCTTTATCTTGCTTCAGCAATAAGAACTCTTACAAGAATTATCTCTTAAATAAGAAGGGTATACTAAGCAAGTGCATAATTCATAGTTCAGATTGGATGATTTAATCTAAATAAACTATGCAAACTGGAGAGTCAAAACAAGACATCTTTGACATCAAATAGCTATACCTACATTTAATCCCTGTTAATTCAATGTTACTTATCTATGGTAGTGGAGATTAATACTGATTGTAAATTTTTCTTTAGGATAAATGGTAACATTCTCATCCAGTTATATTATTAGTGTACTCTGAAATTTTGTCTAATCAGTCCGTCATCTTAAAACTTTTTTTAGGAAAATGGGTCTCCTTTCAGCTTTTCTGTTACCTTTCTAAAATGAGTTGACATGCTGCCCAAGGATCATAAATCTAGTTAACTATATTTTCTTATAGGGTGAAGAAATTGCTTGTGGGTTTAGACAAAACAAACGTGAAGTTAACCTTGGTATATTTTCAGAGAAAAATAAAAAAATGTCAATTTACTGTTCTTAAAGTCAGCCTTGTATTTGATGTGAAACAAATGTACTTGTCTGGATTGAGGTCAGGCTTTTTATTTCAACTTTGCCACTATATTATTTATAATGCATCTTTTGCATCCATTTCCCATCTTTATTGGACATGTATGTACTATTTCACAGGTCTTTTGAGAAGCTGATTCATCTAATATTTGCTTGCTTACCATGTAAGCTAATGCACAGGAGAGGGTACAAAGAATAAAATTTGATAATGAATTGCTTACCATCAATAGTAAAGTCAAAACCATTCTCAAAGCCTTGAAGAATTAGACTTGAAGTTTGATCCTAAGTTTGAAAATGATAAAAATTCCCTTAATCTTTCACTTGGTTTCTCTAAATAGCATGATGACTCATGCTATTTACTCTTCAAACACTTAATTTAGAGTCCTTTGGTAAAATATGGCACATTGCCAGATTAATTTATACTATGGTAAAATCCTTCTACAATGTAATTAGATATAATTTAACTTTACTCATATATATACATATATGTTCATTAGTGAGCTAAAAATAAAAAGGCAGAAGGAGGTGTGAATGGTACAAACTATATTGACTGTTACTATTGATAGAGACTAAGTACAGGTAGGCTATGTTTAGCATTTTAACATTTTTACACTCTTAATTTCCAAAATCAAAATCTTGAATTGCAAACATAGAAGAAAGCTGTTTCTGCAGTTTACCAGTATCTGGGAATACTTTCTGTCAATGAGAAGTCACAACTTATTAAACATGTTAGAAAATACAAATTTATTCTTGCTGTTGGTTGTAAATATTACAGTAACTTACTATAACCTGAGGTCTGTAATTGCCATGATTGTTCTTAACATAGGTAAGTTCTGCCACAAATTCTTGAGTGTCCAAGATATTTTATTTTGCTATAATTGATTGTTAAAAGCTGAGGAAGGTAGGCTGTGAGCTAGGGTTTAAAATTTTGAGTCAGTATTTAACCTATTTCAAATGGGATAGAAAATTTCTTGATGGTACTGCCAATTTGCATTTCCCACAGCACACTCTGCTTATGAAAGGTGTTCCAAAATAACTGTAATACTCTAGAAAATAGGGCAGTGGGTTGAGGTGCTGTTCTCATTAGCCTTTCAAATATGGTAGCCTCTCCTAGCCATAACAGTTAGTTCCAGAAATAATCCCATGTGGCATGTAAATCATGGCAGCATTTTTTATATTTTTGTTTTTTTAAGCAGGATGCCTTCAGCAATGACATTCTTAACTCATTAAGCACGAAACACGTTCTATTTTTGTTTGTTTTAATAAAGTATTGTATCTGTAAAACTTGGGTTAAGTGTTTTGGGGGTGGGAAGGTGTAATGGCAGGAAGACCACAGGGCAGGATCTCTATGATCCGAGCAGAACAGGAAAGGAAGGAGTCCTGGAGCCCTCGCTGGCTTTTTCACGCTTTTATTGGCATTTACCAGGTACACAGCAGGTCGGAGTGCTGGGGGGCCAGGAGGTTGGCAGGCCTCCTCGCCCCCCATGAATCTTCACTCTTTCTGGGCTCTCCAGCATTCTCTCGTGGTTCATTCTCTCTCTTCTGCCGGTACTCTCCTTGTCATGGTTCTGTTCTTCTGGTGTCCCCGTGAAGCTGCCCTTTTTTTTAAGCCCATTCTCAGCCCAGGTGTACCCACCTTCTTATGCCCACACCCTACTCCAGGTATCTGCCATCAGGCACAGACTCAGGACCGCAGGGATCCATCATCAATCCTAATGGTGGGAGGGCAGAAAAGCCTGATACTTTACTTACCCTACAGAAGAGAATAGTCACATGAAAGAGGAATCTTAAGTTTCATAGCTATGTGCGTAATTTCCAAATCCCCTAAGAATGTCAAGAAGGCCAGTAGGGCTACAATACTACAGCAGGAGATAAAAGATAAAAGCATAAAATGAAACCAGCTTGTATACTATTTTAAGGTAATTATTAGAAAGCAGTCACTAATTCAGAAGCCAGTGAGACATCACGGCTGCAGAACAGAATGTGGGGTGGAGTGAGCCCTGTGAAATACCAAAAACCCAGTAATATCCACAGTTCTGAAATTTAGTTTTATTTTAATATACTAAATATAGTGATAATATTTTTAGAAAGTATATACTATTAACATACAAATAAGGCATCATAGAAAGTTTTGTAATGAATGAAATGTTTTAATTCTCTTTTTAAAAAAAACCTTGGTCCATTTGGAAAAGGTCAACATTGTATTTTTAAAAATCAAAAGAAAAGAAAAGGTACCCCCTCCCCCCCAACACACACACACATACATAAGAACCACTCATTGGCATTTGTATTTTAAGTGCCTGGATTAAAATGTAGCTGTACAAGAATTTGCTTGATTTAGCACCAAGTAAGTATAAGTATATGCCTTTGTCAATACAGTGGGGTTTCTCTAGTTCTCACATTGTCCCACTCTGTCAGGTCTCAGCACAGAAGCATGCTACTTTGTTGTCCCACTAAAGAATCAAGGCATTTTAATTTTAAAATGGCTGCTCTAATTACACTCAGCAGCAAAGTTCCCTCTTAAAATAGGATGGCATCAAATGCTAGCAAGTGTCAACTTTTTGATTAGGAATAAAAAACTCCTTCAAAACAAACTCAATCTGGTCCTCTTTGACCTATCATGTTCTTTTAACTGCTACCTCTTGTGAACACTGTTTAAATCAATGGCATCTTCCCCAGGCACTTCTATTTTTAATGACAAAGTATGCTTGCTTTGTAGTGCTATGGATTTTCTTTAATTCTTTTTTTTTTCTTACACTTCAATTTGTTACTCATCAAATTAGATCACACATCTTGGTCAGAAAGAAGAACTGGCAAGTCAATTCTAAAGTACACATTTCTTAACCTGAGTAAACATGGCAAAATAATGAATTTTAAATAACAATTTCCATTGAAGATTCACTTTGGTGTTTTTGCAAGAATTTAAAATGACAGTTTCTAACATGTCACCCCTCAAGTTATAGAATACTTTCCTATATGCTAAGTGATAAGTTGTTATAGCAAACTGAAAATTCTGAGTAAAAGTATGTTTAGTAACAAAATAAGTACAGGATATATGATTAGCTTATATGTTTCTTTATGTAAAGGCAGCAGTGAATTTGCATCTTGCAACATCTGTAGATCCAGTTGCCTCTTCTTTTTTGGAATTTTATAGACAGTATCTCACAAGATTATGTACCACAGTGCTAAAAATACCTTTATTGGCATCAGTCCATGTAAAAGCCTCTTATGTTACACTTTCCACAAATGGAATTTTTTTTCTTTACTTTTCTAAAAAAGTAAGGAAGGCTATCAACCACTATTCTTACTTAACAAAGTTAGAGTACTCCTAATTGCTCTTTTAATTATACTCCAAAAGACTTTTCAAAGTTTAGACATCTCTGACGTTTTTGAACTGTATACCCACAGAAGATAACTGTATATAAAACACACTAGACAGTTTTAAAAGATAAATCTCAGGATCTGAATCATTTGGCACATCCTTAATTTCCATAATAAAATCAGTTGAAATAAAACTAATATAATTTTCATAGAATTCATACATGTATGAGGAGCTTCTCATCTTAATAATTACATACACTTGTCTTCATGGAGTAACTGATGCTTTCTGGTTTATTTGTGGAACTTTCGTTTGTAGGAAAGCATATACATGAGGCCAGATCTTGTTGGTTTCTGTTCCGGAGAATGTTTCCAACACCCCTTTTTTCCTAAAGATGACAAAACAAACAACAAACACTGAGTCTTCCTAATGAGTTTTTTTCAGTCATTCTTAAAGGATGATAAATGTGGATTTAAGAATCTCAGTAGGACCTCCCCTGGTGGCATAGCGGTGGAGCACTGCAAGGCTGCCCGCAGCCTCTGCAGCACGGGTTCGTTCCCGGGCCACCGACAAGGGTCCCACCAAAAAAAAAAAAAAAGAATCTCAGTAGTTATAGGTCTATATGATGAAGAGAGAGCCACCTGACTGGGCACTGGAAAAACCAGAGTTCAGTTGCAGTGGGATCCTCTGGCTTACAGAAGTGGTCACTTAAAAAATAACACCTACCATTTATTGGATATGTATTCTGTTCTAAGTGCTTTACATATAATAGTTCATTGAATGATTTCCAAAGTTCAGATTTCCTTATTTTACTGATAAAACTGTATCAGAGATGTAAATGTGCCCAAATCACAAAGCTGGTAATAGGTTTCCAAACTTAGAGCCTGCCAGACACTAGAACACAACATTGGCTTTGTCAGCTTACCCACTTGCAAAACAGCTTTCTAATACTTGATTATACTTCCTTCTTTTTGCCTAGATTTATTTTTCCCTAGGCTATCCTGAATTTCAGAGGTAAGGGGAATAAAAAGGGCTGTCTTTATTGTTCCCTATTATTTTTCTTCATTTCTCTCCCCAAGCAGATTTGTCTTGTCACCAAATCAGGAACCAAAGTCTATTTTCTTCAGTTTCTTAGGGGCAGTATGGTGAGGATAATCAGAATGTCGGGGGTGCCTTTCAAAACACACATATTCCTTCCAGATAGTCTGGCATTCCTTTTGCTTATCATCTTCCAACCCACTCACTAATATTCCGGCTTAAGGCTGCATGTGAGCAACTCAAGAACTCTTATTACCTTCTAAAAAGAATCCGTTGGCAGAGATTTCACTGGGGACAACAGCCCTCCTTTTTTCCACACCTCATAAATTTGCCACAGTTTAACTTTAATTCCCACTGAGTTCATGCTAAATACAGTATCCTTTAGATGTTAGAAGCCCCCTTCCTTCTAAATATACAGGCATCTCAAAGCTTTCAAGAGAACAAGCTTGTTGTGTAAGCCTCTTGCAGAACCACTTTAAAATGAAGCCAGTGTCACAAGTGGGTTAATTACAGAGGCACCTATTCAATCCTATAGCTATACCTTGGATGAACATTGTCACTTTAAATTATATGTAATGGAATTAATTTCAATTATTGGTCCTCTTAAGGGCATCATGTTGTTTGTAAATACAATTATTCTTTCAGTGTCCCAAAAGTGAGAAGAATTTCTAAAACAACTGTGAGTATTTTTTAATTTTTTTTAAAGATTTATTTATTTATGCATACAAAAGCTGGAGTACAGGCCAGAGGTGGGGGGCAGGGGGCGGTGAGAGAATTCACCAGAGACAGAGTGGGGAACAGAACAGGCAGATTGACTGAAGTACACTGCTGAGGGGAGCAGTGGGCGAGACAGGAGAGGTCTTCTGTGCCATGTGGGTTGCTCCCTGGTGGGCTGGGAATAGAACTCGTGCTACTGGGGCTGCAGATTGCTTCATAGTGCGGTGTTTAACCCCTTGCGCCACCAGGGAAGCCCAACTGTGAGTATTTTAAAATAATATTGCCTACCACTAAGATGGTTGTTGCAAATACTACTCTGTAGCCTTCTCCAACTTCCCACATTTTATAAAACTATTCCCCACAGCCACTGTATTTCCACTGCATTTGATTAGCTCTGTTAATAGCCTTACAATGTTATCACCCAGGCAACAATGCATTATTCCTTCAGGTTACTCTTGAACAAATAACAAACTCCTTCTGGGAAACACTGTCTTCCCCAAATGCAATACAAAAGATTCAAGTGGAATTGTCCCCACTTCCCATGAATGGACATGATCGGAGCTTTTCAGTGCCAAATCCAAAACACTTGCCAGGTTAAATGAACTGATAAGAATATTGAGTGGTTCACATAAGGACAGCCCATCTGACATTGAAGCCAACACAGGAAAGTGCAGGTGAGAGTGAACCCAGGCCTGATGACACCATATGAACAATTGGATCTAATCGCCTACTTTTGCACCTTTACATGATCAATAAATTTCCCTTTTGCTTAAACCAGTATGTACTAGGTTCCTGACTGATAGACACACATATCACATTGTAGGATAAATATTGTTTACCTAGCTCTCTGCCTTACCCCTATATAGAAAGTGAGTTTCTTGGGGCCCTGGCAAGGACTGCGTCTATTTTTTTTTAAGATTTTATTTATTTTTTGTGTAGAAGAACTGGGGTGCAGGCGAGAGGTGCGGGGGGTGAGAGGATTTACCAGAGACAGAGTGGGAAGCAGAACAGGCAGATCTCCTGAAACACACTGCTGAGGGGAGCAGCAGGGCGAGACAGGAAAGGTCTGCTGTGCCATGTGGTTTGCTACCTGTCCAGGGATGGAACTCAGGCTGTCATGGGCCTTTGCAGTAATAGCACTGAGACTTAACCCATAGGCCAGCAGGGAGCCCTGGACTGGGTTGGCTGGACCAAGAGCCTGGCACAGTGTCAACAAGAGTAAATAATATAATAGCTAACAATGGATGATTTAATAGTGCCAGGACTATTTTAAGTCTTTACATGAACTCTCTCCCTTAATTCCCTTAACACCTCTAACAATAAAAATCATTGTTCTGATTTTACAAATGAAGAATAGGTGGCACAAAGGTTAAATACCTTGCTTGGGGCTTCACAGCTGATAATCTGCAGAGCCTGGCTCATACAAATCAAAATTACAGTAACACCTACTGTAGAAAGTAAATAGCCAATTCCCTTGTAATTTCACCCTCCAGAAATAACTATTAAAACAGTTTGAAGACTACTGCTTCAGATCTTGCTTCATATTTACCCTAGTGCCAGAGTAACAACAATAGTAGCTAATAATTACACTGTGTTTACTATGTGTCAGACACTATTCTAAGAATCACACATATTAATTTATCTTTCAATCCTTTATTCTCACCCCCATTTTACAGAGGGGAAAACAGAAGTTAAGCAAGAAGTTAGCACTGTATTAATAAATGGTGAGTTAGGATTTAAATTTAGTCTTGCTCCAGAGTCTGCTCTAACCACAACATGGTATGATCTTGACATTAAATCATTATTCAGTACATGAATAAATAAAAGGAAAGGGGATATAATCAATTCCCTGCAGGAGAGGGAAAGGCTGACTAAGGAAATGGAATTCTTTGCCTGAATCAAATACTAGTTCAGTATAGGTTTTATATTTGTTGTAGAGTATGAATTCCCTGAAAAGCAGAGAATATTACATTGGAATATAAGTTTTTAAAGACGTAATTATTTTATAAATAATTTTTCATATAAATACTATTTTTATAATTAATAATATTAAGACTAATTGCCATTGGAGAGTCTTCTGTGTCATTGTGTCCTTTATTATCATAGGTAGTAGGCATTATTAGGTTTGCCTACCACACATTACTCCAGCCCTCCCTCTAACCAGTCACTAGAGTTTGAATGAAATTGATCCATTCCCAAGCTCCAGGTATAGACCAATGCATGTAACCCCTCCCATTCCAGTGACTGGTTCAGGAATGGGCTAAAAAAAGTCATTCCCTCGTCATAGTAACTGTTCAAATTGGCTCAATTTGTGTGGTGTTCAGGGTATTTGTCCACTAGGAGAAGGTGATCTCTTAGCCCTGCATGAAAGAGTATGCCCAGACTGTTCCCAACAAGTGTCTGCAACTAAATAGGAAGACTGAGGAGAAAGCCAATACACAAAGTAAGGCAAAGCTGAAATGGCAAACCTCTGATCAGACCATGGGGTAACAGGGCCCAACCCACCTTCTGAACTTCTGTAACACAAACTAATAAATTTCCTTCATTATTTAAACCAAATTGAATTGGATCTTCTGGCATTTTAGCATTTTGGTTTTGCACAGACAAGCAAAACCTGAACTAGTGCTTCCCCTGGTAACAGAAGTTTCTAAAAAGCGACAAACTTACTGGTAGTATTCCAGGACCGGCTTTGTTTCGGCTTCATAGGTCTTCAGTCTCTTGTTAACTGTCTCTGGTCTGTCATCCTCACGTTGAACGAGAGGTTCTCCAGTCAAGTCATCAATGCCCTAAACAGAAGTTAGTGGAGGCTAGAATCAATTTATTTCTAAGTACTTCTGAAGGAATAACAAACCTCCATTGCTCTTGGGAATACCCTTACTACCAAGCTCAGTGGACTTCATCAAGTAGCCTGGGAATATGCCCTCAAGAGTTTTGGTCAGGCATAGGATTTCCACAGTAAAAAAAATGTATATGAAGGCAAGAACACTAGGGACAGTCTGCTCTTTAGAAGGCCATGTCATTCCACAACAACTACTCACCAGAGTTTTGGGAGGGTTGAATTCCATGTTGTAGACTCGCCCACTGGCTGGATGAATCCAACGAGCAGTGAGACGCTGCTTAATGACCTCAAAGGGCACATTCAAATTAATCACTGTGTCTATCTTATAAGTTCTGTCCAGGACTTCTGCCTGTGGAAGTGTCCTTGGAAAACCTTTACAAATTAAAAAAGAAAGAAGGGGAGAGAGGGGAAATAATTAACATTGTACTACCGGAACAAAAGAAATAATACTAAGTAGCTGATCACAACTATAGGGTAACTTTGAGAATTGGTTTAATGTGTAAACCTGACTGGGCCAATGTTGCCCAGGTATTTAGTCAAAGGTTATTTTGGGTGGGTCTTTGAGGGTGTTTTTAGAAAAGATTAACACCAAGTAGACTGTTCTCCCTAGAGTGGGGAAAACAGGCTTTATGCGAACCACTGAAGCTCTGAATAGAACAAAGCTGAGCTTCTCTTGAATAAGGAGAACAACTCTATCTGGACTGCCAGGGAGCTGCAACATCAGCTTTTCCTTCAGTCAGACTCATATTGAAACTAGCTCATCCTGGGTCTGAAGCCTATTGGTCCTTAGCCTCCCATCTTGCTGACTCGCCATGCAAATCTTGGCATTTGTAAGCCTACATAATCACCTGAGCCAATGCCTAACAATAAGCAACTCTCTTGAGAAGCTAAAGATGAACTTAGATCTTTAGCTAAAGATTGTGCCACATCTCTGGCTGGGGGAAGGTTACAGCCTACTATAACTCACTCTCTAGTCTTCTTCCTTTCCTGATGACCCTCTAATGAAGTGTTTTCAAAGGAGGGGGAGAAGAACAAAGTCATCTGAAGGGAGCTTAAAATTAATGCAGTGTGCAAGTCTCTTCCATTCAAATAAAGAACCAGCTCAAGAGAAGACTACTAACCCAACTTGTCAAGGTGGTTAGCTGAACAACTCAGGCTCCCTGTCCAACATCCATGGTGTCTGTCTGTAAACCATGAAATGCTCATTCTCCTACCTGCACTTTAGCATGCTTACAACATTCACTTACCATCCAATAGCCAGCTATGTTGGGTGAGATTTTTCAGCTCATGAAGAGCCAGCCGAGTCATGACATCATCTGGGATGAGCTTCCCTTGGTCAATGAAAGTCTTGGCCAACACACCAATTTCTACAGCAGAGGAGGGAATCTGTAAGTGCATTTTATCCCATTCCAGGTCTTAGGAACTGGATGCCTAAAAAAGGATCTCTGGATAGCACATTCAAATAAAAATATGCATCATCAACTTTTATGATAAAAACAGATGTTATACCATAAAATAATTTATTCAACAAAAAAATGGGGATAATCTCAATGTCTATTTCTAATTCTCCATTATGTGGAAATATGTAAATGTAAACAAATGTACGTGGAGAAAAATGGAAAGCTACAGACACGTGTTAACAGTAATCATCTTAGTGTGACAGAAATTATGAATTTTTAATTTTATTTTTGCATATCAGAAGTTGAAAGTTCAGAAATGATCCCCCATATTTACAGTCAATTCACTTTTGACAAGCACGCCAAGACAATCCAATAGGAGAAAGATTAATTCAACAAATAGTGCTGAGACAACTGAATATTCAGATATAAAAAAAAAATGTTGGACCTCTACCTAACATCATCAACCTATCATCAACCTAAAAGTAAGAGCTAAACTACAAAACCCTTAAAAGAAAATGGGTGTAAATCCTCAAACCTTTGCTTAAGGTAATGGTTTCTTAGATATGAACCAAAAAGCATGAGCAACAAAGAAAAAAATAAATTGGACTTCATTAAAATTAAAAGCCATCACAAAAGTGAACAGATAATCCACTGAATGAATGGGAGGAAATTTTTAAGCCATATATCTGAAAAAGAACTTGTGTATAGACTGTCTAAAGAATTCTTTCAATTCAACAACAAAAAGACAATCCATTTTTTAAAATGGGCAAAGCATCTGAATACAAAATAAAAACTACAACTGGAAACCACAATGAGATACCACTTCATATTCACTAGGGTGACTATAAAACCAGTGTTGGCAAGAATACTGAGAAATTGAAAGCCTCATGTATTGCTAATGGGATTATAAATAGAGTAGTCAACTTGGAAAACAGTATGGGAATTTTCCAGGTTAAACAGTTATCATGTGATTGAACACTTCCAATCCTAATATAAAACCAAAAGAAATAAAAGCACAGTCTACATGAAACCTATATGTGAATATTCACAGCAACATTATTCACAGTAACCAAAAACTGGGAACACAAATGTCCATTGAGTGATGAATAAATAAATTAAATGTGGCATATTCATACAAAATTTATTACTCAGCCATAAAAAGAAACATACTATTGCATTTTAGAAAGTGAATTTGAAAAAATTATACCAAGTAAAATAAGCCAGACACAAAAGACCGTATATTGTCTCATTCCATTTATATGAAATGTCCAGAACAGGAAAAGCTATAGAGAGAAAATGAAGATTAGTGGTTACCTAGGCTGGGAGTGTTGGATGAAAATGGAAAGTGATTGACAAAAGGAATACAACTTCTTTTTAAAGAAATAAAATATTCTAAAATTGATTGTAACGATGGTTGTACAACTCTATTATACTAATAAACACTGAATCATGAACTTAAGAGGGTTAATTTTATGGCATATGAAATATATCTCAATGAACATTTTTTAAAAATGCCAAGTAAAGCAAAAGAAAAAAAACTCATAATTACATCACTACTCAGGCAATTACTGTTTAAACTGATAATATAAAACATCTTGATTTTTAATATATGAATGTAGTTACATGAATAGTTAATAATCTTTTTCTTTTATCACTATCAACTTTCTATATCAATAAATATTAATCCACAATAGTTATTAAAATCTGAGGCCTGCAATGCTTCTATTGAAGCATCATCAAAGTCTAAGCAGTTTGTTTTGTACATTTCATATTTTTTACCCTCTCCCCAAATTATATGCAGACTCTTGCCTATCACATTCTTTGCACATTTGGTAAATTTTCATTCCCTTGATTGCCAATACATTAATATTTCATCTAAATAAACTCATAGGGCTTCCCTGGTGACGCAAGGGGTTAAGACGCAACCTATGAAGCTATCCGCGGCCACTGCAGCCAACCCACATGGTGCAGCAGACCTCTCCTAACTCGCCCACTGCTTCCCCTCCGCAGTGTATTTCAGTAGATCTGCTTATTCTGCTCCCCACTCTGTCTCTGGTGAATCCTCTCACCCCTGACACTTCTGGCCTGTACTCAGAAATAAATAAATAAATCTTAAATAAATAAATAAATCTTATCTGTACGCATAAATAAATCTTTTTAAAAATAAACTCATAAAAATACTTTTACCCATTTGATTCAAAAATTAAGCTATTGGGAGCTTCCAAACCTATAAAGCTTATTTTTCTAAAGTTACAAATGAATAAAAATAGGAAACGAAGGTTAGAAGAAAATAGGAAAACTTAAAACCAGCTTTTAACTTTAAGGATACTAGTCAGAAATTCCAAAACATGAAGATATTAATCAGAGATAACTGTATTAAACAGCCATTTTTCAGTCTATACCTCCTTTTAAGTCTGGTCATTCTTACAACATTACTGATGATAGCATTTTATTTTTCAAATAACTATACTATTCAATAAGCCATGAATGTCGTGACTTTTTTTTTTTTTTTTTTGCATAAAAGAACTGGGTATAGGCCAGAGGTGCAGGGGGTGAGAAGATTCACTGGAGACAGTGGGGAGAACAGGCAGATTTACTGAAATACACTGCTAAAGGGAGCAGTGGGGAGACAGGAGAGGTTTGTTGCGTCATAGGTGGATTAGCTTCCTGGCTGTGGATCAAACTCAGGCTGCAGTGGTAATAGCACTGATACTTAGCCCCTAAGCCACCAGAAAGACCCCTGAATGATGTAACTTATATCAAATATAAAATGGAGTCACCAATGTCAAAGCACAAACCCACCTTGGGGATGTAAATTAGACAGCACCCTAACGGATTTATGAACACAATGATGAGGGCAGCACCCCAGAGGAATGCCCTAAGTGGACTTCTGAGAACCTTATTTGAACATCCAGACACAATTGACCCTGGGTAGATTCTAAAATAAAGTACAAAAATGGCAACTGAGACATGAAGCAGAGCACACACTTTTCTCTAGACAAACTCATTTGTTGAGATGCTGCCACTCAATCCAGGCACTGGCTGCTCCTCTTACTGCTGGACACAGTCCACAAAGCTTGAACATAGTAAGCTACCACAGAGTGCTCACCTGAACATTAGAGGTTTGAGCAAAAACACCTCTGCCTGGACCAGACCAGCACCCTTGTCTGCGTGGACTTTGGTTCCTTAACAACTGACTGTGTTCCAGAATGTTTGACTTAGAAATGCATTAAGATCGTTATTTAGGGCCTCCCCGGTGGCCCAGCGGTTGAGCGCTGGGTTGCGAAGCTGCCCACGGCCTCTGCGGCGCCGGTTTGATCCCCGGCTGCTCCCCAGCCACCGGAGGAGGGTCCCACATGGCGCGCAGACCTCGCCTGCTGCCCGCTGCTCCCCTCAGCAGTGTACTTCGGTCCTTCTGCCTGCTCTGCTCCCTGCTCTGGCTCTGGTGAATTCTCTCACCCTCCCGTGCTTCTGACTGTACCCAGTGCATGTATAAACAAAAAACAAACAAACAAAACAAATAAATAAATAAAATAAAATAAAAAAAAAAACATGCCTCTATAAAAAAAGATCGTTAATTTACTAATAGATTGCTTGCCATGTGGATCTGTGTACTCCCAGTTCACTAGTTCTGATAATCAAGTTAGCTAGTTTTTACTTGAAACAAGATTATCATCAACCATTTGTTTAAACTGACACTGTGGGGCCTCCCCGGTGGCGCAGCGGTTGAGCGCTGGGTTGCGAAGCTGCCCGCAGCTTCTGCAGCGCCGGTTCGATCCTCGGCTGCTCCCCGGCCACCAGAGGAGGGTCCCGCATGGCGCGCAGACCTCTCCTGCCGCCCGCTGCTCCCCTCAGCAGTGTACTTCGGTCCTTCTGCCTGCTCTGCTCCCCGCTCTGGCTCTGGTGAATTCTCTCACCCACCCACACTTCTGACTGTACCCAGTGCTTGTATAAATAAATAAATAAATCTTTAAAAAAATAAAAAAAATAAATAAAAAATAAACTGACACTGTGAACAAACACACTCGTGTGTATATAGAATATCAGCACACAATTTACCCAAACCAGTCACCTCCTAACAAGCGAAAACAACTTGTTGGAGCAGCTATGAAGTACAAAAAGGGGTCTGACCAACCTATAAAAAATAGTTCTCTTGTGTATATGCTAAGAGAAAGGGCTGCCGAGAGTTAACCTGGTTCCTGCCAACACTAGCATGTTATATAATAAACAACATAAAACATTACTTTTAAAACATGTTGAAACAAAACAAAACTAGGAGAAAGACAGGGAGTGAGTTAAATGATAGCTTTATACCTAATCAGGGAGTTTTTAAGAAAACCTTTCTCAAATAATAAAGACTTCAGTCAACACAGTGGTTATGTCTGGAGGGCAGGGAGGAGACGTGATTGGTAGGGAACATATAGGGGAGCCCCAAGGTACTGTTTTTTGGCCTAGTGATGGGTAAATGGGTGTTCATTTTATTCTTCTAACTATACATAGAAATTATAATACCTCCATGCATGGACTATTTCACAATAATTATATTGAAAATAAAAACCTCCCTCAACTATTAGTCTTCCCAGCAACCACCGCCCAAACTCTCACCTCAGTGAAGCACCAAGAGAGTTCCTTCCCATTCCAGGTTTATACTAGTCAACTTCCCATTCACTCTGTTTCAAGATACTCTCAGGGTCACATGATGAAAGTTGTGTTAGACATACAGTCTTGGGAGCTGGCAAAACTTTGCAGAGAATCTACTGAGTTCACCCCCCAAATTTATAGATAACAAATGAGATTCAAAAGGGTTTGGGCCTCCCTGGTGGCGCAGGCGGTTGAGCGCTGCACTGTGAAGCTGTCCGCAGCCTCTGCAGCACAGGTTCGATCCCAGCCGGCCGGCAAGAATCCCACGTGGCAAAACAGACCTCTGCTGTCTCGCCCACTGCTCCCCTCAGCAGTGTATTTCGTCAGTCGGCCTGTTCTGTTCCCCACTCTGTCTCCAGTGAATCCTCTCACCCTCCCACACATCTAGCCTGTACCCCGGTTCTTGTATAAAAAATAAATAAATCTTTAAAAAAAAACAAAACCAGGGCCTCCCCGGTGGCGCAGCGGTTGAGCACTGGGTTGCGAAGCTGCCCACAGCCTCTGTGGTGCCAGTTCGAACCCCAGCTGCTCTCCGGCCACCAGAGGAGGGTCCCACATGGCGCACAGACCTCTCCTGCCGCCCGCTGCTCCCCTCAGCAGTGTACTTCATCAGTCTGCCTGCTCTGCTCCCTGCTCTGGCTCTGGTGAATTCTCTCACCCTCCCGTGCTTGTGACTGTACTCAGTGCTTGTATAAATAAATAAATAAATCTTTAAAAAAAAGGATTAGCCATCTAGTCCAGAGGTGCATCTTTGAGAAGCACTAAGCTACAGAGCAGTTTCTCAAATGTTGGGCAATCACATGGCAACCTTACAACATGTCATAGCTAAACAATCACTTGCTGTATGTCTTACTTTAAAGTGATTCAGCTTTTTAAATGAATAAGCAATAATGATCATGAAATTAAAGGTTTGGTGTGCTGGTTGTATTTGAAATACACATTAAAAAAAAACTGATAAGAAATTGTTTACCTAAAATTATCTTAGGAATCTCAATATAGGAAATACTGCATTATACAAAGAGTAATTGAACTGTCCTAGGAGTCCCTGTCTTTCACCCTGTCTTTTAGTTACTGCAGTTTATTATCTAGCAAGTTCTTTAACCACTCCTGAACTCAGATTCCTTATCCTTAAATAAGAGAGCTGGACTGATGTCTAAGGGTCACATTCAAGTTTCCTGACTCCAGAATGCAGTCGTCATCTGTGGACACTACTATCAACCAGTTGTGTCCAGTGTCCTTACCACATCTGCTGTGATGATTTTAAACTTTAGCTATAAAATATAGCAATGGATTATGTAACACAGCACCCTCACAAAATGATAGTTGGAAAGTAAGTTGGCACAATCCTTCTGTAGATGTATCATATTTATAGAAATCCCACACTAGGGATTTATTTGAGGGAATTAAGCAGATACTGCCAAATGTTCATGTACAAAGATAGTAATAAATTATAGCAAAGAATGATTAACAACATAAATATGCAATAATTAAAAATTGTGTAATCTTGATGAAATATGCTTAATGGTGCGTGAACATGCTCAACAATAAGTGAGAGAAAAGGTCTCTAAGCAAATTTAGAATATAACAATTTTGCAAATACATACAAATGCAACAGAGAAAAAAGAGAAGGGGGGGAAGCATACCAAAAAAAGCACCAAAAAGTTTGTTATAGTTGTCTCTGGGTGGTGGAATTACAGAGGATTTTCATTTTCTTTTCTATATTCTCAAGATAAATTTTTCTTCCTTTATACTTACTTTTGATATCAAAAGCACTAAGCAGTCTTTTAAAATAGAATACGACATCTCCCTTTTGGCTCTAATCCAGTGGGAAATATCCAATCCATTCACAAATATTTATGGAAAATATAGTCTTAGTACTGAAACACAGAACAGCTGTAATAACAATCTCATGACACCTCCCTAAATTCCATTTTCTATTTTTTGTTGTTGCTTTTAAAAAATTGCCTGCAGAGACCCAAGAATGAGCAGACTCCAAGCCAAACATCTTTCCCCATGATCCTCCCCGTGGAGCCTCCCTTTTCATGTGGAGTCAGAAAAAGGGTAGCAGATATGCCATGAGATGTTAAGGATAAACAATTGTTTTTTTGCTTTTAAAAAGTTTACTTAGTTGGCTTTAAATTTATTTTTAAAATGTTTCATGTTTTCACAAGTTAATATATCTACCCTCAAAATTATGCTTAACAGCTCAGTTGATTTTCAGGAACTAAAATTCCCATAGAAGTTACTCCTTTCACTATGGACAAGTTCACCCCAACTAATTACAGTACTAGAGACTTTTTATTGTTACCTAACTACTTCAGTATGTTGCATTCAGAATATTTAGCTAGCAAATGAAACAATTGAACCTTTTCAAGAAGTTTAATAAAGTACAAGTACTTTATGATTTTTTTTTTTTAAACACTAAGCTTGGTATTGCTTTATTTATTTATTTAATTTATACACGCACCAGAGCGAGAGCGGGGAGCAGAGCAGGCAGGCAGAAGGACCGAAGAACACTGCTGAGGGGAGCAGCGGGTGGCAGGAGAGGTCTGCACGCCATGTGGGACCCTCCTTCGGTGGCCGGGGAGCAGCCGGGGATCGAACCGGCACTGCAGAGGCTGCGGACAGCTTCGCAACCCAGCGCTCAACCGCTGCGCTACCGGAGAGGCCCACTTCATGATTTTTTTAAAGATAAATATTAGAAGAGAAAAATAAAAGTAACTTTCCAGATAAGATGCTGAATCAAAGAACTCCAAGAGACAAAGTCACTAGGGTGTTCCTTTTTTTTTTTTTTAATGTCGGTATTTTGAAACAAACTAACAAGAAGCGCCCACTTAGACATATTCTACACTCCCATAAAGGGGACTGGTTAAATAAGTCTCATAGTGTAGATTCTGCAAATAGATATCTAAAAAAACATTAAGAGAATGAACTGAGTTCCTTCGTTTTAGTGTGGAAAGATGTAAAGTGAAAACAGGTGTAAAGTGAAAACAAACTGGTGCAGAATACATATACTATGAATATACATTTCTAAAAGAAATAACATAACACTGTTTTCCTCTGAAGAATGGGACTGAGATAAGAAATGAGAGAGGCCTTTACTTTTCATTGTATGTAATTTCGTCCTGCCTCTAATCCTGTTTTACCTTGTGCAAGTATTACTTTTATAGTTTAAAAAGCAACTTCAAAATGGGGTCTGCTTTGGTTAAAAAAAAAATGAAAACAATCCTCACCCTGATATTGACTTTAAAAAAAATCTTTCTTAAGATATAATTTATGTAACACAAAATTCACCACCGTAAAGGTAGTTTGTTGACTGGATTTTGTGCTGAGTATCAGAATTTATTTGGCATGAGAAACAAAACAGTCTTTCACTGAGCCAAGCACAAGAATAGCTTTCATGTCTAAGAACCCTCTGGGGTATCAAAGATCTAAGCCAATTCTGTGAGTGCATACTGGACCTTCAGAGAATGGGGGAAAGGTCAAACCAGAAAATCCTGGAGTTTAACACCAAAAAAAATTAAAAACAAAAAAACAAAAAACCCAGCAGGTCAAACACTAGATTTCCAGGTGAAAGGGCATGTGGTGAATAAACCACAGCTCGATGGACCCTGGGGACAAGTGATTTCTTTTAATCTTTGAACTTCTAACATGCCCTGACTGCCTAGACCTTTCCTCATTAACTCGCCCCGAAGCTGCCCAAAGAAACCACAGGTTTCGGGGCGCAGTCGCTCAGCAGTCAGAGTCTGGGCGGCGGGAGAGAAATGCTGCGCCCACTTCCCAGGACTCGCAGCCCTGGGACCCGCTTCCTCCTTTCTAGCCCCTTAGGACGCAAATCCCCACCTCGGCGTCAGCGCACAGCCGCCCCTCGGGTCCCAGTTCCCACCTGTGCCCCGAAGCATGTTGTCCCGGAGCATATCCCCGCTGGAGAGGTGCTTCAGCGCGAAGTGTTTGGTGATGCGCGATGACACGGTGCCCTTGCCCGAGCCCGGGGCCCCCATGATCACGGCGCGCAGTAGCCGTGCGGACGCCCCCATGGCTGCGGGAGGCGCACGAGCGGCGAGGACCGCGCGCCTTGGGCCTACCGGCGAGCTCGCCCCGCTCCGCAGCCCCGGCCCGCAGGCTGGCAGAGCTGGAGTGGGCGGTGGCCACAGCGCCGGGCGCTCCCGGAAGTGAGGCGACGGCCCCCGGGGTCGCCCCGCCCGCGCCGTAACGGGCTGCAACGCCCGCCCCGCAGCAGGCCGAGGCGCCCCCTCCCCTGAGCCGGGCCGGGCGGGGTGGGCGCAAGTCGCTCCTCCTCCACACGCTCCGCGCCCACCTGCTCTCCGCCGCCGCCTGGAGGACCCCCCCATCCTCCTCGGCTACCCCTACTTGCACCCCCTCCTACTCTCCGCCGGTCCACCCCCTTGCCCTGGCACTGCCCTGCCCTACCCTGGGGCAGCATCCTCTCTCTACCCCTAGCAGCCCCTTGGTTACCGGATGCGATGCCTCTCCCCTCCCACCCCCCAAAATCTCCCACCCCTCCCGCCAAACACACCTTCAAGGTACCCTTTGTCCTTATCCAAATCCCGGCCAGACCCGTCGCGCCGCCCCCGCTGCGACTCCTGCACCCTCTCCTCCGCGTTGTCCCCCCTGGCGCCCTCCTCCCCGCCACCGGTGCGGCCCCTCTTGGCGTCACCAAACCCTAACCTCGGCCCCACGCGCTTCCCACCCACCCCCGTTCCCCCTTTCGTCCCTTCCCCCTTCTCAGCGCCGAACCATCTCTTCTCCCCTGCCCTTGCTTTTTGGGCTAGTTTTTGTTGTACTTTTATCTGTGCAGAATCACATTGAGTAATAATGAGCCCACAAGGCCTGCCATCTCACAGGAGAGGAAATTCAAATGAAATTGAATGAGGTACATCAAGTCACGCATTTACTGAGGGTGGCTCTCCTTCCAGGATCACACTTAAAGATTCAAAAGTACCTGTTACTTCTACCCAGCAGAGCCTAAAAGTGCTCGCAGCAACTCAGTTTACATTATTTGCTTTGGAAATGCAGTGATTCCATAAACATTTATTCAGTGCCTACTATGTGCCAGGTACTGGTCTAAGGGGCTCCTGGGGAAGTTGTGAACAGGATAAATTTCTGCTTCTTGTAAAGTCTAGTGGTGTGTAGACATCATAACAAGAAAACAAAAGAGCGACAGCCAAAAAAAAAAAAAAAAAGATAATTTGAGATAATGCTACAAAATTAAATAGAATGTATGAAAGGGTGGATGTATGAAATGTATGAACGAAAGCTAAGGTAAGAGCACTCAGTAAGGGTCTCCCTGGTGGCACAGGGGATAAAGGTAGCGCTAGCAAGCTATAGCCAGCCTCTGCGGCATGAGTTTGATCCAGGCCAGGGAGCTAACCCACATGGCAAGGCAGTTCTATCCTGGGACCTGCTGCTCCCTCAGCAGCATATTTCAGTAGATCCGCCTGTTCTGCTCCCCAGTCTGTCTCTCCCGCACTTCTGGCCTATACCCCAGTTCTTGTATACATAAATAAAAATAAATATTTAATTAAAAAATTAAAAAGAGTGCTTGGTAAAACTTGAAGAAATGGCATTTGCTCTGAATACCGAATGAGAACATGGAGGGAGACTTGACACAGGCAAGAGGAAGGTCCTAAAACAGAATGTTTCCAATCTTCTGGGAGGAGAAACACCAGCCAAACAGTTGAGTTTCTATTTCATCTGTGAAATGGGCATAGAAGAGAGAATGGATTTAAAGTACAAAGCCATTTACAGAGTAAGTGTTCAACAAAGTTTTTTTTTTTTTTTTTTTTTATTACTATCATTTCTTTGTACTAGAACACTAAGCTAAGGCAAAAAGAAGAATCTGGGAAAATAAACAACGCCATCCTACTTCACAGATTTCCAAAGGAGTCACTCAAAACTGCTTTTGATTTCAAAGACAAATTAATTCAGAGAGAGACAGTCAGGGAAAGCTTCACCCAGGTGAATCTGAGCTGGGTGCATCGAATAAATAGCCCTGTTTGTAGAAAATTAATAGCTTGTACATGTTCATTATTAAAAAAGAGTGAAAATAAATGAATTAAACATTCAGTTCATGTAGTTAGGAAAAGGACATTAAAATAACCCAATGAAAGCAAAGGAAGGGCTTAAGTAAAGAAAAATAATATAAATGAAAGGATTCGAAATTTTTTAAGAAACAAAAGCAACAAAGGAATGAAAAGTCTGGGCAAGTAAAAGTTACGAAACACTAGAAAACACAAAGGTGTGTGTGGAGAAAGTATTTCTAATCTGCAAATCGGGGAATGTTTGAGGTTTCGGCTGCAAAAGAGATCTGAAAGGAAAATTTGGCTCAGATGAATTGCTAAGGCCAACAAACAAAACAGCTGAGAAATCATCCTGTCATTGAGGAGGAAAAGTTAAGTGTTCTGGTCATATCAATCCACCCCACAAAATGTCAGCTAGCTACAGTTTGCTAAAGTTTGTTGATTACTAAGAAGTAACTGCCAAACTGGAAAATTTCCTGGCAACTAGGCCCAGCACAATCATTTCGTCATACACAGGAATTTGTATGGGCTGGTTATTCACTGCTTAATTTGCCCCAGTGTTAAAGACATTGAGTTCAAATGAATACACCAGAAAGTATAACCTTATGATTTCACTGATATGTGGAATCTAAAAAATAAAGCAAAAATCTCATCGATACAGGAATAGATTGGTGGTTACCAGAGGAGAGGGGTTTTGGGGTTTGTAAGTGAAGGAGATCAAGAGGTACAAATTTCCAATTACAAAATAAATAAGGCACAGAGATGTAGTGTAAGACTGTAATCCATAGGCAATAACATTGTATTGCAATTTTGAAAAAAATTACTAAGAGTACTTGGGAAAGTAGACTTAATGTGATCATTTGACATTGTATACAAATGTCAAATCATTATGTCATACAGCTAAAACTAATATATTGTGTGTCAAATATATTTCTATTAAAAAATGTTTGAGTCAAGAAAAGTGTTTGTGGGGCCTCCCTGGTGGTGCAGCGGTTGAGCGCTGGGTTGCGAAGCTGCCCGCGGCCTCTGCAGCGCCGATTGTCCATCTGCCTGTTCTGCTCCCTGCTCTGACTCTGGTGAATTCTCTCACCCTCCCGTGCTTCTGACTGTACCCAGTGCATGTATAAACAAAACAAAATAAATAAATAAATAAAAACATGCCTCTATAAAAAAAAAAAAAGAAAAGTGTTTGTATGTTGGAGCTTGCCCTTTACAAATCCTGAAGAAATCGGGATCTAAATGACCCAGATATAGAAGACCTAGCTGGGAAAGGTCCAGTAGTCAAAGAAGATCCAGTCATTCCAGCTGAGTTAATAGGTATAGCCACATGAGTGAACCCAGGGATAGATGGACTAGAGAGTGGAAAAAGAGTTTTTCTTTGAGCTGCTAGAAGAATAGAATTGTCATTTACTGAGATTGTGAAGACTGGACAAAACCGGTTTGGGGACAGTATTTGAGTTGTTTTGGGTAAGTTAAAGATGCCTCTGAGACATTCAGATGGAGTTGATGAGGAAACAGTTATGTGTACACATTTTGTATACATAGCATAGGTCCAGATTAGAGATATAAAATCTGGGTGTTGTTGGTATGCTTTAATTTATGAGATAGTATAACTCTCTAGGTTTAGCATTTAGATGAAAGAAGAGTTCTGAAGTCTGAGTTCTGGTGTTCTCCAACATTCAGAGGATGAGGAGAAAATATTGAAAGAACCTGAGAGATGTTAGGAAGAAAACCAGGTGAGTGTGGTTTCATGGAAGCCACCTGAAGAATGTGTTTCAACGTAATTAAATATGTCGAATTCTGCAAGAATACTTGGAAAGGCCCCAAAAGAGAAGAAAAAGAGGAAAGGCTAGCCCTACCACATCTTTAAACATTATGAAACTGGTACATTAAGAAGATGGCATTTGCACACTGATATATAGATCAATAAGACAGAAAGACAAATCCAAAAATAAATCTAATTGTATCTGGAAATTTAAAATGTGATTTTCTTCCATATCTATGGAAGAAAAAGACCTTCTTTATAAATAGTGTGGGGATAAGTGGATAGCCAGTGGATAAAGTTATGACAATATCTGACTTCCCAAGCTAAAATGAATTTCAAAGAGATCGCATAAATCTTTCACCTTAAAATGAATTCAAAGAAATCAAAAGTATAATTTTTTTTTAAAAAAGTCTGAATTAGTATGATCTAGGAATTAGGAAAACATTTATAACTCAAAGTCCAGAGGTGATAAATAAAGGAAAAGACTGAACTGGGAACTATACAAAACAACAATAGCAACAACAAAATTTTTTTCTGCATAGCAAAAGACATAAGCAAAATAAAAAGACATTCATTATAAGCTGGAAAAATATTTTCAACCTAATTTATAGATAACGGATTATATGACAATTTCCATGGTATAAATATTGCCACCAGAGCAGATTTTCAGTTACCAAGATGACAACAATGGTACCAAAATGACATCAACAGGCTCAGAAAATTCCTGAAAATTTATCAATCAACACTTAGAAATTAGCATTGCCCAGCTCCAGCACATCACTGTAAATAGCTCTACTGCGTTCTTTATCAAAAGATAAAGAAAACCACTCTGAAAAATAAGCAAAAGATATAAACACACAGATCCATAAAGAAAAAGAAATGAAATGAAAATAAAGAACCCTTGGGCCTTCCTGGTGGCGCAAGGGGTTAAGCACCGCACCATGAAGCAATCCACAGCCTCTGCAGCCTGAGTTCGATCCCCGGCTGGCCAGGGAGATACCCACATGGCACAGCAAACCTCTCTGTCTCACCCGCTGCTCCCCTCAGCAGTGTATTTCAGTCAGTCTGCCTGTTCTGTTCCCCACTCTGTCTCTGGTGAGTCCTCTCACCCCCGCACTTCTGGCTTGTACCCCAGCTCTTGTATGCATAAATAAATAAATCTTGAAAAAAAAGAAAAAGAAAGTAAAGAGCCCTTAAAAAATCAAAAGATGTTTAATTGCGCTTATTAATATAAGAATCAAATTAAACTAGTTAAATTGTATTACAGATTACATCTTAACTATCAGATTGACATAGTTCTAAGACTTAGACAAAGTAATGT